CTCGAGAATTTTTCACTCATATGGAGACGCCACCACTTGCCGGTGGAGGGCTACAAATTTTGACATATACTCGGCACTAAGGACCATTGAGCAGTGAGAGATCTTTATCGTGCCAGCACCTACTGCGACACGGGACCTCGGTCTATACGGTCTCATCCGAAGGACCGGTCTCCACGTCCCGCAGTAGGATTCGAACCCGCGACGTAAGGATCAATTCCTTACTCCGCGACTCTAGAGCAAACGCTCTAACCACTGCGTCACGCAGGCGACCTATAGTCGAGAAGATTTACGGAAAGCTTCTATTCGGATGAAAATCGAACAAAAACGATACCGTTTTAAACTTTATCATTTCCTCAAGTAACTGTTGGCTGCATAAAATATAAATTAGAATCAAACACATGTATTACCTATCATCAAAAATATACTTGACTTAATGAATATAAAACACTACGGAAGCCGGTAGGTGCCAGGTAGAAAAATAATTTATCTGGCGGCCGCCACATAAATAACTGGCGGCCGCCAGATAATTCATCTGGCGGCCGCCATAAAACTATTTGTCGGCCGCCAGAAAATTATCTGGCGGCCGCCAGTTAACCTTCTGGCGGCCGCCAGATCTATTTATCTGGCGGCCGTCAATTATTTATCTGGCGGCCGCCAGTTATTTATGTGGCGGCCGCCATATAGTTATTTTTTTCTACCTGGCACCAACCGGCTTCCGTAAAACACAAATTGTGTAACATACGTTTTAATTTAATGTTCAAAAAAAAGGACCTGTCACTGTTAAATGATATATAAATAAATAAGTTACTGTAAATGATAAGCAACCTTGTATATTACATATGAAAAACATATATATTTTTAAAGATGTACTTCATGGAAGTAAAAATATTGTGTATCTCATAATTTATATAGGGAAAGAACATTCTGATGTATAATCTTTTTAATGTATAGCTAACCTTTAATTCTGAATAACATCTCCCACCTCAATCCCATACACCAAAACTTAAACTTATGTAAAGAGCAGCCCGGTCCGCCGGGTTGCAATAAAACGTCTTTCTTTGTTTGTTTAGTATGGGAATTAACGTTGCAGCCTTGCAGAAAAAAATTACATTACCCGCTTACGCGGGTAAGGCATTTTTTCCGAAAAAGCTGCAACATTAATTCCCATACTAACTAAAGAGAGCATTTTATTATTTAAATAATGAGCAATGAAGTTGTGAAATGTATACTACGCCTTGGTTCAGGCACCAGATTGGGGCTACAAGTTGGTAATATTTTGAAATTGGAAATTAATCTTTAAAAAACTTCTTTGGTTTAGATATAGAGCAGTCAAACTGTCTAAGTGAGTAGCATAAGGTGCATGCTACCAAGACTGCGAAATTCACAATAAATGAAGGGCCCCAGAACGAAGTTAAGTTGGTCATATATTGAGAATGTGTATCTTGGAATTTCTTGAAATCTTGAAATAGACCTAATTGCATGATAATATATTTGTACATGGATAATTGTGAATTGTAATTTTGAATGGGGCTAACCTATTTTTTTTTTCATGTCTTTCTGACTTCCAAAAGTTATCGTATTAGAAGTAATGTTTGAATCACTACATCATTCATCAGTTACAAACTTTGACTGTCTGATTACCAAGGAATGAACGTACATTGGCTGCTCACATAGAGTACAAATGTTGTATAGGAATAATTACCAAAAAAAAAACAAAAAACAAAAAAAAAACAAAAACAAAAAAACAAAAACAAAAACAAAAAAAAAACGAACAAACATTAGCTGCCAAAGATTGGGTCTGACTGCCTGATTGCTAAGAAACAACGAACATTAGCTGCCCAAGATTGGGTTTAATGCCTGATTACTAAGATACGAACGAACAGTAGCTGCCCAAGATTGGGTCTGATTGCCTGATTTCTTAGAAACGAACGAACAGTAGCTGCCCAAGATGGGGTCTGATTGCCTGATTGCTAAGATACGAACGAACATTAGCGGCTCACACCAAGTACAAACTGTGTGGATCGATTGGATCTGTCATATACTTGATCCAAGTTACAAGTTTCTTTTATTTAAGTTTGTTAATTTCCTTAAGCCAATTGGCCCATCAGAGTAACAAGTACATGTTACTAAGAAAAAAAAATCATAGAGAGTAAATGTAAAAAAAAAAAACACGCATGGAAATAGTGTTATACATCAGTATTGTATTTTCCTAACAATGTTGCAGCATTCAAAACTTTGCCCAAATTTGAAAGATCATTAACATTGTTAGTACTTAGCAAATTGAATTTAATTTAAAGACATTAGGCTTAGTGTTATAGTACTTTTTCAAACAATTCTCTCTTAGGTCGTTGTACAGGGGGCATTTTAAAAATGATATGAAATTCGTCTTCTATATCATGGAGATTACAACATATATATTGTTAATCGTAGTTATGATACGGTCTCGACCTGTTTCAATATTCAACGTATGTATGATTTCATAACCTAAATTTTGTTAATAGTTGTCTTAATTTTTTGTCAGTAGGTTTTGTTAAATATGATTGCAAGCAGAAATCGTCAATTAAATGTTGATATAAATGACCATTTAGAGAATTTGATATACTTTCTGTTATATTTTGCTTTGAAACATCTAAAAGTCGTTGTTTTAAAGTACTATAAGTTCTATCATTTAAATGGGTTCCTGTCTAAATTTGACCTAGTACTAGAAAATTCAACGCTTCTTTAATTTGTAAAATACATTTGTCGTTTCGTAATACCATATTTTCATAACAAGACGTGTGATGTTTCCTTACCAACACCGAGACTAGAGTATTCTTTAAAAAAAAATTAAATGTACCTTTTCTACATCAAAACATCTGTGAAAACTCCAGAACTCTGATCCATAAAGTAATATACTACATACATTTATGTGTCAAAAATTGTACATAGATCTTCATTAAATTCATACCTCTTGAATCTACTTCAAATAGCAAACACAGCTTTTCTAGCTTGTTCTGTAGCATGTCCCTGCGATTTTAAAAATTTGCAAATAAAGTTAATTAAAAGACCTAAAGATTTAATTAAATTCATTCTCAATTTCTAATTCAACATTGTTGTAGAACCAGGATTCATTGTTAAGTAATTTACCACTATTTCTAAAGACAAAAACCTTAGTTTTTGTTACATTAATAGAAAGACTCTATTCTACAGAATAACCGCATGGTGTATTTAACATTTTTGTAAGCCTTCTGGAGATTCAGCAAAAATAACGATGTCGTCTGCATACATAGGTATAAAAAAGTTTAACATCTGCATATCAATATAGGGGCAGTTATCTGATATTAAACTAACATCGAGATCATTCACATGTAATATTATTTATATTTAAGGTTATTTGTAGAAGCACAAGGTCACTGGAAGAAAAAATAGATTTGCGACATAACTGATAGCTAAATTAGGTTTCATTCACGATCGCAACACAATCATTCTCTCATTTTATATAGTCTCTTTAGTAAGTATGGTTAAATGATCTTACAGAGATTATGTGTTTGGTTTTCGACGAAGTAACCTTTAATGAAATTATATGAGATGAACTAAGAGTAAAATGAGGAAAAGGTGAAATTCAAGGTCAAGGTAACAAAAAAGAATTATGACGCGCTTTGATTGCTCTCGCGATTTATAACAGTATGCAATGTTTGATGAAAATATTTTGAAAATTTTCTTGAAACTTAGGTAACTGAAAATGAAGGAATAATAAGGTCAAGGTAATTGGAAAGGTCAATATAAGAAAAAAAATATACGGTTGAATTGATTTCACCAATATATAACTTAGTATATGAAGTTTAAACAAAATTTCAAAATTGAAGTTCAAAGTCATGGAAAGGTCAAAGTCATAAGGAAGGTCAAGGTAACAAAATATAATGACGTAATATGAAACTTAGTTGGAGTTTGATACCAAATCCTAAAAAGGGAAGTTGAGGTCATAGGGTCAAGATCAGAAAATTATGACAAAGTTGAATAGCTCTCATCAATTTGCATTTAAGTGAATAAAGTTTGATGAAAATTTGTTGAACAATTTTTTACTGCAGAGCAAATGATAGTGATATCAAGATCATATGGAAGGTCAAGGTCAGCAAATATTGACACAGTTTAATCTTTGTACATGCATGACGTTTGATGAAAATATCTTTAAAAGTTTCTCTGAAACTAAGATGAATAGCGAGGTCAAGGTCATAGGAAAGATCTAGATCAGAAAATATGATGCAGTTGAATATGTCTTATCAATTCGTATCTTTTTTAAAAAGTTTAATGAAAACATTTTTAACAGTTTGAAACTAAAATAAATGCAACATGAGGAATAGGGGGTCATACTAAGTCATAGCGAACGGTCAGAAAATTATGACATAGTTGCTTAGCTCACACCAATGTGTATTAGTGTTTGAATTTTGATAAAAATATCTTCAATAGTTACTTTGATACTGAGCTAAACATAAACAGTGGAAATGATTTCAAGTACATAATGAAGGTCAAAATCAGTAAATAATATTAAAAATATTTTGAATAGTTACGTCGAAACTAATTAAGCTAAACACAAAATAAGGAAAAGTGAGGTCAAGGGCACAGGGAAGGTCAGGGTTTGGAAATTGTACCACAGTTGAGTAGCCCTAATATGCATTAGTGTATGAATTTTTGTTTATATCTTCAAACATTTTCTTTTAAATTAAGCTAAACGCAATGTGAAGGACGGACAGACGGGCAAATACCATATGCCTCGGCTATATTCATGGCGGGCTTAAAATGAAACTATAAAGCAAAATTAGTTATAAATGGGAAAATTTGATCAAACCAATATTGAAATCGAAAACTTTATGATTTACTAGTACTGTATTTCGAGTCTCCTATTTCGAGTTGAGTTATCGCACTTTGCAGAGTCATTTCGCCTTAGAAATTAAGTATAGCATTCCAAAAACTACTTTGGCAAGTATACTCAAGAGTGTGAATGCATAACAAATAAAGTCAAATGTTCTTTCAAAAAATTTATTTTGCTCATATCAAAGCAAGTTACATTTATAAATACATGTACCATTGTCAAGGCGCGTTTTGTCTTTCTAACGTAAAAATATTCATAATTATGTATATATATAAAAAATATTTGTTCCACATTTAAATATAAAAATAGTTACCCAAGGCACACATATATATGCTGGGATTTATAAAGACACAACCCATTACATTAACTCATAAGACACATGAACCATAACAAATGTAGCGATCAAGAGAACCATAAAAATGGTAAAAAAAAAAAATATCGATTGACTTAGAAAAATGATCTGAAATTTGCATGAATTTCGGAAAACTGACCATTTGTGGTTTACAGGAACAAACTCACTGTATATGCTGCTGAAGTGTTTTTGATCTATTTTATAATAAACATAAAATCAACACTTGTCAAAAATATACTTATGAAAGTTATACAAATCGTCGAAAAAGTCCGATGTCTTTTTTGTAAGCACCAACATGTGACATTATTGATGAATTAAAGCTTTGTCTTCTCTTGAATGGGAATGGATTTTCTATCCCGTCTCTCCATGAACTCTGTGATTCCGTACAGGAACATTCCCACCACTAGGATAGTGAAAGTCAAGTACAACTTGATGTCAGTCCTCACAAAATTTCCGTAACCAAACGCAAGGATAAATCCCAGAGATTCCCAAAGACGGTAATTAGAGAAAGCTGCCTCCGAATGGTCAGTAAATAGATAACCGTAGTAGGCTGGAAATTTGAATTATATCATTGTGTAAAATAAAATCTTGGTTCCTTCTTAAGAAAACACATAGACATTTACTTTGTTGGGAGATATTTTGATGTATCATTAGGAGATATTTTGATGTATCACAACACTGGACCATATTTATCAAACCATGTTCGTAGTTTTGTAGTCAGATTTTGTCCTTTTCTAAAATTTTAAAAAAAGAAAACGACTCTGGAGAGTTTACCTTACCATTTATTTGGGTTTGAATGACAGCGTCACCCATTCCCCAAAGTGCAGCGATGATGTAAAACAAATATATCATATCTGGATCCGGTGTCCAGAACATCAACGCTATCTGTATACCTCCGTGTACAAGGAACGCTGTAAAATGTATAGACATTTGAATGAATTATGGAGAAACAGTTTTTTTTAATGTCTTGTTTCAAATTAATTTCGAAAAAGTATTTAACTTTTTAAAAAAAAAATTGACCGAAGGAAGCGATTTATGGATTGATTTTAATCCTTTGGGTCGAGATCTTTTTATTTGTTAATTTGGTCCAAATATTGATATTTTCTCGCCACAGATTCTCATAAAAACCAATCGGATTTTTGGTATTGAAACACAATAAATATAAATTTTAAGGTTAAGATCTCGATGTTGATATTTCAAACTTTGCCGCATTTTTTCATACAAGCTAGATAGTCTATATTTAGAAACAAAGGGTAAATTAACTAAAATTGATTTGAACTTGTTTTCAAAATCATGTATCAAATATCACTCATATAAAGCAGAATAACTTGAAATCTTAATATTTTAGATATTATTTTGAATTGTTGTCTGCCTTCAAACTTGCTCTCAATTAAACACCTTCTGCTAATGGAAAAAAATTACTATTAGAACTGCAGTAGTTTTTTCTCGAAATTTAACTATTGTTTTCAATTTCAAAAATACAGTATTTTGGAAATATAATGTGTTATTCTTTGTTTGGCCAAAGTGAAGCTTTTAAGGTTTTTTGTGTCAAGCTATAATGTTTACTCAATATTTTTTAATCAGCCTCATCACTAGTAAGCTTCATTTAGTGACCAGTTTGTTTTATGAACATAAAAAGACATAATTCAGCAACATTCATAAAGTACAGAAAGGTTGTATCAGGATGTTCTTAAAAGAAATTACCGAGGATGAAGAATGGAATGTGGCCTACAAATTGGACCAACCGTCCGAAGGCGAAGGAACAGAGTGCGTCTACCACACCATAACAAATCATGACGTATCCTATGTTCCAGATCCCAAGAGCACATCCAATATATGACTGTAAATTGAAAACAATGTTAACATCGAACTTTTACAGTAAGTAAGTAAGCACAGTAAGTTTTGTAAAAAAAAAAAATTACAAAAAATAGCAATTCCCTCTTATCGACCAACAACTAACTGCAAAGAGGTAAAGCCTCTTTTCTTCGTGTTAATCTCTGAAATAACTGTACTTCTTCATATAAGTTTAACAATTTTAATAAATTGCAAATTAACCCAAGTACATGTACATTAGTATAATTGTAAGAAGTACCTTTGTGAAATCGCTTCCAACAAAGCCTTGTTCTACACCGCTGTAAAATGTCAGCACCATTAAGAGTTTCTGGTAAGGGGACCTCCACCAGTGCTTAAATGTCGCAATGACCAGGTCAAAAGAAAACTGTCCATACTTGTCATGGTTGTCTTTGTCCAGCTTGATTGGGTCCAACAAAACTGATATGATAATAACAGCTATCACTGCACATCCTGTATATATCCCACACACAAGGTATACCTAAAAAATACAAAGTTGTTCATGTGGTTTTCTTTGAATTCTTAACTATTGTGGAATATTTGATAGGTCATTTTAATTTGCATTTTCTAAGAAATATCGGAATTAAATGTACTTCAGAAAAAAATGCATACACCATGGTTACAAAACAACCATCCCAGAAGAACAGTTTGCGGAAATACTAGTATATGGATTATAAAAACAATAACTAAGGGAAAAGTCCCCTGTCGTTAGTGATCTCATACTTTTTTATGTCCTTTGAAACATTACCAAAACATGCCCCATTTCCAGCTAAAAGTCTGAATTCCTATTGGCATAGCTTTAATATATAGTTAGTTGAGCTTTAAACACATTCCCAGCACCCTATAAATTAAAGTTTGTTATTGAGTCTTTATATAAGATTCACTGCTCTTTGCTTAGTTATCTTAACGATCTTTGTAATCAAGATAATTTACGAAAGAGCTAGTAAATCTTCTAAGAAGGACGTGATGAAGGAAAGGTTGAAACAGCAAAATATTTTTTATGAGAAAACAAAAATCTTTAATTGTTGATTTTGAGTGTGAAAAACGTTCTAGTAGCCCTAATGTTTCTGATATTTACGGAATTGGTGGTGCAAAAATAAGCATCCAATCAAAGACTTGCAGAAAGAAAATTTCAGAGGTTACTCATAGCATTGTCTGTTTTTCCATATAATTCGGTTCCCTTTTCTGCCACAGAAAAGACCATAAGGTACATTTTGGTTCAATCTGAGTTGAAAATAAAACCTGTGGACACAGGAGCCGACAAAAAAAATCTAACGCTCATATTTTACCTGGTCTAGTTCTGGTTTCTTCAGGGTCGTCTTATTTTCCTTAATTGTAGGATCAAAATTAGCACCACAGCTTGCTAGGTCTTCTGTACTGACGTTGAGATACAAAGATTGGTTATCTGGACGTTGACTAAATATTTCAGAAGATATCAAGTTGCCCCAAATCTGACCTGTGAGAAAAAGAAAATCAATAATTAAACATTTATATTGATTTTTAAAAATTCCTCTTCAAGTAGAAAAAGAAGAAATTTTCTTTTTGAAAATATCACTTAACTCTTTTTGATATGGAAAAGAAAACGAAAGCTTTCATTTAGATTATCCTCGGAAGAGAGACCAAACGATTACAATCTTCATGTACTAAATGTGCTCTAAACCCCATTATCTTACTTGTTTGGAAGAACATGAAGAAGAATCCGAAAAATCGGTTGACAATATCGTCTTGAGTGGTTCCTGTCATCTTGGAATACCACACAGATACCTGTGTCAGGTATGTACATTTAGCTGACCACAACGGGGCAGCACCCAGTCCTATAATAATAGATGCTGGTACCATCAAACCCCACACAGCATAGAAATTTGCGGCCATATACACAACATAGCAACACATGGAGGCAGCAATTGTCCATTTACAGCCCAGTTTTCCTATGGCAACAGAAGGTACAAACATGCAACTGATGACCAACGCAGCATACAAGATGGCTAAGCCTCCCGTACCCACGCCCTCCTCTTTGTTTAGTGTGCTCTGTAAGTTTGACAGGGATTGAAAGGCCGTGAACAAGAAACAGAATCCGAAACTAATAATTAACAAGTTCTTTAATATTTGGAATTTAGTCATGGGAAAAGTTTCCGTTTTCGATGGGTAATCGCTCGACTTCATCTCCATCGCGTTCGATTTTTCCATTTTCAATAAACCTACAAAGAAATAAGTAAAAAATGAGATGATAGACATTTAGATTATTTACATTCTGTTGCCTTGAGTCCCTTGGTGGTCCTTATTCCACTTGACTACGGTTATCCAATATAACCTTTGGTCGTTTAATCATTAAAAACAAGAGGCCCATGGGCCATATCGCTCACCTGAGCACTTTGGCTAGGAAAAAGCAGAAATCAGTTTAGTATTGAAAAGTCTACCTATATAAGTGGTGGTGGTGGTGGAAGGGGTGATTCGAACAAACTTGAATCCACACTTCCTGAGGATGCTTCCATCTTTCTTTGACTAAACATGGCTTAATTAGATTTTTTTCAAGAATTTTTCCTATACGATTGATCTTCTATTGTGGCCTTGCCCTACCCGCGGGGATATGATTTGAACACACTTGATTCTATACCATCTGAAGATGCCTCTGAATTTATATGACTAATCATGGCCTTGCTGTTATTGTGAAGAAAATATTTATTCATATACCCTTTATATTCCTTTGTATAACGTTGATCCCCTGTTGTGGCTCCTCTCTACCCCTGGGGTCATGATTTGAACAAATTTGAAGCTACAATACCTGGGGATGATTCTGTATTAATATGACTAATAATGGCTTTGATGTTCTTCCGAAGAAGTTTTTAAAGATTTTTCCTATGTATTCCTATGTAAAATTTTGATCGTCCATAGTGGTCCAACCTACCCCTGGGGTCATGATTTGAAGAAACTTGAATCTACACTACCTGAGAATGCTTCCATATAAATATGACCAATCATGGCTTTGCTGTTCTTAAGAACATTTTTAAAGATTTGCCTATGTATTCCTACACTGTATGTAAAACTTTGATCACCCATTGTAGCCCCACCCCTTCCCTCGGGGGTATGATTTAAACAAACCTGAATCTACACTACCTGAGGATGATTCCACATAAGTTTCATATTTTCTAACCCTGTGATTCTTGAGAAGAAGATTTTTTAATGATGCCATTAATTTTTCACTAATTCAAATTTATCTCCCCATGGAAGAAGGCGTGGCCCTTCATTTAAACAAACTTGAGTCCCCTTTTTCCAAGGATACTTTGAGGCAAGTTTGGTTGAAAATGGCCCAGTGGTTCTTCAGAAGACATCGAAAATGTGAAAAGTTTACAGACAGACGGACAGCTACACAGACGGACGCGGACAAAATGTGATCAGAAAAGCTCACTTGAGCCTTTGGCTCAGGTGAGCTATAAATGATAGCACACCAGAAAAGGCATATGCTTATACATAGAAATCAATGAATTTTACCTTGTCGAAAATACTTAGTTTCAAGTATAGTTCACCGTTAATTTTGTTTCAATCTGCATGTGTATATCGGTGACTCATTTTGTTTACTGAACATTGCATGCGTCCCCCAAACTAAGGATGGTAAATTGCACCTATTACGTACAGAGACAGACGCGACATTTGGAGGCAAGCCCAGATTTTCCAGATGATTTCGGAATTTGCATCCTCACAATGTCAAGGTCAAAGACAAGTCATATTTGTTTACAAAACTAAAGCTGTTTTCTGATTGGTTCCAGTCCTAGATCAGGAACAAATGAAATAGTAACTTTCTAGCCCAATTTTTAAATAACGACTTACGTCAAGGGTTTGTGTGGAGTTCCGAAATCACAAAACCTTAACATTGTGAGGATGCGGTATTTTCTCCTATTTACTACTACAGCTTAACTCAAAATTGTATATTTGTTAAAATTTAGGTACCACGTCAAGATTAATATGCATCTATGAATGCTAAAAGTTGATCATTATAAGACCATGTACATGTATATAGCCAGATTTGAATATTTTAAACAAAGTCGAGTCAATAGTTTCCATTTGAGGTATAAAACGGAATTACCTTATGCAGTATAGTTCTAATCCTGTTTTTCAATGTCCACTTTTTTTCATTATTTACTCGTATTTGACATGGCCAGAATCAACGGTTTCCATTTGGGATGTAAAAAGGAACTATATTATGCAGGAGTACTCTGATCCTGTTTCTGTCCACCTTTTCATTATTTATTTGAAATGGCGAAAAGGCAAGATCTCAAGTATACAGTTGTTGGCATTAGAAATAAATTAATGTCACCTATATTTATACTACATGTACATGTATGTACATTCAATAATCATTTCAATCATGAAAAGAATAATTGAATTTATTGTCCCTTTTAATCTCATTTTAGTTTTTAATTACAATAAACAATAAATGGTAGAATTATATACGAGAAGGGGTAAATTTCATGTGTGACTTAAGGCTGGCAAAAGTTATTCAAATTAAGACTCGGCGAGGGAAGATTTGTGTACGCAACTTATGTCAAGGTGATCGATGAGCAACTAATCAATCTGTTATCGATTAAGATGAAGATGAATTGATAAAATGGACTTTCATAATTATCATATATATATAGAGAGAGAAACCGGCTGGACCGGCAATCGAACCAGGGTTCTCTGTATCACCAGTCAAGTGCTCTAACCACTGAGCTATCCAGGCTAATATCCACGACCCAAACCTTACATTCCTCCCTCCTTAAATTGTATTCGCCCTAGAAGACAACCCAAGTTCTTTTTACCCCTGGCAGGACTTTCACCTACAAGTCCAGGGGTAGTCCGAAATATCTGACGTTTTCCTGGCTTTTTTTTTTACGATTTTGATATTTTACGTGCCAGCATTATATATATTATTATAGTCCAGGGGTGGTCAATGGTACCAAATTATGTAACAGGAAAGGAGAAAATGTATGGCTGGACCGGAAATCGAACCCGGCCGGGACTTCTGCATCACTCGCAGGACTTTTACAGGGTGTGCAAGTCCAGAGGTGGTCAAGTTCAACGGCACCAAATTATGTAGCAAAAAAGAAGAACATGTATGGCTGTACCGGGAATCGAATCCGGGACCTCGGTATCACAAGTCAGGAGCTCTAAACTACACTGAACTACCCAGCCTGATATCCACGGCACAAAACCATATACATGTATATAATAGTAGAAAGTTTATCAATGTAAAACTCACTTTCAGTTTCCATCGTGGTGTCTGCCATTTTACTGTAAATCTAATTAAGATTCAGGCTAAGATCCCATATTCCTTTATGATTTACTATATCAAAAAGTGATTTACTTCAGTTATTTTAAACTTAATAATACAGCTGGTTTATGAGGTCACAGATCAAACTGGTCACGCGATTTGTTAACAATGTACATAGTCACACGTGGCAAATGAATCGAAGTTCTACTGAAGCAGAAATGAAAGTTTCCCTCACTGCCTACAACTGTAGTCAGTGACGGCCACTGTCAATATTTGGACACAGATCCTCATATGTTGCATAATGTACGGAGTCTGACATGCAAGGAAGCTGTCCTGTGGTGATAAGTCGAAGTTACAGTACACAAAGTGTTAACTTACTCCTACTTTATAAAAAATTATAATGCATTAGGCTTGATTTGTTCAGTCATCAACATAAATGCTATGTTTACATTGTCATTTTATTTTTGCAGGTTTCATTAAAACGCTCAAATATAACGATGCATTTTAGTAAAGCGTTTAATCCGACTTTTTCTGATATACATACATAATCATAATACTGAAAGTACTGGGATGCGCTGAACAATAATATATATATATATACCATAGCTGAGGACTACCCTATCCCATCCCTTCCCGGAGGTGTGATGGTTGGAACAAACTTGAATATGTACAGTGTGAGGAAGATTTCGAATAAATTTTATTCTTTCTATCTTATTTCCTGTTTATTGAAATTGGTTTTGTAGACTGTCTCGCATTGTAAGCGATTTCAAGTTAATTTGGACTCATTTTCAAGAAAAGTATCATGAAACATTTAAGTTTAACGATTTTAAGCCAGATAGTTCACATATACAACTTGAAAAAAAACCCCATAGTTTTACTCGATGTTTTAAAATTTATGGAAATTTACAATATAAATTCGGCCATTTCTGTCAAGCGTGAGGGATAGAGATGTCGTTTTTTCCATGCAAAGATTATATTCGCCGGTATTGAATCCGAACGTGCATTACACCGTGAAGTCATTGACGGCAAGCAGCGGCAATCACATCGATGGATCCCTTTCCGAAGTTGCGGCCATTATCTTTATGTTAAACTCTCTTAGACATTAAAGAAGATGGGCCAACAAAGAGAGCAAAATGCCTTTTGTGCGACGAATATGAAAGTGAAAAATTAATTCTCAATTATGACAAAATTTTTTTTTGATATTTCATTTAACATTAATAACGTAAACTAAAGATAAGTAAAATCTCTACAAATTGCAACAATCTCACAAAGTATACATACACCAAAGACAAAAAATATTATCTTCATACAAAAAAAAAAATTTTCCATATGAGTGGATCTTCGCCCCCCCCCCTTTTTTTTTTTGAAAGATTATATTATGTGTAAAATATACATTTGTCAGTAAACAAAAAATGGAGCAAAGACCAACTATAACTTAAAAATACCTTCTATGACACAACATTCGTGTCTTTCTGAGAAATATTTGAAGTCCATTTAGTCAAGGGCCATATCACAAGCATGATTTAAATGCCGATATTTATTTTGTTATGAGTGGTATAGCGTAGTGGTTAGCGTGTTAGTCTCGAAGGATCAAAAATTTATACTGAGGATTTTTATTACTTGCGTTCGAATCCCAAGAATATTACATTTTTTTAAAACAGAGAATGTTTTGCCGAAAGACTTTTCCGCAGAAAAGTTTTATTTGTTATAATTTCATACCTTTCAATGATAAGAACTTTGCTCTAAATACTAAATTCATAAACTGAATATGACTATTACACATTTAGAGCTACAGACATTTTCACTTCTCCTTTGCTGCTGTTTTACTGTAATAGTTGAAACTCAAAGGTTCGTCTCAAAGCAGAAAGTTTGGGGGAAAATTAACTATCGATATCGGGTATTTACCGGTATGTTTTTGTTTTGTTTTTTGTTTGTTTGGTTTTTTTGTTGTTGCTTTTTTGAGATAAAATGCAAAATGTGATGACGTTGATACCGTTAAACACTGTTACAGCTTCAACATTATCAAATACTGTTAAATAGAACAATCAATATAATGCAAATCCAAAATTGCTAGAATAATGTCATTTTAAATGTCATAAAGTAGCAAATAAATAGTCCAAAATGTCCAAATCGCAACCAATTTTTTAAAAACAGAAGTCTCTGATTAGGCTGTAGCTCTATTGGTTTGTACTAAGAAAAGGGAAGATAAAAGCTGCATCTTAATTTATAAGTTAGTATGACAACATCAACAAATAGAATTATGATCTTTGTTTTATTCTACTGAAGTACCAATTAATTTTTATTGAAATCAGACCAAAAACAGTTGAAGGTGAAGCGTTTTGAAGGAATTCCAAGACAATGTGATTTTAGTAAACCATTGGAGCATCGTTCTTCTGTAATCCAAGTGTGTATCTTTTTATACAAAGTAGTCGGACTGTAGAATACAGTGTAGGAAGTTTATTGAATCGGACTAAAATTTTAGGAGGAATAGTACAGAAATTTCTATTAATTTTTCATTTAAAATGGCGACATCCCCTTTTTTAAAATCAAAGTCTGTTGTGTTATACCGAATTGTGTATCATTGTGTAAAGTTTACTTTTACCAAGTTTTATTAAAATTAGACTAAAACTGTACAGCAAGAATAGCATTTTGAAAGAATTTCTCCACAGTTGAGAATTTTACTCATCAATCCATAATTTATCAAATCGTAACTAATAATTAACCAGACATAATTAATGTTTTTAAAGCTTTTTTCATTCATATGAAAAGAAGCGTTCGTAGTTGTTGTTTTTTAAAGAAATGACAGAGTTGTTATTTGTTTTATGGAAAGTTGGAAACATGGGATGTCAACGAACAAAGTTAACCATATTTGACGTAAAGCAGACGATAACAAATCAGAGCTACTTAAATAAAGGAACTCCCCCGCTTTAATTTATCTTCTTAAGACACACATATATACCTTTCCCTGTAATCTACACCTGTCTTTGAAATGATGCATTTTCTTGACTTTATTTTCTATACATATCCAAATCAACCAACGTGAATTGGCGTTGCTTTACACTTTCGAACTTTATTACCTGTGATAAAGATGAATTATTCATTTGAACCAGATAAGAGTTATTTTATTTCAATAGGTTTGAAATCGATGAACTTGACGTTGACACAATTGAATGTAAATGTAGTTCATATAGCAAAATAAGCATAATGTTTTTATGAAATATTATCTAAATAATGCAGTGGTAAAACTTGTTGAATGGATGTAGGTTAGGCTGTCACAGACTTAGTTTAGTGAAAAACTTCTGACGTGTCTTATAATTGTAGTATTTAGCCGCTGGCTACATTAAGTCAACAAGTGTTCCATTGTAAATATGTATATACATATGCAGTCATTCAGTAGGTTTTTTCTCAGTTGAGTTTGAAGATATTTTTTTCTCTCAAATAGATCGCCATGTACTTTATCTGATAAAATCCTATTCAATTTTTTTTAATACATTATCTGCAAAATCAAATGCCAGACACAAAAAAAAAAGGGACAGAAATATGATATCAAAGGTTGGTGAATATCCGAGGAAAGTAAAGACTTACCTATTTAGAATTAATGTACCGATAAACCCCTCGCCTTCTTCACAATTCTGAAGTATGTTTAGTTGGGTCCTATTCTTAAGAAGCCCACAGTTTTGGTGAGTCACGTGACTTCGGCTGTCATCTAGTAAAGAGACAAGAACAGACGGGAGTTTGTTTGTTTCCATTATTTACTTCCTAAAATTTATACCTGTATTACGTAAAGCATATAAACACTTTAGGTGCAGCTGATACATTTTTGTAGGTCTTCACTGTTATCACTGTTCAAACGAAAAGAGTTCTTTATATGTAAGAAATAATTAAGTACTTGAACATGAGGGGCTATTTTGAATGATTTTTTTCACCGTCGAGAATTTTTAATGGAAAGATCACGGATTTTACTTTCCAGCAAAATTAGGCAATAAGCTTACTATAGTTTTCCAAAAGAAATGGTTAGCTGTTTTTCTTAGGTCTAACGTTTGAACGTTTCAAAGACGTTACTAGTATGCGTTGAGTGATCCTAGATCTGACATGTAGGACTAAATTACAGTTTGGACTGTTCCAGGAATAATGCAATATTTAAAGTAACAGACTGATAAAATTGTTTTAGTTAACTGGAAGTGATGTGCTTTTGGATGAGGTAATGTGTTAAACTAAAATTTTAAATATTTTTCAATTTAGACAAGTCTATTACAATTGAGTTAATTCCCCGTTCACGATTCACGGAGGATGTAATACGATATAGCCAGGATTTTTGCTATTGCAGCTTTTTACAGACTTGTTTACATTCATTATCCATGAAAGAAATGTTTAAACAAAGCCAGATATTTAAGGTTTAATGCTTCCGAAGGTACCATTATTATTAACGTTTAAAAGAAGTTTTACAAATATTTGTCAATACTCTTAAAATTATTTTGCTCTTGTTTATACCTCACAGAATTTTTGCTCTACTGAATTCTAAATGAATTATCTTTTTTTCCTTAGATAGTTGTTTGTGGGCACGATCGAGTAACAGAAGGGAAATAAACTGGGCGAAATCACCTTTTTTTCCACAACTCTTGTCCTGCTTGGAGCCTTTAAACCATCGTCTAGTCATATTGCAGAATTTATTTGATAAAATAAAATATGTCAGAAAGGACATCAGCCTTAATTATGACAAATATATATATCGTAACCAGATGTTAATTGAGTCGGAGGATGGTATTACATCGAATAAAATGTTTTAATGCCTCAACATTAGAGTAAAGAGCTAGTTTCAGATGAAAAAAAGAAAAACTAGTGGGTATTGTTTTTTTCTTTTTACAAAAAAAAACACATGTCTCCCCTTCTTTACCAACATTAACGAGTGCAATAATATGACCAGGGTCAAAAATAATAATGCAGTGAATCTCAACTCAAATTCTGTGTACAAAATTTCAAGTTTTCATGTCAAACAGATCTCAAGTAATGGTCTGAATTTGATTTTCTTAATTTGACCTTGAAGAAAGTGGTCAAGGTCAAAATATTTTGATGCAGTGCATTTAGTCTCAATGTTGTCTTTCCTTGTTCAAAGTTTAAAAATCCTAATGTCAAATAGTTCTCAATTTATGACCTAGACTGTATTTTCATGTAAAAGATTGACCTTGACTTTATTAATAGGTCAAGGTGAAAAAAATGTTGGCATTCACCCTTCCTCTATACCACCTCTCCATGTTCCAAGTTTGAAGTCTTAATGTCAGGGTTCTCAAGTTATGGTCTAGTCGTGTATTCTCTATTTGACCTTGAGGAAAGGGGTCAAGGTCAAAAATTTGATGCGGTGCATCTTGTAACAATGTCTTCTTTCTATGTTACAAGTTTGAAGTCCTAATATCAAAGGGTACTCAAGCTAAGGCATGGACTCTATTTTGATGTAAAAAAAAAAAAAAGACCTTGACCTTATAATAAATGGACAAAGGTCAAAAATGTTGGTGCCATGCATCCCTCCTTTATACTACCACTTCTGCATGTTCCATGTTTGAAGTCTTTATAACAAAGGATTCTTCAGTTATGATCTAATCAAGTTTTTTACCTATTTGACCTTGGAGGAAGAAAAGAGGTAAAGGTCAAAATTTTGGAGTGTTGCATCCTGTAACAATGTCTTCTTTCTATGTTACAAGTTTGAAGTCCTAATATCAAAGGGAACTCAAGCTATGGCTTGGAATTTATTTTGATGTAAAAGATTGACCTTGACCTTATAAAAAATGAATCAAGGTCAAAAATTTTGGTGGCTTGCATCCCTCCTTTATACCATCTCTGCATGTTCCAAGTTTGAAGTCTTAATGTCAAAGGGTTCTCAAGTTATGGTCAGATCGTGTTTTTTCTCTATTTGACCTTGGAGGTAGAAAGGGGTCAAGGTCAAAATTCTAATGCAATGCATCTTGTCTCAATGTCTTCTTCCTATGTTACAAGTTTGAAGTCCTAATATGAAAGGGATCTCAAGTTATGGGCTGAACTCTATTTTGATGTAAAAGATTGACCTTGATAAATAGACCAAGGTCAAAAATGTTGGTGGCGTACACTCCTTCTCAGTGTCATCTATCTATGTTCCAAGTTTAAAGTCTTAATGTCAAAGGGTATTTAAGTCACGCCCGGACAAAATTTGGATGAAGAAGAAGAAGAAAATCGACAAAAACAATATGTCTCCCCTGGAAGGGGAGACATAATAAAGGGGGGTATTTCAAAGCAGCTTAATCTGAGCTGCAGAGTCGTAGTATATTACTATGATACATGTATAAGGCTTAAAGAAAAGAGAAAAATTATAGAGTGTGTACAAATTCCACATCCATGACCTTGTTTAATCTTTCATACATTAGACTACATTTGTACGATACTGTTGCAGTGGTACTTTGATATTTACTAGGCGGAATTTCAGACATTAGCAAATGGTAGGACGAAGATGCCGATGGATACCCAAAACCCAGACTGAAGTTAGGGAGTTGTATAAAATACAGTGATAAGCAGGGTAAAGGTCTTCTGGCCATTCAACTGGAATTCACATTGCTTGCAATTAAAGCGGATATTTTTCATTGAGTAAATATATAGTTTAACACCATGTTTGAATGATTGGCAGCATCTTTGATAAGAGTAAGAAGTTTTTTAGTGTGATTGACAAACTGTAGATTTATTTCTATAATTTTACTCTTGTTATGGAGATTGTATCTATTGTAAAAGTGAAAACCATTTTGTTCATGACACAATAAATATTTTAATATATTTTGCAAAGCATAAATGCACTTTGGTGATTCTTTTTCAAAGCAAAGTTGAATTTCGATATTTTTGTTGGACTTAAGTATAAATTAAATTTGTATGAAACAGTATCCAAACATTGTTTTGCATCTCATTTACTATTAAATTTATCTTCAGACGAACTAGAAGAATTTTGTTGACAAGAAATAGACTGTTTTAACCAAATCCTAGCACCGTAAAAATTCGGAACACAACAAGAGGGCAACACCTTTGATAACCCACTATGTACTAACCAATAGCCTCGTCCATTAGGGAACTGAGTAGGTATTGGACAAGGAAGTTGACACGTAGTATATAACCTCAACTTATTCGTAGAACCATCGACATGGAGTACTGATCTTTAAATCATTCATAACTTTATCGGACATTCCATGGTTGTCCTGCAGACCAGACTGTTTTAAATTTCTTTTCTCTGTAATCCTTCATTTCAAACACGTATATCATAGTATATGTAACTCTTATCTCGATTTAAAAATTACGATCGCGTGGGTGACCTTTGAATTACTGTTACTCGTCAATCAAAGGTTTATACTTAATATATTTTTTCGTAGAGAAATTCATGTATGTCATCTGAATATAAAATAAAATGATATTTATATAGATCTACACGCAAACCATTCAAAAAATATTTCTTGTATGTCTTATTGAACAAATATTTAAAACAAAATGTTATCTATGATTTGTGTATAGCATATTAGACAATTTTCAATCAAAGGACGTCGAGATAGAACATTTGGAGAATTTGGACAGAAAAAAAATGTATCCTAGCAACGATATCTGACCGAGACTACTTAATCCTAGCGCACCCTTCTTAAAAGGTCATCCTTGATATATTCTCCATGTCCATTTCCGCTTTTTATCGTACTGGTCCTCAAACATGTCCCATACAATGAGTTACCCTTTATCGTCTGCTTTATTTCCACTTGTACAACGATTTTTTTAAACCAAAGAAGTATTCCTAAAATAATCTCTTTCTGACAGATAAATAATCCCACGTGACTTTTACAACCGGGAGAGCTAAAACTAAGATAATATCCGTCTTTTCGTTTTTATATGTTTCTTTTGACAATTCAGGGGGTCAAAGCTTTGAAACGGTTTAGGACTCATCTTGACCCCAAAGATTTTGCCACAAACTTCACTCATCTTCGCTAGCCAAGGGTTTCTGATCCGCTGCTCTCATCACAAACACAGAAGACAAGTGGATCAGAAACCCTTGGCTAGCGAATATGACTTCACTATGAAATTACATTGTGGTTGTTTTAAAAAAAGGATCTGCTTAACATATGTTGTGAAAATGTCAGTATCAAGAGACTAATTGTCAAGAAAAATATTAAACTTGATCCAAAAATAGAACTTTTGTTACTTTTCCAAACACTCCCTTCATCGGTATAGAACTGTCCTTTTTAAGAGGGGTTCATATTTTGGCACAATATTTCTTCAATCCTGTAAACTATATTACAGTACATAAAATCAATATCTACGTGATAAATAGTCCCAGACCTAACTTTGTTATTTTGAATACCAATACGCTTAAATAAGTACACGCATAGGATTTAAGAATTTAGACACACTTCATTAAAGGAAGCATAAATATCTAATTTTATTTCAGGTGATGACTTTCATATTAATTCCTAAAACATAAATCCAATTGGATTAAATTAAACCTATCAAATCATAAAAAGATCGGAAATCTCAATGTTTATAACCGTCCCTTGGAACTAGGGTATGGCCATAATAGGGGATCAAAATTTTACAGTATATTGTTTGAATAACTCTCATATTCACGATATGTTCTAGTGAAAAATCCAAAATATAACATTTGTTACGTGAATCAATTGATGGCTTCTAAAACGAGCTGGATCCGCAACTTCTAGAGTCAATCGAACATTGGAGAAATCGTCACAAAACTACAATGTGTCGGTGTTAGTCCTATTTAATTTTATAATTCTTTCGCACTTGTTCGAGTGACTCGATTGACACTGCTTTATATGGTGGTAAATATATATACACTTAACAAAACTTCTAAGTTTTCACTCTTATAAATGTATTTATTCAAAAATTACATGATGGAATGGTATGATATTTTCAAATTATTAAACCAATGATTTTCCTTAAGGTTTTACCAAAGGTCAACATGCCTAAAATTTTATTTTTACAACAGCTCCAAAACTATGTGAGGTATAAAGTTAAAACTTTTACAGTTTATAAATATATCATTGATTAACAGATAGAAAGTATCACTTGATAACAAATACTTAAAGAAAGTATTTAACGAGAAAAATTCTTTTTAAAAAATGCATATATTTTTAAAAAAATACACCTAATTAATTCCGTACTTTTAGTGAAAGCCATCATTGCAGAAACAATATATGTTTATCAATGAAAGGCAAGTTGGACTTCGATAGCCTCTGGAAAGTTGTTTTCTTTGTTTATTTTGTCCAAATATTAAGATTTGAAACCGAAAGTACATTGCAAATGGCGGATTTTATAGGGTACTTGTCTTTATACATGTCATGCTTTCAATAATAGCCTTTCAGAGACCATTCACGTCCAACTTGCCCTTCATTGATAAACATATATTATTTCTTCAATGATCGTTTTCACTAAAAGTACAGAATTAAGCAGGTGCATTTTTTTAAAATATGCAAATTTTTTGAAATTGTTTTTTCTCAAAAAATATATTTTTTTTAAATATTTGTTTTTAAGTGATACTCTCTATCTGTTAATCAATGATATATTTATAAACTGTAAAAGTTTTAACTTTATACCTCACATAGTTTTGGAGCTGTTGTAAAAATAAATTTTTGAGCATGTTGACCTTTGGTAAAACCTTAACAATTGTGGAAAGAAAATCGAATATCACCGATGAAAATCAATGACCCATGACTAAGCTTAAAATCAATAAATCAGACTTTTGCGGCACATGTTTTGTGTAATCAGCTTCTTTTTGTGACCATTATTGATCTTTAATAACTGGTTTCATTAAAAAACACAAAACATGGGCAAAATGACTATTGAGGAAGAAGGGAGAGCCGTTGGAATATTGGTGTCTGGATCGTCCTTACGACAAGTAATACTCACTTTTATTTTAGTGTTTATTTGTCCTTGATATTACCTTTAAAAATTAACAACCAGTATAAAACGCCATTTAAACACATTTTTCTGTAGGTTACGCTTCATTTTCATCGACAACTTACAACAGTCTGAAAGATTAGAGGCTAAGGTTTCGCGTCACAAACTAGTTAAAAGATTGTTACATGGTCCTGAACCACTTTAGAAACAGTTTTAAATCAATAACCTCAATGACAAGAAAATGACAACAAAATGATGCTCATGGCATTCCAATGTCATCTCAAACAGTCTGAATCCTTCTTAAAGAGGGACGCTTAATTACGTGCCAGCCGCCCGAGGAGGGTTTTAGTGTTGACCAAAAGGCATCTGTGTGATGCCCTGGCCTGCCAAATCAACAGATCAAAATCCCATTGAACTCATTTGGTTATTTTAAAAGGAATGTCAAACCCCTTCCCCCTCCACGGAATTTCAACGATTTAGATAGATCCATACAGCAAGTTTGGCAGCAGATGGGTCAACCTTCTATTCAGAGGTACATTCTATCCATGAGGAAACGATGTCTTGCAGTAATTAGAGCGAGAGGTAGTCTTTCTTAATATTGATCATTTTATGTGAATTTTCATTTGAGGGTACATCATATCCTTAACACTTTGTTTTGAAGTCTGACGAGATACTTAAATGAAATTTACGCAAAATCAACTGAAATATACATCATTAACAATGAATTAAAGATAATACTTATAGTATGCATTTATCATTTATATCTAAAAAAATGTTGGGTCTACACTTGGAAGTTTAGTTCAGTGTATCCCCTCCTCCCTCCCCCCCAACTAATCAAAACGATGCTACGGGCCTGTTAAGTACATGTCTTCCCCTTCATATAAGAATTTATTTTACCAAATTAAGAATAAGTGCGCATCAGCTGTATGTACAGACAGACAGATATTGTAATCCTCTAATTCCTAGAGAAAATACATGTAGATTTTGTTTTTATTGTAAAATTAGTGCTGGAGATTTAAAAAAAAACATTTTTTTAAATTATTATTTTTTAATTATTTGTCCTTTGCATGAACGTGGTTAAAAAGTATTCTAAATTTTCAAATATTTAATTTTTAACAATGAGTAGCATAATTTTTCCTTTCCTCATTATTGATAAACAAAATGTTATACTTATCATAAGTATCTTTAAAAATAAGAGAGTTTTAGAAGTTTTACTTATTGAAAGTGTACAATGCATATACATGTATATGCTTAATTAGTTTATATATGATGATCAATAGTGTCAATTTCGCTGATTGTTTATTTATTTTGCTGAATTGTTATACATGTATCGGAAATGACACAAGCAAAATTCATTTCACGATATACAAATAAAATATGCACTTACTCTCTTTTGTTCGTTCATCCAAAGATGATTAAAGAACTGGCATATCAATTATTTGGGTTTTTACACAAAGAAGCACGTTATTCCTTTAATTTCCATGGACAAAGCATGTGATAATTTTGGAGAATGTCATATTGACGGTTCCATGCAATGGTTGACCAAAATTTTGTTTTCGGAATCGGTATCTTCTCTGAATTTCGTAGCCATTCATTCGGCCATACTGAGTGAAAAACACTTGCAGAAAACTTTTCCTTCTCCGTCTGCCCAGCTGGCAAAAAATTAGGGAGACATTCGTATCCAATAACCACTTAATGCAGATCTGTAGCTCGCTGGTCTGAAAAAATTGGGATGAACGACCTTAAAGCTACAGTGCCACTCATTGAAAAAAATAGTGTATATTGCGCACAAAAAATAGCGTTCTTTCTCATTTTATTTCTAATACATGTATTTTTTAAACTGTAGACTCAAAATATTACTAACCGTGTATTCCTAACATATTCTGTTACTATTTATACTGCCATTTTGGGTGGCAAGACAGTTCGACCCAACGTGCTAAATTCGTGCAGATTTCAACTAGAAGAGTAGTTGATAGAGGTCTAAAGAAAAAAAAGTCAACCATATTCTGCAGTTTTTTTCACTCTCCCTCTTATACATACATATTGTATAAATCCATTAGATTTCTTCTGTATATTTAGAACGTCATTAATTTGTTTGAATCGACTTGATTTCTAATTTAACATGTATGTAAATTTCAAATATCATTTTTAAGCAGCTTAAAACCTTGTTTTGTGACTATCTAATAAGGGTCTGTCATCTTAATCATAAATGATAAGGAAACGGATTGGTATAAGTTTTTAAACTTGTTTCCGAATCCTTTTTGATTTTCTGTACTACTTGCCTGTATATTCTGCTTGTCATTTTCAAATAAAATATGGTTTAAACTATGGAAATTTTTGAAATCGAGCTTTTGTACAGCTGAGGTAAGAATTTGGAGAAATGAATCCAGAACCGAGCTCAGCTTTTTGTGCGCAATAAATATACAGTTCTGCAGCTACACTTAATTAAACCCCCTTACATTCATTTAAAATTGAGGAGATTAATGACGCTTTAATACACCGATTTGTTCATGAAAAGATTGATACAACTGAATCATTAAATATGATCAGTTTAATGAAGCTTTAGTCGGTCATTTAATATTGATACAACTGAATCCTGCACCACGAAGTTACTTTATACTTTGAAATTTTTTCATAGTACATGTACTTATATAATTAATTTCTGCATGGCATTTGCTAAATTTGGTTATACAAACTTACCACAGTAATAAAAACTAATACAAGACACTCATCTAGCAAAAAGAGTGTTCAGCTTAGAAGCAACATTGATCTATGCATGTTTGGTCAGTGTAGCCTTTAAATATACACTTACTCAGAATGAAACATGCCATGCCAATGCTGTGATACCATAGATATTGAGTAAATTCTCCCCGACTTTATCTCAGAAAGCTAGAAATAATATCATGTCTTTAAGGTTCATCGACCCTCTAACAAGAGAGATAATCCTCACTAGGATAAATCACTATTATTCCTATTTTAAATTGTCAAGTAAAAAGGCCAATTTTGTCCAGTTTTGACCCACAAAGTATGCTGAAATCATGCACTTTAATGATAATTTTTTTTTTCCTGAAAAATCATAAGCATAACAGCAAAAATTTATACAAGTGAACAGAGGGCCTATGAACCTTAATATCTGATTTCAAGGCAATAATATTCAAAACTTCAGAAAAATTGTGTTCATATATCAACATTTTATTTCATGCTCTTTTTAAGCAGAATTTATAACAACTGAATTAAAACATATACTTCTCTACAAAGTACTTGCCATTGAACATACAAATATCTGAACTGATAAAAGAATAGTTGTCTTAAAATGATAATAGGACAGAAAAAGTTGTACAGAAGATAAACTCAATTTACAACTGAATGTCAATACAATGTAATTTATCATTTCAAGGCTATGTATTGATTTTTCTTCAAAATCAAGGAAGTTAATCTAACAGAATGGATGAATATGTGTACTTTGTACTATTCTGAGAGCAATATGTTATCAGTTGTATGCCACACAATTTTGAAATGACATTTCTTTTATTTATTTCTTTTTTACATTGATAAGAGAACAAACATAATCAAACAATGACATTTTGTAGCACTAGGTATACTTCAGTCTTAAAGATCACAGGTTCTTATAAGCTTCATATCTTTACACTGTCCATTTTGTAGATAAGTGTTGGAATTCACTTGATACATGTAAAATAAACTGTATTCTAACCAAATATAATTCCAACTGGGTCTTGATTTTTCACTGTTCAATGATGTACACATATCTATAACTTTTTAATAAATAAATACAACTTTTCCCTGACTTAACAAAGGCAATCAAATATAACAAAGCTCACCTCAATGTTATCTACAAAGACGACAAAGTCTGACACCGCATAAATGTTTTTGTAGTGTGCCTCCCTAGATGCGACATCCATGTAAGTTTGGTCCAAGTAGGGCTTACAGTTACTTTGGAATAGACTTGCTCCTTAAACTTTATAGTGGATGCTGATGCTGAAACTGACTCTAATGTCTGGAGTATAGAATAAGATAATCTTTGTCGAAGTGAGCTAAAAATATGATTTTCGGTAAGAATTTGCTCTTTTTTTCTAACATTTAATTTGACCTGACATAAAAAATTTGCTGTAAAATGCTATTTCATGTATTGTTTGATTCCATTTCACATGACATTCCACTGAAAAACAAATATTGCCCACTAAACAATTTCAAAACATGATTTCCTTTTTTACAATTATCTATGTAAAACATGTATTGCCTCTCTATACAGATTACATGTACAATGGTATGAAATATAAGGAAGTAGTGGCAACATTTCTTAAACTGAAATTTGAACAATACTTTGCATAATTCATAACTTTTGCATTGGAGTACATGAATTCAGAGGTTTGTAAGTGATAAGTACCTTCATTCTACACTAACTATAAAATACATTAAAACTGAACTCTATTTATATTCTCAAAGGGGAATAATCCTTAACAGATCAAGACATCAAAACATAAAAAATTGTGTACAATTTCCATCAACAAATACGTTAAACCTTGATACGACAGCTTAGTGTATCACTGGGCAAATAATGACTGAATTCAAACAAGGATACAATATGGAATCATTAACAATAGGCATGATCACAGTGTAGCATCTTGTTGTATGAACTTGTTCCCTTTCTCTTCACCATCATCAACAGAACTTACGTCCATCATCTTCATTTATACCAGCTTTCTTATACACACAGGTAAAGGTTGCACCATCTGACAAATATTATATATGTAAGTATTTTTAATATGATGATTTATTTCTAAGGAAGTATTGTGAACTACATGTACAGTATTTTACCATGTTTACGAGAAAAAAAAAGATATAACCAATATAACTCAAACTGCCCATTTGTTAAAAAAAAACCCTAAATTTTTCTATTTCCCCTCAACAATCAAATGGTACCCAACTCAAGCAATAGGCCCATGGGCCACATCACTCATCTAAGTCATTATGGCCCTGCTATTCTCCATCAGCAGATTTTTACCCTATCTTTTCCTATGTAAAACTTTGATCACATATCCCCCCCCCCCCCCCCCAAACACAAATTATAAATTGAACACAAATTTGAATCTACAATACCCGAAGATGCTTCCGTATAAACATGACTAACCATGACTTTGCTGTTCTTGCATAAAAGATTTTGCAAAACTATTTTCTATATATTCCTGTATAAAGTTTTGATCATCCATTGTGGCCAGACCCAAAGATGGGGGGGAATATGATTCCAAAGGGGATGGATGGGCATGATTTGTATAATTTGAAACTTGAATCTACTCTACCTGAGGATGCTTCCATAAAATTATGACTAATCATAGCTTTACTGTTCTTGAGGAGATAGTTTTGAAAGATTTTTCCTAGACATTCCTATGAAAATTTTTGATTGCCCACTGTGGCCCCACTCTACCCCCAGGGGTCATGGTTTGAACAAAATTGAATCTACACTATGCAATATTGCTTTTCCCTAAATTTCATCTTATCTGGTCCAGTGGTTCTTGAGAAGAAGATTTTTAAAAGCTTCCATAAATTTTCACTAATTGTTAATTTTCTCCCCTTGAAAGAAGGCTTGGCCCTTCATTTGAACAAATTTAAGTCCCCTTTAGCCAAGGATGCTTTGTGGCAAGTTTGGTTGAAATTAGACCAGTGGTTCTTGAGAAGATGTTAAAAATGTGAAAAAAAATTCCAAAAAGATGGACAAAATGTGATCAGCTAATTTGAGATTTCAGCTCAGATGAGCTAAAAATTTATCCAGTTTCTCTGAATAAAATAATTTTGAGTAAATGATATAGGGTATTGTCAATGTCCACTTATATTTTGTTGAAAATGAAATACATGTACGTTCCCTACCCATGGAAAAAAGAAGCAGGACTTTAATCTCCATGTCTACAATGTGATATGATATTCGGTGTATTTACTTTCAAAGCATTCATGAAAACAATTTTTACACTATGAACAGTCATGGTGCAAATCGTCATTCTACTGGGTATAGTTTTTAAAATAATGTTTCCAAAATCAATATAAAGGTCCAAATCACTGATAAATTTGGTGGCTTTTCAAATAAATTATATCAACCACATTTCACCTACCCTAACAGTCATAAACAGATATTCAAATGACTCAATTAACCAAAGTATTGAGCAATTACCATAGTGAGAAAAGATCTCCGGCTGAGGGGAGGGGTGCTAAACCCCCATCTATGTCTGGCAGTTTGGACAGATCTGGGAGATTCCGAATGTGAGACATCAACTCCTGTCTGACAGCACCCACTTTTTCCAGTCTCTGTTTTGATTCCTGATGCAGAAAAAAGATAAAAGTTATTACAAGAACATTGACTTATTTTTACTTTTATATGGATTGCTCCATGCTATTTGTCATAATTTTTTGCTATCATATCAATTACAGTAAGAGAAGTTGGGGAGATGTGAAGACATACACATGGTCCACCTTCAATTCTTCATTAAAACACTCTCATATCTCTGTAATTTTACTTAATTGAAAAATGACTAAAGTATCAGAAACTCAAGTAAAAAAAAAATTTCATGTTTTCAGTGTCTGAGCATAATTTGCTCTCAATTTAATTTAACAAGCACCTGAAATATTTCCTACCTGTAGTTTTTCCTCTCCTTTGACAACCTGATCTTTTTGGCTTGTAAGGAAATCTCTCAACATCTTCCCTACTTGTTTTCTCTCTTCCAGTTCTGCATTCAGGCGGAAGTTGTATTCTGATAACAAAATACAAGCATCTTCTACTTGTCGGAACAATTTCACAGCCGTTTCTTTATCTAAAGAAATAAAATACAAGTTCATATTTATTGTAAATATACATACATGTGTAAATTGTTTTCTTTCCAATGGAAGTCAAATATGAGCATTTTTGTAGCATATTTCATATCTTATATTAAACTCAGCAAATTATTCAATCTGTCACAGTAGTATTTCCAAATTACAGTGTATATGCAAATCTAGCTTTATTTACTGCCACATGACAACAATGAGGTCACTACAGACTTAATTGATGAGAGAAACTTACCAGTGATTTTGGACAGATGGTTTATGTCAGAAACATCTGGTGGCAGGGCTGCAATTTTCTCTCTGACTGCAGCATCACTAGATGCTGAATGTTCTAAATCGGCCAATCTCTTCACCAGTTCTTCTGCCTAAAAGTAAGACAATAAATATAAAATGTAACCTTATTCTATGACTGTTGGCATTCTCAATGCTTCACACTTTATCATACACATCTATTAGAACAAAAATTGTTACAAGTAGTCTAAATTTGTCTCATTCTTCTCCCCGATTCTTTAATGTTTCCTAATCAGAGTGTTTAAGAAATTTATAACAGTGAGCTTTGTTGCCTCGAACTTCAATATCTCAAATACAATGGATATATGTCAAAGTCAGATGCAAGTCCCAACTTTCTTTCCTTTATGTATTTTAATTAAACCTTGATATCTCTAATTTTGGGATAGCCTGAATTTTTTTCTTAGGTCCATCCAGTTCGAGATAATGAAGACTGACTGTATTTTGTGCAATTATGAGAAATTCAGAAGTTACTGAATTACCAATATAAATATATGCAAGATGTTCATTTATTTCCACCTTTATAGGAAGGATAAAAAAGTGTGTCATTTTGAAGTGATAAAATGTAAACAATGTATCATATTATTTAAAATGAGCTAAAATCCATACATCTGGGACCACAGGGTTTTCATCTTTAGGCATTGCCTCTATTTCTTCTCGCAGAGAGGGCATTTCATCCATCTTCTTCCTCTTTGCCGGGGGTGTGGTTTTTTCTGTATTTTGCACTACAAAACAGTTGCAACTTTTAAAGATTTGCTTCTTATATCCTTCACATAACTCTTATGATTTTTGTTTATATGGAGACTCAGGAGTTGATCCAGAGAGGTTCATGTATATTAAATGTATTTTACCTGTTTAAGTGGCAAATGACAAAAGCATTACTTGAGAAAAACTGTAAATATTGATAATTTCTCTTTAACAAGCTTTAGTAGTGGACTATTTTAAAGTTTAGGATAGAAATCTTACTTTAGCAGACAATTAGAAATAACAAAAATGAAGTTCTGAAACACTTGTTTTCACTTTTCCATTAATATTACAATGATAGTCTTTAAAAAGTTCTAAAAGAAAAAGTTTGAAAGATCTGTTAAGTAGTCAAAATAAAAAAAAACCAAAAAAAAAAACCAAAAACAAAATTCCCTCATGCATATTTAAAATACATATCAAAGAAGAATTTGAACAATGAAATTGTGTATAACCAGTGTTTGAAACTCACCGTAAAATTAGCTAGACATTTAGGCCAAATGCTAGTGAAAGTTTTCAGCCCTGCCAAAAATCTACTGGCCCCGAGAAAGTAATTTTTTTTTTATAAATTTGTTTTTAGTGATAATGTGAATGGGGCCAGATCACCGTAACTTCGATTCCAAATCTATAGGCTAAGGAATTCTACCACTTTACCTATTACACTTTGATACCCATACTATAAGTTGATCTGAGAAAGATTTATTAAATATATGAATTTTAATTTAAGGAAAATTTTAACACATCCATCCGGGCATCGGTACATGCAAATCTGTTCGTCCATGGCAAAATTTGTGCGTCTCGAGCGGTCGGGAGCACGGTTATTTCAAACACTAGTACAACCTTCAATAAGTAAACATCTTTTAATTTATCTCAATACATGTACCTTCATACAATGTAGCAATTTTAAAAACTTTATTACAAAATGCTTAATAGAGGATATTACCCATAGTATGAAATTTATAGGTGTTCTTGTAAAGTTTATTTCATAATAAGTAATTTGTATGGATGAACCACGTCAACATTCATATTCCTACAAGAAAAAAAATGCTCAGCCAAATTATCAGCACCTTTGAACCCCTTCTTCTTTAGCGTCACTACATATTCTTCCACCTTTTTCTTTCGTTGTGATTTCAAGTCAGAGTCAGAGACAGAAGTTGCTACAAAGACAAAACAAAAGCCCTCTATACCAAAAATTACCCACAATGCAATGGGTCAGTGTTGTTCAGATCATCACTGTCTTGTCAGTGATCAGCAGCTCCAATCAGATGCTCACAATTTGAAGATTGATAAAATAATTATTACTGCTATATGGTACCATGAGTATCATGACACAGGGACAAGACAGATGTCATCAATTTCAACAACAATGAAACAGAACAACTGAAAAATTCCTGTGAAAGAAACTTGTGATACAATAGAGATACTGGTAGACAAGGAAATATAAAATAAGCTGGATATGGGAGAGTAAAAATACCTTTTTGTTTCATACTATCAAATCAAATGCTTCCCATCTACATACACATCTGCTAGATAAAGAATATTCCATGAATGCTAGTTTAAGATGACATGCAATATGCTCCATGTCGTAATAAAAACATGCTTGTCTCCAGATGTACCCATGCGAGATCCAAAAGAAATAATCAATTCAGTAAAAGTTTTACTTGGGCAACTAATAATGACCCAGGAAATATCTGCATTCAGGAAAAGTCATTTACTGATTTAAAGTGAAATGTTATAATACCAATGTCTTGAAAGACAAGATTTATAATAAAAAAGAGCATGTTTTACCTCCAGGTTTAGACAGACGGATTTGATCAATAAAGTGTTTGCTGTACACGGCTCTTTCTTCCCAGATTCCAAGGATTCTGTCCACTGATTTTTTAATCTTATCATCTGCATCCCTGTGGTAAATGATAAGCATACCATGATCACTGCTAAATTTATCACTTATCACACATACTTACATGTATTTTCACATATTTCCAAAAACTGTCTTTGTAGGGGGTTCTTTCAATTAGATTCTATAGAACAGCTGATAGAAAGGAGTCTAAAAATATTAACATTCCACCCTACTCTCAATATTATTTACTGAAATGACTCTCACATGCAATCATATTGAATATCTCTTACTTAGTGGAAATTTTGTATGCCTCTGGTAAAACGGTGGCAAAGTCTCTTGTAAATTCTGGTCCTTTCTTTTTGCTGTTTTGTATGACATCATTAGCCAGGTACATAAAGGTTAATCTTTGACTGGGACGCACTGAAATAATCCAAGTACAACCAGTTATCTAATACATAACATGTATCATATTTATACCTTTAGGCTTTTTTGACATGTTTGAACACAGAGCTTTGTGCCATGTGTATCGAACTTCCTCAATTCACCTGTCAACTTTCTTTAAAACTATTAAACTTTCTGATTGTTTGGAACATGTTAAAATTTTTATGCATACTCATTAAAATAAATATACATACCAATTACCTCATGAGAATTACCAGTAATACATGTATCTACTACTCATACTAATTAAGTCTGTTTCAAATAATTTTGCTCATCACAGCTTCCAGAGTTCAAAAACTTAAAATCAAAATTCAGACACCCCATTCTATTCCACAAATTTCATAGATTAAACAGCACCTTTCTTTCAAATAAGGGGAAAATGTTGTCTTTGTGAAAAACGTTTATGTCAGCATTCCATATGTTGTAAACAACACGAATATTGTTGACAAACAAATCTTACCTTTTTGCATTTCCCTTAGCCATACTTGAACGATTGTTTTTGAATGTTTTCGATGATGAATCAACCATAATGACAATGTTTGAATACTTTGCTGTGTATTATTCAGCTCTCCTAGTTTTTTAACAAAGTTGTTATCCGAAAAAGAGGACATTTTTCCTCTGGACACCTGCTTCGCAAGAACCAAAACAAAAGTTGTCGTCCCTGGCGGAAGTGAGGCTGATTTTCATTGCATCTGATTGGGGGGGGGGGGGGGCTAAGTTCATTGTGATGGTAAATATTGATCTTGTTAAATCAAAGTCTTTAATATAAAATATAAAAAAGATATGAAAGTCTTTTATTTCCTGTAAATCGCTATTTTGAAACCATTAATTTTTCATTCATAATTTTGTTTCAGTAAACCTGGACCCCCCTTCAAAATTTTGGTTTCAACCTCTAAATTGTACCGGAAGTTGCATGAACAGTGCATTTGGTCTGAACAGTTAGAGAGAAAATGCCGTATGCTAACCAACCAACAGTTCAAATCACACAACTGTCAGAGGAAAACATAAAGTATATTCTTGAGGATACAGATCTGAGGTATACAACTGGATAAAGTGGATGAGGCTAATTTGTTTACCCATTCAGAGATTCTCAAATGAATTACCACCCTCATGATATAGTTTAGTAATAAATATTAGAAACCTATTTACTGGTTGTAAGGACAATAACAAGTTACTGTCCCCCTCGACAGCAAATATTTCCTGAGGCGCAGCTAGCTGAGGGGAATATAGTTGCTGTTGAGGGGGACAAACTTCGTAATTGCCATTATCCATCATATTTTCATATAGAAAAAAATACACAAAGGTATAATGAATATAAACTATAACATAAATTATGTCTTACTTTTGTATTTCTGTTCTTACCCTACTTACATAAAGCATTTACGTATTGGGTTATCAAATTTTTTAAAAAAATATATAATTAAAACTGATTAGAAACTGCTCTGCATAATTTGAATTGCAACGTACAGTATAAGTTTCATGATTACACAAAGTAAACCTGAAGTTTGATGAATAACTAAATTCTGCATGAATTTTAATAAATATTGCTTCTTTCAGTGTTGCAAATGCTATTAGAAGAGTTTGTATTGCTGAAGTGCCAACCATTGGTGAGTTTCTTATCACTGAATATTTAAATCATACATGTGATATGTACCAGTGGTACACAAAATGTCACACATATTTGACCCCATTCACGGGTGCACGGAGGTACACCAAAATTCACGGGAAATGAAAATTTGTATTTTGTAATGTTTGACAGAACAGCCACCAGAAATCTCGATCAATGCATGACTTACTGTGCTTGGTTAATGTAAACAAAACATCTTGAACGAAGGTGTGAAACATTCCCGTGATAATTACAACGTAATTAAGAGATATCAAAGCTTTTTGTTAGGCTGAATATTTTTTAATAGGACCCATATTAAGGATTTTTTCAACTCTAATTTGTTAAAATTTGTCGGTAGAAAATTCAAATTAAAGACATTTCAAAGAGAAAAAGGCACTCACAAGAATCAGAGTAACTTTGTGACAGCATTACGAAATTTAGTCCATTATTTGCTTAGGCATAAGTATTGTCCATTCAAACACAGATTAAGAGAAATGCTTTTAGTATCATTTAAAAAATGCAGATGAATGGAGACGACCAGACTCTTGCATTATTACCAAGTTCAGCATTTACCATAGGGATTGTTGAAATTCCAAAATCTTCAAGAATTTCTTGAAATGAGTAATTACATATATAACACTGCATGCAGTGGTGCATCTGTACGTTGATTTGAATTTATTGATAAAAAATGAACATCTTACATTGATTTTTTGTCGATATTTTGTACAGTTTTTTGATTAGCAATGTACTGTACAGTATTTTCACCCAAATTCCAGTATTTTGAAGACTATTTGGGTCTAGAAATTATCACACATATGTTAAATGAATGCTAGTAGAAGGTACACTCCAGTTGTATGATGTATCAAACATTCAGCTTTATTTAAACATTGATTTCTTATTTTTGGATGGTCATATAACAGCTAGAACCTGGTCGTGCTGTCAAATTGAATACCATGCTTAAGTGCAGTATGATAATTTGTCGGCATGGGCAGGTGCTGTTAAATGACCAATGACATCAAAAAGAAAAAAAATTAATTTTTTATATTTACATTTTATAATTTTCTATCTTCATAAATGTTAATTTCATTCATTATTATTATAAATTTGGCCCCTTTCAGAACTGGTGTGGCTGTTATACGTACATGTAAGAGCTGTTTTGACGTGGAAAGTTAAATAACACAAATGAATATTGCAAGGGAAAAAGACAAATTAATTGTAAAAGTAGAACTGTTATATTTTTACAACAATTTAATTGGGCAAATGTTTTTAATTAAATTGAGCCAAAACAATAAACATATTGATGTTCGTAGTGTATTAAAAGTGTATGTAGTTCCTATTGTGTATTCTATAAAGCAGTAACAAGGTTTCGTGTGTGCTATAGGGGGTTGAATTACCAATGGATTTTATAATGAAAATAGGCCTATACAGTATTCTGCAAGACTGTGTAGGCCCATTACTGAATGTAAATATTTATTAATGTTTTTACAATCTTTTGCAGCCATTGACTGGGTACAGATTGAGTCTAATTCTACAGTCCTGTTTGATGAGTTTATTGCTCACAGGATCGGCTTAATTCCATTGACCAGTGATGAAGTGGTGGACCGTATGCAATACTCGAGGGTTTGTTCAATGATTCACATTTTCATGCCTCATGTTTTTGGTGATCATGAAAAGGATGTTACTGTGACAAAAATAGTTGAAAAATACCTGTACAGTTGAACTTCGGTATCTCAAACATGGATGTCTCGAATACCATGGATATGTCTAAGTGATTGGGATGTCCTAACCACATATTTCTTAACGAGGTTGGATCCTGATATTTAAAGTCTTAAACTTTTTTTGTCAAGTATATTTTAAGTTTCTACACACATAGCTTAATTAAAAATCAAAACAAAAAATGGGGGTCAATATGCTTCTTTTGGCGCTACAGAACACTAAATATGACCTTTTTGCACTGAAATTTGTGTCTTAATCAAAAATCACATCTTCGACGTTTTCCCTCCAATGTTTTTATCCCAATAAATCATGGGACAAAATAAACTATTAGTCTATTTTAAAGAAGACACTTTAAAATTGTGACTAACAAAAAGTTTCAAAGTGCTTCGCATAATCAATTATTTGACCTTTCTGCACTCAACAAATGTGATTTTTCTGACATTAAAAATTTAATAAGCAATAAAATTATTTTAAAGTCTTAAACTTTTGCTGAATTTAGGCAGGTTGATCAAATTTATCTTATATATTCAGAAAAGAAAAACAAAAGTGGGGGTCTATGATATAATTTTTTAGATATTAATAAAAAAAGTGCTAATTTTATGTTTAAATTGGCTAAATTTTTTCCTGGACTTTCAGAATATATTTACTATATTTGTCACAATATAACAAAAGAATTCATAAGAAATAATTTAATAGATATTTCAGAACCAGCATAAAACATTTCACTGCAAAACACAGCCCAGTGTGCAACCAGCATGGAAAAATAGGAATCTAAACTTAACAGTACTGAATATATTTCAAAAGGGAATAATTTATCAATTTCTCCTAAAAAACCTTCCGCCACAAAATATAGTTCATGGCTTAATCGTTTTTGAATGGAATTTAATCGCGGTTTTTTCCTTGGATATAGTTTAATTTGCATTGTAGAATCCAGATTTAATGTTTGAACTTAAAAATGATGCAGAATTTTATAAATAAAGATCCAGAGCAAAATCTGCTCAAAAGCTCAGGATCGAACCTCCTTAAGTATTTAACCATCGATATCTCCAACCCTCGGATACTTGAATTTTTTTTTTGGTCTCATCGAGTTCGAGATGATGAGGTTTGACTGTATATGGTTTAGGGGTGGGACGATACACAGATCTTACGATACGATACGTATCTCGGTACACATAACACGATACGATACGTATCTCGATATTATGATAAATCATAAAACTATATAAAAAAAACTTTTTTTTAATTTCATTTTTGTCTTGATATTAAATCTACAAATTATTCTATATCAATTCATATGTGCTTTGAAATTAATACTTGAAGTTCATCAATTTCATTGACTTAAAATTTACAAAAACATTGTTACATCTACATATTGCCAAATATCTATAAACAAGTTGTTTACAAATGGTTGTGTAGTTCATCAAAAACACTGTCTAAAAATTCATTTAAAAAACATCACATGTACATTAATATTAATTGCTGAAAGTCTGTAACCAAGTTGAGTTTAAAAAAAAAATCCACAATTTGTTTCAGAATTTCAAATTCTTGAAATTAGAGAATCCATACATTGTTATGAGCTGTTATAGTACCAGATGGACCAATATCAACTGTTGTGGAAACGACACGTTCTGTATATATGTAACACACTTTCCAAACTGAACTTTTCTTGTCCCATCTTCCGAGGATGCTTAAAAGTGAAAATGATTTACCCCTTATCTACACATTATTAGTTCTAAAGCGTGTTTTCAATATCAATATCATGTCTTCACTTCAAACAAGCCGCCATTTTCCAAGGACAACTACTTTCATTTTCAATTTTTTGATAGGTCGTTCGTGTATCGTTTCGTACCGATATTTTAAGACCTGTATCGTAAACCGTATCTTAGAAGAAAATATCGGTATGTATCGTTGTATCGGTATATCGTCCCACCCCTAATATGGTTGTATAAAAAATATTTTGTTAGGCTAGTAAAACATATACACTGGTGAAACTTGTGATAAATATTGTGTGAAAGGAATCAAGTAACATTATAATGAGATACATAGTTTAAATACTGGCAATGAGAATGGCAAGTGTATAAAATTATCCAGTCAAAATTTTAGGATGTACTGCACAAGGTCGCCCCCAAATATTAGTTCAGTAATGAGAACGATTCCTGAAAAAAATTTTAACAATGTTGTTCAATGGGCAATTGAATCTTATTATTGTCCCCTGCTTTCACAAAAGTGGGGGAACATTAAATCTCATTCGTGTGTCAGTCTCTCACAAAAACTTTAACCTTGGTCGTGACTTTTGAATGAGAAAAGGTACGGTTTTTATATTTCACTTGCACATTACCTGTGACAAGACCTTTCCAAATTCACTATGATTTTTGACCCCATGACCTTGACCTTGAAGTTTGACATACTTTTGAAAAATTTTAACATTTGTGATAACTCTTTGAATGAGAAAATACAGGTCATTCGTATTTAACATGTGTATTACCTGTTACAAGACCTTTCCAAATGTAGAGTAATCATGCTTTTTACCTTGTGACCTTGAGTTTACCCTACAGTACTTTTAAAAATTTTAACATTGGTACTGGTAATAACTTGAATGGAAGAAAATAGGGCTTTCGTTTTTAATTTTAGATATAGGTATATAACCTGTGATAGCACCTTTCAAAAGAATTATCATTTTTGACTTCATGACCTTGACCTAGAAGTTTGACCTACTTATCTAAAATTTCAACTTTGGCAATAACTTTTGCTCCAGAAGAGACTTTTTTCCACATGTACATTACTTGTGGCCTTTCAGATTTTATTATTATATTTGACCATTTGTCCTTGATCTTGAAGTTTGATGCAGTTTTAAGAAACTTTCATCTTGGCCATGAATTTTATTAATTAAAAAATTTATATCTTTTTTGTGTGATGGACAGACAAGACAGGACAAACAGGGAAGACAGTTATAATATGCCCTAATTAATTGCATCCTAACCACTAACACACCAAAAGCAAGGGACTACAATTCTTTGAATTTGCTTGTTTATTAAAATATGTATAGTGTATTTGATTAGATCAGATTAGCATTGACATATAAAAAGTATTTCAAGTCCCATTTTAATCATATTCAAGTCTTTTGGTTTTAGGCCTTTTAAAAGTACTGAAATTGATCTTATTATAATTTTTAGCTCACCTGAGCTGAAAGCTCAAGTGAGCTTTTCTGATCACATTTTGTCCGGCGTCCGTCTGTCTGTCCGTCTGTCTGTCCGTCTGTCTGTAAACTTTTCACATTTTCGACTTCTTCTCAAGAACCACTGGGCCAATTTCAACCAAACTTGCCACAAAGTATCCTTGGGTAAAGGGGATTCAAGTTTGTTCAAATGAAGGGCCACGCCCTATTTCAAGGGGAGATAATTAGGAATTACTGAAAAATAATGGCATCATTTAAAAATCTTCTTCTCAAGAACCATAGGGCCAGGAAAGATGAAACTCATGTGGAAGCATCCTTAGGTAGTGTACATTCAAGTTTGTTCAAATCATGACCCCCGGGGGTAGGGCGGGGCTGCAATGGAGGATCAAAGTTTTACATAGAAATATATAGGAAAAATCTTTAAAAATCTTCTTCTCAAGAACAGCAAAGCCCTAATTGGTCATATTTATATGGAAGCATCCTCAGGTAGTGTAGATTCAAGTTTGTTCAAATCATGACCCCCGGGGGTAGGGTGGGGCCACAATGGAGGATCAAAGTTTTACATAGAAATATATAGGAAAAATCTTTAAAAATCTTCTTCTCAAGAACAGCAAAGCCATGATGAGTCATATTTATATGGAAGCAATCTCAGGTAGTGTAGATTCAAATTTGTTCAAACCATGGCCCCCGGGGGTAGGGCGGGGCTGCAATGGAGGATCAAAGTTTTACATAGAAATATATAGGAAAAATCTTTAAAAATCTTCTTCTCAAGAACAGCAAAGCCATGATGAGTCATATTTATATGGAAGCATCCTGAGGTAGTGTAGATTCAAGTTTGTTCAAATCATGACCCTGGAGGGTAGAGCAGGGCCGCAATGGAGGATCAAAGTTTTACATAGAAATATATAGGAAAAATCTTTAAAAATCTTCTTCTCAAGAACAGCAAAGCCATGATGAGTCATATTTATATGGAAGCATCCTGAGGTAGTGTAGATTCAAGTTTGTTCAAATCATGACCCCCGGGGGTAGGGCGGGGCCACAATGGAGGGTCAAAGTTTTACATAGAAATATAAAGGAAAATATCTTCTTCTGAAGAACTGCAAACCATGATTAGTCACTTTGATATGGAAGCATCCTGAGGTAGTGTAGATTCAATTTTGTTCAAATGATGACCCCCAGGGGTAGGGTGGGGCCCAATGGGGGAAGGAAAGTTTTACATAAGAACATATAGAAAAAATATTTCTTCTCAAGAACAGAAAAGCTATGTTTAGTCATATTGATATGGAAGCATCCTCAGGTAGTGTAGATTCAAGTTTGTTCAAACCATGACCCCCGGGGGTAGGGCGGAGCCACAATGGAGGATCAAAGTTTTACATAGAAATATAAAGGAAAATATCTTCTTCTGCAGAACAGAAAAGCTATGTTTAGTCATATTGATATGGAAGCATCCTCAGGTAGTGTAGATTCAATTTTGTTCAAATGATGACCCCCAGGGGTAGGATGGGGCCCAATGGGGGATGGAAAGTTTTACATAAGAACATATTGTAAAAATATTTCTTCTCAAGAACAGAAAAGCTATGTTTAGTCATATTGATATGGAAGCATCCTCATGTAGTGTAGATTCAAGTTTGTTCAAATGATGACCCCTGGGATAGGGAGGAGCCACAATGAGGGATCAAATTTTTACAAAGGAATATATGGGAATTTTTTTTAAAAAATCTTCTCAAGTACAACAAAGCCATTTGTTATATTGACATGGAAGCATCATCAGGTAGTTTAAAATTCAAGCCCCCCCCCCTCCCCCGGTCTTTTCAATACTGAACTGATTGTGCTTTTGCTTAGCCAATGTGCTCAGGTGAGTGATGTGGCCCATGGGCCTCTTGTTTAAGACATTATATTAAATTTTTTTATGTGGTTGATAGTGTAGAAAAGGATTTACATGCATGACTCATTGTCATCGGTATTTATTCTTATTTGCCGTGTTTTTTGTACTTTTGAAAATTGTTCTGCAAAAAAGAATTATATCTTGCTTATGATATCAAGTACTGGATTATTGCATAATGATTTTACATTATCATGAATTTAAAAAAAAAAAAATTAGAACATCTTTAACATGTATACCATTACAATTCAGGATCATACATACAATAAATAAACTTCATATTTCCAGGACTGTACATGTGAAGAGTTTTGTCCAGAATGTTCTGTAGAGTTTACATTGGACGTGAAATGTACAGAGGATCAGACCAAACATGTGACCAGTGCTGACCTTATGTCATCCAACCCAAAAGTTGTGCCTGTATGTATTCACTGCTAATCATGTACATGTATATGATTGATAAATGTCAATTTCAGTCAAGGCAATTATCTTTATTGCATATTTATTTCAAAACAGTTACATTACAATGAAATACATGTACATTACTTAAAATGCAGAATGATGCTTTTCATTGTCATGCAGGTGCATGTAGTTAAAATGTTTATTACACTTAAATTGATGCCAATTAATGAAAAGAATTAAATATACATATGGATAAATCAATGATACATGGCTAAAATGTTCAAATCCAAAAAAAGTATTAAAAAGTGCTTTTTTTTCTCCAATGTAAAATAAATAAATAAAAGATTAAAAAAAAAAAACTAAAAAAAAAACAAACAAAAAACTAGATACTAAAAGGGCAATAGGATTGGCACAATAAAATCAGTTATTACAATTTTAAAAAAATCTGTAAGCTTTTAGAGATATTGAAGGACAACCTGCTTGATATCCTGAAGACTATAGCGGTCAGCAGGGTTAGTGAAGAGACAATGTTTTACTAAATTGGTCAATGATTCACTGGCAGTTGTAGGAATTTGTGGTATATTTCCCTGCATAATGTCCATGTATGCTGAAAATGGGTTCATCCCACTTCTGTCATAGAAAGCTGGTTCTAAAGCAAGCATTTCATACACCAGGCAGCCTATGTTCCAGGAATGAGCTTTATCATCAGGTGTCTGGCGACTTAGTACTTCAGGTGCCTCATACACAGGGGCATTCATTCGGGCCTCCATGACTGTGACAGTTTCAGTTTCATCATCAGGTGGCAAGTCTATTGAAATTTGACCATTTTTGTGGTATCTAATGTTATGAGATGATATTTTGCTGATAGGGGTGATATGGCAATAATTGAGAGTATCTATTATACACTTTAGGGTATGCCATATGGTTCTGTGATCTAATGTGGTTCCAGATTCTTTGGCTTTATCTATTTTCTCTGCTAATGATTCGGAAGGCAGTAGGATACAACAAAAGAAATCACCTTCTTCAAATAATCCTATCAGATCAGGGAAAGTGAATTCAGTAACTGAAAGCATGAAATGATTCAGATAGTAAATATGTCAAACAAATGCGGTTGAAAAATTATTTAAATCATACTGTTATCAAGAGCATTGCCATTGAACATGCATATTATGACAAAGGTATAACAGTTTTTAAAACTAATACTAGTAGAAAATAAATGACTTTATTAAATTTTCAATCTTTTCAGCTGTTATTTTTTTTTAAATCATTACATTTTGGCATGACTCTTAAGATGACATCCTCATTATTGAGACAACAGGTTGCTGGGTAACACTGATGGACATGGTCCTCTGGGCTTATACGTTCTACATCAATGATGAAGTCCTTCTTACTCAGGGTGCCAATGCTAAGCTGTATTGAGCTAGGTAGTGGGAGGTGATGAATCTATAAACAGAGAGTTTGGACACAAGTCGTGGTTGACATAATAATTTAAGTGTAATGGATATGTTTCTTGACATCTGAATTGTTCATTATTGGATGCACATATATATTTGTATTGCCCCAGTCTTTGCACATGTAAAAATGTATGGTTATATCAGTCCTAACTTTGCATCGATGCCTCTGTAAATTCCCACTCATCATTTTCAAATTAAAAAGAATATATGTGCCACTTTTTAAATACATGTACTGTGTATCACTTTAACCTTTAGCGAAGGTAGAGAAAAGGTCTTTTTACTTTACTTCTGAGGAGAAAAAAAAACAATTTAAAAGTCTGACTTGAATGAGTTTAATTAAAACAAATCATTTTTACCAACAAAAAAAAACAACTTCTAAGCAGCGTGGGCAGTTAAATGAGGCAAAAACAATAAGCTAGACTGTTATAACCACAAATGAATATTATTTTATGCAACAAATACATCTATATAAATTTGAAAGCAGTAATAGAGTAAACATACCTGGTGTATCCGTTTAAGTGTTAGAGTCTGTATGATGACCTTTCTGCAGAGACTTTGTAAGGTGGATGGGTCCCTTGGCTCTTCTTGCTCATAGACAGTTTTGGAAATGGGATCATATAATCTTAACATAATTGTCTAACCCATTGCTGTCACAACCAATAAATAGCCTAGAAATTTGAAAACACTTCTTACACAATGCAATGAATGAATGCCTAATTTTGTACTAATGAAAAATTCAGTGGTAGAATTTTGTGTATATCTTTAAGGTCAATCAAAGTGTGTCATACATGTATTATATGTCATTGAAAATTTTGAAATAAGGCACAAACTGATTACAACTTATTGAAAAAAAAAATTTTCTTGAACAGGTAACATCCAGAAATAAAGAAGAAACAAGTGAATATGAAGACACAGATGGTAATTTTGTTGCTCCTCTATGTTGTTTGTTTTGTCTTCATGGGTCCTTATTTGGTGATAAATTCATATTCCATCTTATTTTAGATTATTTTAAATTCTTTGAATTGTATTTTAAGCAATAGCATTTAGGAATGTCTAGTTTTATTCTTATTTTTTTAAATAAGAGGAAAAATATGTAGGATCTATTTTCATTATATCTTTCTGTAGGAAATATCCCTTACATGAAACAGGGAACAGATAAACTGTGATTTTTGTATTTTTGCCAGATATTTTGATTGTTAAACTTCGAAAAGGTCAGGAACTAAAGGTGCGAGCTTTTGCCAGGAAGGGGTTCGCAAAAGAGCATGCCAAGTGGAACCCCACATGTGGTGTTGCTTTTGAGTATGACCCAGACAATGCCTTAAGACACACTCTTTATCCCAAACCAGAAGAATGGTGAGTCATTTCTTGATTTTAATGTTACTTTAATTCCTCGAGCCATTTCTATCTGTGCCTGTCTGTAATAACTGCCATTTGTTACTGAAATATCCCCAGACCAGCCAAAAACAATCATTTAGTTTGTAATGAGCAATAAATGAGTCCTCTTAACAAAGGTTTTAAATTAATTAACCCTGACTTAGGATGTGTAGAGTTCAGACTTGAGGGAAAGGGCTTGGGGTTAAAGATGCTTATACATGTACATGCTTTTTAGAAAATAGCTCCCTTCCAGAATTTTAACATTTTACCCCTGGGTTAGGACCAAAAACAGGGATGGATTGTATTGAAAATGTATCATATCTTTGTATTTCCATCAAACAAACTGTTTATATAAGTATAATATGGCACCAAATTTGTGAAGTTCAGGGCCCTTAGGCCAATTTTAAAAAAATTAATTTGTTTGATGAAATCTGACCAACCCATTAAAATTTCCCCTACCTGATAATTATTTTTTTTTCAGAACTGCCAATTTAATGATTGTTTTTGTTTGCAGTGAAATATAGATTGCCCATATCATTTTGAAAGTTAAGGTTTTATCATTTCTCTAAGACACATTTGATTGAGCCTTTTTTAGCAATAAATATTAAATCTCTCTAGCTGTACTGTGTATATTGAAAACATACTGGTAAATAAATTTCTAAATCTTATATTTTTATTATGATTATTAATGTGTAAGATAATTTCCACAAAAAATATGTTACCTACCTTCCCAACTTGAAAAATGTAGGTCAGAGTAAATCAATAAATAAATTTTTAATAAGGATGGTTATGTCCACAAGGGACATTTACTGTTTTATATCTATTGTTGTGCCTTATCTATGGAAACATTCTCTTAAAATGCCTCTGAAAATCCAGCAAACATATTGTTGCATGATTCAGGACCAAGGACCTGTACATTTGTTTAAATGTGCACCTCAATGAATTTTGTTGTACATGTACCATGAATTATTATAATTACAGTATTTAATATTTTTTAATTTTAATTTGTGATTATGTATTTAATATCTTTTAATTTTAATATCTTTTAATTTTAATTTGTGATTATGTATTTAATATCTTTTACTTTTAATTTGTGATTATGAAAAAATTGCTCATCTGATTACAGGCCAAAAAGTGAATATTCAGAGCTAGATGAAGACACACGTTAGTATTTCTTTTTAGCTAACCTGAGCTAAAGCTCAGATGAGCTTTTCTGATCATATTCTGTCTGTCATCTGTCTGTCCATCTGTCTGTCCGTCTGACTGTAAACTTTTAGTATTTTCAACTTCTCCACCACCACTGGAACAATTTCAACTAAACTTACCACAAAGGATTCGTGGGTGAAGAGGATTCAAATTTGTTCAATTGAAGGGTCACACCTCTTTTCAAGGGGAAATAATTAAGAATTGGTGAAAATTCAATGGCATCTTTTAAAAATCTTCCTCTCAAGAACCCTTGGGCCAAAAAAGTTGAAATTTATGTGAAACTTTCGTTACATAGTGTAGACTCAAGTTTGTTCAAATCATGACCCCAAGGGGTAGGGTAATGCTGGGCAACAATATGGGATAAAAGTTATGCATAGGAATATATAGGAAATATCTTTTTAAAAAAATCATCTTCTGATGACCATCAAAACCATGCTAAGTCATATTAATACAGAACAATCCTCATGTAATGTAGATTCAAGTTTGTTCAAATCATGACCTCCAGGGTTAGAATTGGGCCACAGCAGCAGATCAAGTTATACATTGGATTATGTAGGAAAAATCTTTAAAAATCTTCTTCTCAAGAAAAGTAAAGTCAGAATTAGTCATATTTAAGAAGGAAGCAAGTTTCTTCATATCCTCATTCCCCTGGAGGGACCTCTTATATTTTTAAACTTTTCAGTACTGAACTAATATTTGCTTTTATCTAAACAAAGGGCCTATGGGGCTCTTGCTCATTTTGTTATTTGAGATTTTGATTATTTGAGAGAGTGCAATTGCACCACACAGAAGTTTAAATAATTAAAAAAGATTCTTTCAACTTTGACTGACAAGTGTACAATTCCGTTACAGATGAAGCCCCATTCGATGGACTTGGACAGCCAAACAAATACTACATCAATGTAGAATCATGTGGATCTCTGAAGCCAGAAAATATCATGTTCTCAGCATTAGCTGTTCTCAAAAAGAAACTCAGTGACTTACAAACTCAGCTCAGTCATGAAATCCAGCAAGATGTGTTGGCCATTTGATTTTTTTTTTTTAAACTTCTTTATACATTCATGTGACGAAAACTTTTTTTTTCATTTAACACTTCATTTCATCGGAAGTTTCATTTTCATTAAAGCAGCTTTTTTCTGTGACATGACGTTATTTTATGTCTTTCATCAACATTTCCGATGTAATTTTTTTTTTTAAAAGAAGATGGGCGAACAAGCTGGGAAAATACCTATGGTTCAACAAATAAGAAAGTGAATTTTAATTATAGCACAATTTTCTTTATTATTTTAGTTAACATGAATATAAACTTCCTGTAAAATCTCCAAAATTTGCAACAATCTCACAAGTGTTAAAATTATTTGTCTTTGAAATACCATGCATACACCAAAGAGAGTAAAAATGACCTTTTCTTCATGCTATAACACAATTTTTCTAGATAAGTGGGTTTTCCCTCCATTTTTTTAAACATATATTTTCAAATTACATTAAAAAATATACAGTTTTTCTTAACAAAAACACAGAGCAAGGACTTGTTCTATGTTAAAAATACACTTTTATGACACAAAATTCATTAGGAGAAATAGTTGGAAGTCCAGTTATTCAGAAGTCATATCACAAACAAAATTTAAATGCCACTACCTTTAATGAGCTGTGCAGTGTTAGCATGTCAGTGTCCAACAAAGAAAACTGATACTTAGGATTTTTATTGCTTAGGTTCAAATCCAAAAAAATCCCCTTTTTTACCATAGATTAATTTTTGCTGAGAGAATTTTATACCTTTCAATAATTAGAACTTGTCTAATTACTGAGTTCACAAAGAAGATGGGCGTGTTTGGCGTGTGATCTGCAGGAATAAAGCGTACGAAACATTTATAGTTTAAATGTCTACGATTTGGTCGGCTGACCACAGCTGGGCATATTCTACAAAGTTACGCACATGGAAAAATGTTACATTTAGCTTGAAATACTTTGTCAAATTAATATATCAGTCCACTTATCTTAATGATTACTACATGTAAAACTTAGTAACGCTTGACATAAATAATAAACACCTATAGCGTATAGTTAAATGCAATTACATGTATATAACTAAGTATCAGTAGGTTGGAAGAATTGCTTTCGCTTTCGGTGCAACAGAACCAGAATGTATCTATTTAAAAATAAATCAGTACATAAAATTAAACAGACAAACGAACTGATTGTTTGTACTAAAAAAAAAATATTAACGCTCCATGCGAGGATCGAACCAAAATATTTCTTTTACATTGCACTGTACAGGTAACGCATACTACTGAGCTATCACCACTACACACACTTTATGGTTTTTAAAGCGACAATGAAGCACCGCATTTACACATCAGAATTTTTTTGGAAAAAGTTCATTTTTTATCGTCTCTGGGTCTTCTCTCCATTTTTTACGAATGTTTGTTAGTTTCTTTGCATTACAGTGCATACAAATAACGTTTCAAAATCATGGAGAGATGACCCAGAGGTAGCAAATTTTTAGAAAAACGTGTTTGAAAATGTAACATTTTGTATCAAATGACTCATCTAGCCAATTTTCAAATTCTTTTTTAGCAAATCAAAATAAAATATCGGGAAAATATTTCCCTTTCCTATTTCACAGGAACCCGATACATCAAAAGAATGCTAAAATTTCATGTAACAGGTCAATGAATTTTTCACTTTTCAAGTGCGCCCAGATTCCTGCCGAATGCCAATCAAAAGCGCCCTCGTTCTTTAATTTGATTTTATATATTTGAAGCTGTAGGCATTTTGCATGCCTTGTTCCCATCTTCTTTATAAATAATAAAGAAAAACATTTTGAAGCTTATTTTCAGGAGTTATGTAGAAACTAAGTTTTCATTTTGTTTTAGTCCCATTTATCAGTCAGACACAAAGGTTGAAGTATTTCTTTGTATTAGGAAGGAGAAAATGTAAATTTGCCAGGTCTGTTATTTTTTTTTAACACAGTTGAAATCAGTCTGGGGTGTGTTTTTGCCCACTAATTTAGGGTGTCCAATTCTAGCATTTAGTACGAACAAAAAATTGTGATTGGGTTGCAGTTCACATTTAATTGATTATTGCCTATTACTTGTGTGAAGATTGGAAGGGGTCAAATTACATGCACATATCTCTGAAGAATTTCTGATATAACGCGTGTACAGCACGAAATTAAATTGGGGACAGTTAATAAGGAATGGAATACCGTATTTAAAAGAAAATCAAGAAGAACTTTAAGCGATGAGTAGGTAACTTCTAAAGTTAGAAGGAACTAATTCAAGAATTAAACATCACAAAAGCTTATCTGGAATGTAAAGGGTTTCTAAATAAACGTTCCATTTCCCCACTGTCTTGCAAATATCATTGAAATATACTATTAATTATCTGTGAATGTAAGATAATAGTGAAAATCTTTCCCCGAGATGGGTACTAAGATTAAAAAAAATAAGATGAATACTTACTTTTTTATAAGGTTTCTTCTATTGTGACGTCAAGGACTATGATGTCATGACTATGCATTCATTGTGACGTCATTGCCCCACGACATTGTAACATTTACCGCAACATTTTCAAAATGGTCATTACCACGACAAAATGGTCATGTTCGCTAGCCAAGGGTTTTCGGTCAGCATTTGCAAGTACTTGACGTTTTAAATATTTCTCTTTATTTATAAAAACATTTTCCATACTAAAATAATAACTTTATATCGCATGGTTTTTCTAATAAAAAAAAAAGAGAAATATTTAGAACTTCAGATACCTGTGCCCAATTATATGGTGAACAGAGCGGACCAGAAACACCAGGCACTTTTTTCATGTATTGGGTGAAAAGAAGGGAGTGGCCCCATATACGAAACTAGTTCCTGTGCCAGAAACCTCTTGGCTAGCGGGGATGGAACTATTTATATACTAATGTGTATATAGTAATCGTCTTTAATATCACGATTTCCTATGTTTGTACATTTCACGATGGGTTTAATTTCGCAGCAACTGAATTTTCTTTAGTTTATATTTACAATTTAATAAATTATTCTTTAAAAACAAAGAAAGTTACGGCATATTATTTAAAATTAACAGATACAGAAACTAACTTTAAATCAACATAGTTATAATACGCTCGGCTTTCCTGCTAATTTTTAATTATTTACCATTTTACTTACAGGAAATGGAAAAGCAATTTTTTTGGGGGGGGGGGGGTATAAATACGTGTAAGTGAATGCTACATTTAAATAACAGCAATAGTCACGATGGTTTTAATGTCGTGGAAAATTCTTTGATCGCAAACATAGTTAAATTAAAAATACCGCAATGTATTTCACTTTTACAGTGTATATATAAATAAGACACAGTATCGTAGTCTAGTGAGCTTGTCATTCTCATTTTTTGTTTATTTAGTTCTTTTTAGTTAGTTTATTTAGTTTTTTTTTTCTTCGCCTTTCTTTTCTTCTTTTTTTTTTCATATAGCGGTTATCAATTGTTGCGGTGTTGAACATTTTATTTGAAGAAGAAATGTCGCAGTAATGAGTCGTAAATTCCTGCAATGTCGGGGTGATATGTTCTTCCATGTATACAATAAAAAATATCCAGGAAAGCACAAAACACATTTTAACCTTTTGAAATAACAGCTTTCTACAATGCAAAATAATCTATATTCGATTAAATCCCCATGATTTAATTGAGCTATGTGTGTAGATTCTAAAAATATACTTTGATAGCAGGATCCAACCTCCTTAAACTTTGTTTCTGTTTATGGTGATAATGCAGAATGACCGTATGTAATGTTTGGGGTCGTCAGAAAGTTATCAATGTCCTTGATACAAGTATCTCTTGGATGTTTTATGGTTTTCCTTTCGAAATTGAATAAAAATACGTAAAATATACAGATCAAGCATAAACAGAACATTACTAATGCCTTTTTTCTTTTCTTTATTTATATATTAATTTATTGGGAGGGGGGTATGAATAGAAGTAATTTTTAAAAACGATGTCCGGAAAAGAGTATTCTGTTACGATTAACCGGTTAATCGGTCGGAACGCCTTACGGTTAACCGATTGGCAATTCTGTATTCGATTGCCATCCCTAATATATATATATATATATATATATATATATATATATATATATATATATATATATATATAATAAACCATAATCCCGCTCCCTCCTCTTTTCCTATCATATGAAAACACAAAGATATATATCGTAAGACATTTTCCCAAAATATTCAATGTATAAAAAAGTTTAATTGTGTATCTTTAATATAAAGATTTAGAAATCGTATACAGCTATATTTGATGCTTTTTTTAATTTGTCTTGAATTTATGACAGTGTGTGAGATGTGATATGCATTATACTCAAATTATGCATCACATATACTTATCCACTGGCTGTGAGAATAGCTTTCAACAAACCCGCGACAGAACTATTCCCTGAGGGCTTGGTGGATAGTAATTCACCTATTTACTGGGTATGAGGACAATAGCAAGTTAATAGTCCCCCGAGACAGCAACTATTTTCCGAGATGTCATATTTTATATACATGTAGAAAAAAATACACAGAGGTAATATAACAAGCTATATCCCGGGTATACATGGTATAGCTTTGCTATATATCTGAAAAATTTTAACTATAAAAAAAATAGTTAATTTACGTTCTGCACTTTATATAGGAAATATTTTAGCAGGAGTATAAATTATAATAATTCTAGTTACCATATCTATCAACAGGCATTAAATTTATCTTCATCGTAACCCCCTTTATCCGATGGACTCCTAGCAGGCCAAGGATGAGAATGGAGGGGGGGGGGGTTCAAAAGAATGGCTTACACTCCTAGAAGTGAGTTAATTTAAAATTAGGCATTTTACAATGTTATACGGAAGCTGGCGTAATATTATCTGAAGTATGTAAGACCGCAATTTTTTTTTAAATAATGTTTCATGATAGTGCTTTAAATATTGAATCCATATATATTAGAACGTTTTCTTATTTCTTACTTCTTTTTTTACAATGAACAACCAAATTCATTTACCTTATTAGTCTACATATAATTAAGTATAAAATTGATTTAGATCTGAATTTATCTCCAAAGACATGAGAAACTCAAATATGAAGTAATGTATGTCTTTGGGAACATTTCATCTCGGTTATTTTCATTGTAAGGGACATAATTTTGTTCTGACAATATAGAACGTCAACGTAAGTTTTAAAAATTCTTTTTTACTTATACATTGAAAACACGATTGAAATCTTTTCCAAAGTTTAAATGCTGATTAGAACTAAATTCTAATTGCAATGTACAAGTTTAAATCATTCCAAATTATCTAAAAAAAAAAAACAAACAAACATACAAAAAACAAGAGCCCCCCCCCCCCCCGAAAAAAAAAACAAAAAAAAGTATTTTCTTCCCATGTAATGTTCCACGGTCTTTGATCATAACCAGATAGCCAGCTGCAGACAGCTGATTTGGTAATATGGGATATAGCAAATGTTCCATTCACAGTCACAAATGACTGCAGCGATGGAGGAGACAGTGACGAGTAGCTTCCTTAGACCACAACGTGACGTTTATGTTACATTTAGATCCCCCTTTTCTTGGATGAAGACTTTGTCTAATTAGAATCTTCATAATGGCTATTATTTTTCCACATATTGAACTAGAAACCACAGATCAAATGAAAACCAACTTGCAAACAAGATTTTTCCACAGGAAACACATCTTATTTAACATCTGAGCAACTGTCGAAATAAAAAAGCAAAAAAAAAAGAAAAAAAGAAAAAAAGATTTACAGGAAATTTTTCAAATTCATATTTTCAATGAAGTCTCAAATCCCAACGTAATATGAAATACAAGTATATTCCAGGAGGAATACCCCCGTTAGTTTTACAAATCTGTACACCCCCTCCCCCCAAAAAACAAACAAACAAACTTTAAAAAAATCTGTTGATTGGAATGAAGCAAAAATGTGTTACCTGAGAAAAATTTAGCCTAAATCGGGAAAGTTGGCATGTATGATCATTTAAACTGGAGCCTAATTCTACAGAAATATCAAAGAGAAATTTTACATAATTAAAAGATAAAAAAAAATGTAGTGTTTAAAGTCTGTAGACATTTGAACCAATTAACTTAACAATATAAAACACATAATGATCGTCACTTAAAAGCCTTTGGTCTCATAATGATCAATCAATATTTGTAAAATCAAAGGGTTTATGAATATTGAGCACTAATGTTATCTTTTATGCATCCTTTTAATATAGATGAAATCAATTTTTTTCATACACATCTGATTATAATTTAATTAAACTGAGTATAAAATATCAACTTTCATCAATTATTTTTTTTCTAAAATTTCTCTGATTTGGAATGGAGTTTTATCCATCAAGTCAATTAAATCATTAGTCAAAGTCAGTCTCTTTTCCTTCCAGTTGAAATGAGTTGGTGGATGATTTTCGCCATTTTCAAATTCAAAATATTTACTGAGTTCTATGGCAAGGCTTGACTTAATCAGTCCAATCCCTCCCAATTTAGCCATGGCTGGGTGGTAAACTCGCCCAGTATTGGGCAACATGCATATCCGTGTGGGCAAGAATTCAGTAGTCATAGCATTGCCAGCACCTCCATAGGATAAAAGTGCTTCTCCTGAATCTGATTCTATGAGGTGAGTATACACAATTGCTTTATCATCACACCGAATGTAATTCCGTTCCCTTCCACAAGGTGATAAATATGGAAATTCATCTGTATATCTGTCAGTTTCATTTAATCTCAGCCTTTGAAAAAAGAACACCAAGAAATCCTTTTCTGAAAGTTAACAAAAACAAGAACAGTGAAACATACATGTATTTATTTGCATGTTGAAATACATCAGATAATCATCTAAACAGTACAATAGATGTAATATACATTTATTCAGGTAACTAAGCTATTACTATACTTGTATTTCAGGATTTTACATTGAGCAAAACAGATTATGGCAATACTTTAGCATCAATGTGCCTGTGACAATGAAAGCTAACTATTGGGGCTTCTCACATTTCAGCAAATTTTGTACAATTTTATTTTATGCTTCTGCAAAAAGTTCTATAACATATATATTCTGGTACAAAATTTATACCCCATAGTGGTTTTGATAATAACTTTCATACAAACATAATAAACATTTTATGTAGTGTTACTCAATTATTATCTGTCAAATAGTAAGACATTGAATTTTTTGAACTATCATATTCACACATCCATTTTTAAGCAGTGCTAAAGAGTGCTATTTTATGAGTTTACAATATTTTACAGGTGTCCAGGAAACATATTTGCAGACTTATCTTACAATATTTTTGTGGAATCATAATTATTTTTGGCAGAAACATAATACTGATTTGCAGAAATTTGGAGTCAAAAATAGAAGCCACTAGTCCTTATGGACTGGTGCTTATATGGACTAGTGCTTAACCAAAGGATGATAATTCTTCAATACACTGAAAATATTGATGATAGTATGTTTCTTGAATTTTTTTTATTGGAAATTAGGGGTGTTATAATTTCTTACTCCTCTTACAAAAAAAAGGGTGGGGGGATTACAGAAAGCTTTGATGAAATAAAAAAAATTTAGAAAATAATAATGATATTGATGTGGAATTGTTAGAATAGAGGAAGTGAGCTCTTGAAAATATAAGAAAGGAAAAACTACATGGACATATTATCCAGAGCAAGATGGGTGGAGGAAGAAGAAAAACTCACAAAAAACTTTAGAACAAATTTTTTCAAATAAAATTATAAAAAGGGTTGAACTGAATGAAAGTACATGTAATAGCATATTTGATCAATCAGAGATTTTGAATCAAGTTAAAAAGTGTTATCAATGTCCATACTCTGATACAGACTCTGAATTGATTGATATTGATTTAGAAAAGAATCTAGCAGAAAGTAAAATATTGCAAGTTTAAAAAAATATGAAGAATAACAAATCTCCTTGAAGTGATGGTCTCACAATAGAATTCTTCAATTTCTTTTGGAGTGATCTTTAAGTCTGTATTATGCGAGCAATAAATTGTGTATTATTAACAAAATGAGAACTTATTTCACAAAGATTAGGGATAATTTCTTGGATACTCATTTGTGACAAACCTATACAATTTTTTTTAAAAATTGGTGACCAATAACTCTACTAAATGTGTTTTATAAACTCATATCAGGATGTCTAAGTTACAGAATAAATTTAAGAGTGTTTTTCATGGAAAAATATATTTCAATCAGCTAAAAACTGTTACATTGCTTCTATCAAGTTTTGATTTGTTTTTTTTTTATAGTAAATATATATTTAGAGTAGAATATGTAAACATGGTAAAATTGTGATTACAGCTGTATATAGATATACTATAGATCCTTTTCCAACCAATTTGTTACGATTATCGTCTAAAGAATGAGTGTATGTAAGCTAGTAAGTGTCTGTTGATAAAAGTGATTATAATTTAAAAGAAAAACAGCTGTAAAGTTTGTAAACGTGTTATAATACTGGGCAGTAAAAGAGAAAAAAAACCTGAATGTAGTCAAAGATATCTGTATGCCAGGCGTTTTTCACAATTTTAATATTTGACGTGCAAGGAAATTTCACTGCCTCCAACTGAGGCCATCCTTAAAAAATGCTTGTTTGGAACTGTTGCCTTGGGGTTTTCAAACCCAGGAGGGAAAGAGGGAACTTATCTTTTTTTTCAAAATTAAAGATAAATTAAATACTGTTGATAAAAATCTCCATAAGAAGTGAACACACTATTTTCTGACTTTTTTGTAAAGGTATTTCCCATCAACAAAGAACCCAGTTTTTGCTTAGATATGACGCTAATTTAAAGTTTTGGTGGTGCATGTAATAACAGCCAAGAATTGATTGAATATTAAAAAAAATCTTACTTTTGGTTAATAAAATCTTTCCAAGAGGGGTCATTTCAATGAGACTGGAGGCAATTCCAAACAATAATTTTATTTTTCCCTAAACTTGATTTTCGATACATGCAAATCCAATTGAATGTCAAACTCAAAACTTATGCACAATGCTTCTAGTTCTCACCAATCTTACTTATTAAAAGAAAATATCACTCCACATTTCGATACAGGTCTCACAAGATTTCAAAATGCACAAACAAACCTCGACAGTTTTATAAAATGTTTTCACCAGACATTTTATATCACAAAGGAACAATAAAAGCGATATTAATAATTAAGTACTAGAAGCATTGTACTGTTGATAAGATGTCATGTGAGTTAGACAGTTAATTCGGTTCGCATATATGGAAAATCAACACAAGAATGACACCTCCAATTGGAGGCAGCAAATTTCCGCTTTTCATAATGGCGCCGGTTTTGACATTTTCCTGGCACATCAAATATAAAAATCATGAAAAACGCCTGGAAAACGTTAGATAATTCGAACTACCTGATCTGAACAGGTTGGGACCACTCGCCCAAATGGGATATAATAGCCCATTTGGGATATAATTTCCCAAATGGGATATAAATTTACAGTGCAAAAAATGAAAAAAATTATTTTGGCTATAAATATCATAAATCCGCATCAAAACACTTTAAAAGGAATAACTTTTGGCAAGCAAGTTTTTCTGCAACCCTACAGTTTGTTAGATTGATCCCCAAGAAGTTTAGGAACTTCTGAGGGATCAATCTCCTAAACAGTGCATACACAGAAAAACTTGTTAAACTTGTTGTGGTCCCAACTAGTCCGAAATATCTGATGTTTTCCAGGCTTTTTTCACGATTTGATATTTTACGTGCCAGGAAAATGTCAGAACTGGCGCCATTACAAAAACTGGAAATTTCACCGTCTCCCACCAGAGCTGATTTTTGATACTTGCGAACTGAATTAAATGCCGAACTTAGAATTTATCAATAGCACAATACTTTTTGTACTCACTAATATTAATGAAAAGAAAACATCACTCCACATTTCGATACAGGACTTGCAAGATTTTAAAATGCACGAAATGAAAAGAAAACCCGACGGTCTGATAAAATGTTTTCACCAGACTGTATTTTTCATAAACAAACCATAAAATCGATGTTGGTGAGTACTTTTTTTTTTTTTTTTGGTTGTATAAATAGATTCTTTATTTCCAAATCAGGGCCCTTTCAGGCATCACAAACAACAACTATGATTTCTACAATTACAAACAGTACAGACAATTTATGTGTATACTAAATAATAATCTACAGTACATGTATTTGTATATTGTACAATTTGACACTGTATATGTAAGTAATGTTGATAAATGATATAGTACTACCGCGTACCCTAATGCAAAGTGGGGAGATTTTACAGTCCTCGCATTGCAAAAGATTCCATGTGGCAATGCAAAAGTACTAACTATTACAATACATGAAGTGTCAATTTTTGTATGTATTATTATTACATATATTTACATGTACTATATATTTAAAGAAAATGTTGCAATGTGACTTTATATGCATAATATTTTAAATGGTTTGTCTAGCTAGTTCACATACAGCAAAAAGCACAATATTTTCACAGTTTAGAACCCACAACAACTTATTTTGGGTAGACTTTACTTTACCGGTCCCCAGATCCGCAAGATCCGCGCGCTCATTGCACTATGACGTAAGATTTACGTCACTCAACTGATTAGGGTTAGTTTTACACATTTTTCGACTGGTTAGGATTAGTTTTGCACCCACCTGAAAGATTAGGGTTAGTCCTTGCACAAGTTTTCGACTGATTAGGGTTAGTCTCGCATCCATCCGAGAGATTAGGGTTAGTCCTCGCACATGGGTTAGTCTAGCATCCGCCTGGGAGATTTGGGTAAGTCCTCGCATGCCATCCGAGAGATAAGGGTTAGTGTCTTGTTTTTTTTAGATTAATTAGGAAATTCAGATGCATCTGTGTTTTTGTAAGATCTTAATTCAGCTTCAACGACATCTCGTTGGTTTGTTTACATGAAAAAAATGGCTAAGTACGAAAGAAACGACATTAAGCATGCGCCGAACGCGCTTCGTTGACAATTATTTTTTTTCTCCTTTTCAATGAATAAAGTAAACAATATTTATTACTTTCTTCAGAGAATGAGGTTAAAAACTTCGTTTAAAAACAAAGTTTTAAACTAAACTTTTACCTGTAGAATTCGATTTTGGGATCAAAAAGGCTTAAAACCTCATACTTTTAATTTTTTTTTCGATCGCTCATGCGATCTCATATATATTGAAGTCGCCTACGGCAACACTATATTTTAGCGTGTTTTTCTGGGGACCGGTAAAGTAAAGTCGTTCCCTTATTTTCATTATTTAAATGAGCAAAATTGATACAGTGTGTTTGTATAATATTCATCATATTTACTAAAGTACTAAAGGCATTGCACTATTAATGGTGAACCCTATTAATAAATTGTGGATTCAGCTTTTAATTCGGTTTGCAAGTATCGGAAATCAACCCGAAAATGCCGCTTCCAGTTGGAGGCGGCGAATTTCCAGTTTTCGTAATGGCGCCGGTTCTGACGTTTTCCTGGCACGTAAAATATCAAAATCGTTAAAAAAGCCAGGAAAACGTCAGATATTTCGGACTAGGTCCCAACCTGCTATATGCTGAATGAATGTAATGGTATGCATATCCCTTTAGAATTTATATCCTTTAGCTTACCTTTAAAGCAAGAGGTGAAATTCTTTATCCTGGCATCATCAAGAAATAACTAAAAAAGAATTTACTGAAATATGTGATTTTCAAGAAAGTTTGTATATTCAAGTAATTTTGAGGAAATTCGAGCTACAATACTAACCTGGCCCTGATGATCGATAAAATAAAAATATTCCCTTATTCTGGGTCCTAAATTCTGACCTTGTATATAGTGAACACATCGATTCGTATATTGTTTTGTTTGGACATGCAGAGCTCCTCGAAAAACTAAGGTGCTTGCAGTACGAAACATTTTACTTTCGCAAATTTCATAAGTTTGTTTACATCGGAAGACATAGTGTTGTCAAGCATGCGCAGAAAATAGGACAGTTGTTTGTTACGACAAATGTCATTGGAGATTGAAGCACTACCGGTTACGATAATAGCTAATCGTAAAAGGTTTTACAGGGAAGCACATTGTTCAGCCATATTTCATAGCAGTTTGGATGGTTGAGAGGATGACAAAATTGACGAATGTTGAATTGATTTCCTAATCACCATGAAGACTAATGAGCTGAATTCATAGAATCGAAAGAGGATATTTAATATCAGTAGACTTTAACCAAAATGAGCCAAACAAAACGATCATGGAAACTTCGTACGTGTTTTACTTGCAAAAATAGCAATTTTGTCTTCTGTGTTTCATCTTTTTCTCCGCAGAGAAAACTTAATATATTTTGTAATCTAGTTAAATACTCTTGTTTAACATAAATATACAAAAAGTGTATAATTACATTTAATTATACTGCATGTATACGGAAGAAACAGAACAAAGTTTGTTCATAGCATTAAGAAAGTGAGAAAGGTGAATTTTATACGAATATTGTATGGAAAAGATGACGATGTAATATAATTGAAGAAATTGTTTACATTCTGCTGAAAATGAATGCATCTCCATTCTCTTTAACATGCAAGAAAATTTTTTTCCTCTTAGTATGTATGACTGTACAATTGTTGGGATGAGCACAGTTGTGTATTTATTACCGGACACTTAGCATACACTTTACTATAACTTAGATCTGTCTCTTCAGTAAACTGCACAAGAGTCATTCTTGACTTTGATATCACATGATATGGTATGTTAGTTGCTTTTCCCATGGGCAAGAATCTTGTTGGATTCTGCTTAGGGGCACTTATTGACTAGTAACAAGAATTTCTCTCCAAGAGACATCAGAAGTTTTCATTTATTGAAACAAAATAAATTCAGGTTGAATCTTGCAGAATGTCCATAGCAATCTTGCATTTTCTAACATTTCTCAGAAAAATCAGGTCTTGACTGGAACTAAAAGGTTAATGGGGGTATAGGCAATTCAATCCTTGTTTACCTTCAAAGCCAAAGAACAGCTCTTCATAGAAAATTTTTATTGAAATAATAATATTACATGTATCTGAAATTTTTTTGAATATTTTTTTTTTTTTTTTTTTTTTTTTTTTTTTTTTTTTTTTTTACAAATTATAAGGTGGAGAGGGCATTGGCATTTTCTCTTTACCAAGTTGTAAAAATGCAAATTTTAACAGCTTTCAATCCACTATCTGCAATTTGATTAGATTAAATTAAGTCTGTTAATTTTTCATTCGTTCTAGCAAGAGTGTAGCTTGGTAGTGAGATACAATTTGCAAAGGATTGTGAGTTGGGAGATAACTGCTGAAAAAAAATTTAATGCCCAGACATTGCTTTAAGAGCTTGCTGTGCTCACTATAAAGGTGAATAAAATGTAACATAATGCAGCAATTTTTGTTGTCGTGTGAACAAAATTTGAAACAAAATCAGTGCTGAGTAAACTTGTAACAAACATATCCAGCTTTAACCACAACAATTTGAATCCCAAATGTCAAGTTAAGTGGTAATCATCACACAGAAGTCCAAACCTCTGATTACAAGTTACTTTTGTAAATTACAATTAACATGATTTATATACTGATTTTATTGTTCATCATGGTAAAATATATCTGCTGTTCTGTTATGAACATTATGACTGAAATTTTGCCTTATTTGGGTATCCTTGACTTTTTCTCTTTAAAATAGGGTGAGCTTGCAACCAGACTCCAGGTTATGATTAGACTTGTTGACAGCAATTTGATGTTCTGTTTACAAGTTGACATGGATAAGATTGTCCTTAATATGTAAAAATAATCACAAGTCTGTGTCAATACTATTCAACATTAACAGATATGCAAAATAAAAGGTTTTTTTTTTAAATTTTATTTTCAAAATAATTTTTTTTAAATTTTATTTTCAGAGGAATATGTTGCACATGGCAACAATGTAAACTGTGTTGCTTTAAGCAGGAAGTCGGGCAGAGTAATTGTTACAGGAGGAGAGGACAGAAAGGTCAATTTATGGATTGTTGGCAAACCAAACTGTTTAATGGTAAGGAAATAAGATAATTAAGTAAAACCCTAATCATTGTTACAGTTGTCAGGTTTCTACAACAATTGATCAGGATATATGTAAGAAATTTACAGTATTTATCATAAATGTACTTTTTTCCAATTCACAGGATGAAAATTTATAGTGCATGTATTTTTCAATCGAGCACAGAAGTTCAATTTTTAGTTGGTGCATGCAAGAATTATATTGCTTTGATTGATATTGATAGACTGTACAAGTTTACAGTGAAAAATGTAAAGGCAACCACTAATATTACACTTTTGAGTTTTGAAGTCAGATGCCTGAAGTATAATAGATTTTGACATAATTTTTTTTTTACAGTACATGACTACATGTATTATAACTTACAATATTTTACCATATTTCACAGACCTTTACTTATGCAAATCCTTTTAATTAATCTTGATTTATTTATGATTTTTTTAAAAGAGTCTATGTGGACACACTACTCCAGTGGAATCGGTCAGATTTGGACATGAGGAAGAAATGGTAGTAGCAGGGTCAATGTCTGGGGCCCTGAAGGTTTGGGACCTGGAACAAGCCAAAAGTAAGGGGGTTTACATATACAAGACAAAAGTAATTGTTAATTTATATTTGTAAAGGATCTTTGTTATTGAAGAGATCAATATATCTGCTTAACTATTCTTAAATTGTATGACATTTTAGTTTTACCTTGTTGATTCAGAAAGACATATTACTAAATACAGAAACAGTGTACCATAGAAAGAGTGGACTACAGTTGAAAGATTGTGCTTTATTTCTTTGTATTAAATGAAGTGATTAGTAATTGTTTATTTTCCTTGCTAACATTTTAGTAATGAGAACCCTAACAGGACACACCTCCAGTATTAAGAGCCTTGACTTCCATCCTTACGGTGATTACTGCACTTCTGGTTCCCTGGACTGCAATGTTAAGGTAAACTTCAACCACCTTATCACATCCATGTTGAAATACCAGACTGTAATGTTGAAAAACATGGTTACATCTACAGTAGAATTGCTTATTTTAGACAGATTTTTGTGGTTTGGATTTGGTTTTGTGGACATGTAATTCTGACTTATAATTGTTTTTGCAGTTGTGGGATATCAGAAAGAAGGGATGCATTTATACATACAGGGTATGATTGAAAATATGTTCTGTTGATAATTCCTTAGAAATGATGTATTTATATTCATGACTAGCTACACAATGATGTAACACTTGAAAGCAAAACTTCAATTAAAGGTATTTAAACTGTGATATTTGTTTAGGGTCACAAGAATGGAGTGAACTGTGTGAGGTTCAGCCCTGATGGAAAATGGATAGCTTCAGCTGGAGAAGACAGTGTCGTTAAGGTTTGTCTTAATTGAAAATTAATAGAAAAGTCAGTTTACAAACCACTTAAAAGAATATTTATTGCCATCGTCAAATACCATGTCCAAAATGTATGATTCTCTCCCATTCTAGGTGTGGTTGAATGAGAAGAGAGCATTCGTAGCTTATTTAAATATTGACCAATGATAGTAAAGCATAGTTGAAAAAATAAACCTTTGAAATTATGCAGCTTTTCAATATCCAGTTGCAGTTTACGAAACGTATATCATTGAATGCAATTGCAATGTAAACAATTATTTTCATTGGTTTATAACATAATGTCACACATTAGGTGTGATAATCCAAGATTAGGATACTTTATTTGATCAAGCAGTCTTGATTAGGAGAGAGCTATAAGGAGATTTAAGACAGTGGTTTAGTGCTAATTTCCTAATAATTCAAATGAAGTATTGTTTTACATTGTGAAATAGAACTACTCGTGCTCTTTGTTACCTTTATTGCTGAAACATTTTGATGACTGTAGATCTGGGATATCACTGCTGGCAAAATTCTGACAGACTTAACATATCACCAGGGACCAGTAAATATTGTGGAATTTCATCCCAATGAACTCTTACTTGCATCAGGAAGTTCTGACAGGTACTCAAGGAAATTTGTGTGTGTTTCTGAAATGAATGAGTGATTATGGTTCCATAATTAGAATTAACTTATCTCCAAAAATATGCCCTCTAATTTTGCAGGACTGTGAAATTCTGGGATTTAGAAAATTTCAATATGGTGTCCACAACTGATGGAGACTCAACCCCAGTCAGGTAGATAGAAATATTTAAAAAGAGTTTTTAAAGATGCAGTGTAATTGCCCGTTTAAAATTTGTGATTCTTAATTTTAAATGATTCCTTTTTAATAATATATATTATACAAAAAGTTTGAGCACAAGTTATTTAAACTTACTAGGTTCTCACCTTAAATAGTTACAACTGTCAGTATCTACATGTATATAGATAAACTTTGGTATACAAACAAGTTTGTTATATAACACACTTTTGTTGCATGTTTAAAATGTATCTTGAGTTCTGTGTTAGCAATAACATACATGTGGTATGTACTACCTTCACATGAAATGTCGAGCATTTTTTACCTTATTCACGACAGGACAGCAAAATTCAAGGGAAATAAACATTTGACCCACATTACAGTATTTTAAATTGTTTACCAGAAACTTCCATTTTTCTGTAATTCTCATTATCATAACACTGGAAATCTCTAGCTGCAGATCTGCAGCTCACTGATCTAAAAAAAAATGTGGTGTATCACCAGGGAGCTACAGTGCCACACACTGAAAAAAAGTGTATATTTATTGCACACAAAAAATGCACTTTGTCTCAATATATTTTTTCGTAAATCTCAAAACATTACTAACTGTATGTTCCTAACATATTCATTTATTACTTCCACAAGAAAACTATATGTACAAGTAATGCAAGAAGCGCTTTGGACAGAATTGTCTTGCTATCCAAAATTGCAGTGTAAATATGCAAAATTTTCGATGGTCTCAATTTCAGGCCCAGTGAGGCTATTGACAATGTAAAATATAATTATATTATTATATATATAATTTATAATATATAATGATAACTTTATATTATTGTTAAAATTAGAAATGCACCTAGGATGGCATAAAGTACTGTAAAATCACTTATTTTTGTGGGATCAAATTGTAATGTTTTGAGGAAAAATGACTGGTTCAAGGGAATTAATTCTGTAGTTACAGGAGAAACATCATGCTGCAGTATGGGATTTTAACATTAGTGATTTCACAGTACCGGTATATTGACTGGACCTAAACATAGGTTTTCATTCAGACATCAAATTGTTTCTGTAAGCACTGTGCCTGTTGAAAATGTCATACCTTGGTAATTTAATTTTCAGAAACATATTATTCCACCCAGATGGAACTTGTTTATTTAGTGGCACAAAAGATTTACTAAAAGTTTACTCTTGGGAACCTTCTAAATGTTACGACTCTATTCCTGTGAACTGGGGAGAAGTAGCAGACATGGCTATAGGACAGAATCAGCTGGTACGGTTATAGCTTTCTCTCAGACGTGGAGTGTAAATCTCATTATTTTAGATATTTAAGACATCACAGAGTGGAATGTTAAACTTAGTTCAATTTGTTAAAATTTATGACATTTCAGAGTGGAGTGCTGAACTTGGTTCAGTATTTAAACCACAATTTAGAATTGAAATCCTGAACTTTGTTCAATATTCAAGCTAAATGTGTAATATTTACTTTTTTAGGGACACCAGATTTTGATACATGTTTTTGTTCTTTTCTTTGCAGATTGGGGCATCATTTTCACAGACCAATGTTTCAACATTTGTAGTAGATCTGAAGGTTAGATTTATTAAATATAGACTCTGTTGTATAAAATAATTTTTTAAAAAACCCTGAAATTCAGTTCTGAACTGAATTCTATTAAGACATTCATCTGTAACACTTAGTTACTGAAATTTCATATTCTTTTTGCATTTAGAGTTTAAAATGTACATGTATTTAATAAATACATGTGTATGTCTTTTTTTCACCTGTACAATTTGAAATCTATTAAAGAATGAGAGTCTCTATTAATGTAGAATTGACATTATTTTTACAGAGAGTGCAGCCATTTGGTGGTATCCCACATCAAGAAATTGGATCTAATCTATCTAGGTAAATACTCCGCATATTTATATTTTTCAAAGTCCACCTTGAGAATATTAGCTCACCAGAGCCATAGGCTCAGATAAGCTTTCCTGATCAAAAAGTGTCTGGTGTCCACCTGTTGTCTGTCAAATGAGGAACCTTGAAACAGTTGAGCTTTAACATGTTATTTTCATATTTGGAGTTCTGGATGGTTTTTAAAATCCAGTTCTAATTTATTTTGAAGTAAATTGTATGCATTGCTTGAGATAACAACAATAAGGACTTCATTAGAAATAAAGAAGAAAATACTAAGTGGAAGGAAATATTTAGGAATGTGCAGGATTTAAGAAAAAATTCTCCTCAAGTGTAGCACAGCAGTACTAAATCATATTGATATGCAAACATTGCGTTGATTAATGTAGGGGAGTAAAATTAGCAAAAAAAATCTTATCCAAAATAGCAAGGCCATACATTTGTAGTTAGTCATATTAATATAAATGTAGGTGACTCTTGATGGCTTGAATTTCGATCTCTCAAATTTCTTGATCCCTTGAAGTGAGTCTAATTTCCTCTCTTGAAATGTTGAACACTTGATCTCGAGTTTTTCCATGGTCCTGTAGACACCTGTATTCAAGCATTCCCTTATGGTATGAATTCAAGTTTGCTTAAGTTTTGTTTCCTTGGGGCCAGGGTTAAGCTACAATATGGAGTCAGAATTTTACATGGGAATATAGAGGAAAAAATCTTCATATTTCCTCTTCTGAGGAACAGCAGTTCCAAGGTGAGTCAGATGAGTGTTGTGGCCCAAGAGACTCGTATTGATATACAGACATGCCCCTGTTAATCTGGACGTTTGTGTTCCCAAGCAAATCATTTTGACTTAAGAAGATCTGAATTACTGAAACAGACCTATCAAAATTTGGAGATATAAATAAAAATTCTGATCCCAACAAATTTCATCTGGAAGGTAAAGCATCCAGATTATATGTGTCCAGATTAACAAGGCTCCACTGTATGTCTATTTTCTTCTCTTTTTTTTTTTGTGGTTCATGAATCAGAGCTACCAGCCCATAATTTTTGCTTTATATGAGTGTCTACTTTCTCTACTTATTATAAACCCAAGTGTATATCACTCAATTTTATGCAATCTTGTGACAGTGTGATCCAACTTTCTTGATCACCAAACTGTGGCTTTCGGAATCCATATCACCCCTTTCTGTAGTACACAGTATACATGACCTTTTTATCTTGCGCAGCAAAAAGTTTCTTCAAAAAATGTTTTATGGATAAATGTTGTATAATTGATCCCAAAAGTTATCATTTGTTATATTTTGCTAATTATAGCGGAGTATGTAATAAAATCATTATAACAATAACTTGATCTGAAGAGCCAGATCACATGAAATGGCTCTTCAGATCAAGTTACTGTTATAATAATATATATTTATTCTTCTGATTTCCGTTTCTCTAAAGTTTGAAATACTGGAATTTGCATAGCTGTCCACCTCAATTTCATTATAATAATAAAGTCATATGCTTGTATTGTCATAGTAAGTTTTTATGCTGTCTTGCAATATAAGTCATTTTAAAGTAAACAAAATGTTTTTAAAAAATCTTAAGCAGCAGAGGACCTAGGCAGCCGCAGTATTCCCTCCTTAAGACTTTTCATTTTATGATACTGGCAGTTCTGATGTATTATAATTTCCTTTCATGTTTTCTTATCACCATGTTCATCATCTCATTTTCAGTAAAGATGTAGATGAAGTCTTCACAGATTTAAGTATATCTAATTCCTCTGTATCAGAGGGCCTTAAACAGTATGTATTACATGTATTATTGGAAGTGGGTTTTTGGTAGACTGCATGATGGCATATTGAGTTGCACTCAATGTATGCATGTGCTGTGGATATTTGGGGAGGGGGGGGGGGCTTACTTCTATTATTAAAGGTGTTGATAGAGCATTCTTCTTAAACAGAATCTCATTTTATTTCTGAGTGTAGGTATTAAATATATACAAGTAGATTAAGAACAGTAAGAAGATATATTCAGATTGGGTTCTGCTATAATAGAAACCATCGTCGTAAGCCACAGGTTTTGTGTCCATTCTATTTCATGGAAATAGAATGGACACAAAACCCGTGGCTTGCAACGATGAATAGAAACTAGTGTTTCATTTTTTTTTTCATCATTTTTCAATTATTTTGATATTTTCCTTGTGTTGTTATAAAGAATAAAGATTACTTTGGAATGTAAAAACAGGTGTTGAATAAAAGTTATGTTTCGAGATAGGCCGTTCATTGCTGACATCTTTTATGATCTGCATGAAGTATTTGGCTTGCTACTAACGATGAATATTTCCCTTTCATTCCATGTAAACATCTCATAACATATTATTTGCAATCAATGGTATGCTTTTTTTAATCAAAGTCTAGACTGCCATAGCGACTATGTGTACAGTAAAACTTGATTATAACGAAGTCACTGGGACGTGAAATTACTTCACTATATCCGTAATTCATTATATCCATATAAGGAATTCATAAATTTTATAAAGCTTGGGATCCAAGAAAACTTCACTATATTCGAGCTAAGAATTCGCACTGTTCGTACCTAATGAGTTTTACTTTATTAAATAACTCTCTGTTGTATGTGACCACATGTAGTCCTGTCTTATTGGCTAATGTTATTTTCTCTCTAACATGGTAATTGTTTGCACTAATATATTGATTACAAGGCATTTGCATGAGGTTAAATTGGAATGTATGAAACATTTTGAAAAATCTCCAGAGATGAAATAAAATGTGAAAGATTTTTTAATGTCATTTGACTGCATGTTTTGGCTTGCTTAAACGTTTTGTGTTTGTTTTTCATCCTTCAGCAGTCGAAATAAATTCATCACAGAGAGACCGCCTACCCAGTCCTCGAGACAAGCCAGGTAGGACTGTTACCTGTCATCAATTGCTCTCGGTTCTAATGGTCAGGGATTTTACTAATGCATGCTCAAGAATGGCATTTTTTGTTGATATATATAGAGTTTTAAAAAATGCAAATTGTTGATTTATTGAATTTAAATGTGTGAAGGAATATTGTTTTTCTGTTTAGAACTAATTTTTTAATAGAAAACATATTTTTAAAGCAGACAATAGATGTAGATGGATTGATTATGAGTGTAAAATATTGTTTTGAACTACAACGAACTTTTTTAATTTTAGTGTACCAAAAGAAGACATCGAAGAACCAACACAAGACAAAGAGGAACAAGATAATGATTCATTTGAAATCGCAAATCCTGAAGATTACAGGGAAATATTTCGACCCAAATCTAGACTAGAACATTCCCCAACACGGCCAGTTGAGCCATTCCAACCTCCTCCTGATGATGGTATGTTCCAAACAAAACGAAATGTCTCTTCTCCTCGTAATGTCAACCGTCAACTCTCCTCAGAACGGAAATGCTCAGCGGAGCGTAAATCCAACCCTTTACGCAAAAGTCAGTTATCCAAATCAGTCTCGGATGATGGTAGGCCCCATATATTTGTATGCTGCATGCTGACTAGCTCGGAGAGGTGTCCTGGAATGGTGTAGGAATGCATTGCCCCTCTTCTTTCTAAACTGCTTTCCAAGGCTTATGTTAAGAAAATACTTGTATACTCATACATATTTATATCATAATGAAAAATATATGTAGGCATGTTTCTCTGATTCTTTGTTGAAAAAAAAAGGCAGTATAGACTTGTTGGGAAAAGTGTTCCTCCAAAGTTTGATTCCTTGCTGTAAGTGGAAGAATCAGAGAAAAATATAGGGAGTAGAAATATATCAAGCTATCTAATCATGACTCACTTTCCTCATATACATATATTCTCTTACCCCTTAACTGCAAATCTGTGTATCCTGTAAAAGTTTCATTCTGGAAGATAAAAGAAAGTGCAGTCTTGTTGGTTATTGTATGCAGACTTTAAACAAGCATTTAAAGAGGTTGTGGTTGTTTTCATCATCATCATCAGAATAAATAAAGCCTCTCAAAAAATGTTGTAAACAAAAACAATTTTTATAAATTGATTGCACCTGTCAAGACAGCTAGACTTCTTCTTGGGCAATGAGAGTATGTTTTGTTGACCAAGCTGATGTACTTTATATAGTAAGTCTTAAAAATTCTTTTCATTTATTTGATGAAACCAACTTTACTAGGTGACCTGGAACCAGTCCGACAGCCAGCACCGACCAAAACCAGCAAAGTCGCATCCAAGTCAAACAACAAAACATCTGTCAAGCCGGTCAGTAAACCAAGCCCTCGACAACCAGAGGAAGACAAATCTGGCATTTCACCAGAGGACTTTCTACCGGTATGATTATTAAAATGACAACTAGTTTAAAAATGGAAAGTGATTTGAATGGTAGAATAAAAATTTGTTTTACAATACTTTTGATAGGAAGTGTTTGTTACTGTACCTTAAAAATTGTGTAAAAAATTGGTAGATTATTTTTTCAAAACCGTTAACTGCTATTACGGGGTATAAACATTCAAGATGCAATGTTTATGCTTAGTTCGGTATTTTCATTTTCTCATCTATCTTAGATGGGAATTTTCTCATCTTCCATTTATTTTTTCTTCACCAAAATATTTTTGATGCACTGTTAATTGAATAACATTCTTGCTATAAAAATGCTCTAAAGAAAATTGTGTATAATTCGAAGATGTGAGATGGCAGATGTAGGATGGGTTATGCTTTTCTTGTGAGACAATTAGCACATTTTAACTCTGTTGTATAGAAGGCGGGTGGAGATGTGGGATATGGTGTACAAAGAGTGCCTTCTGAGGGGGAAGCTTTGTCAACTTTGTCAAGTGGACATGACGCCATGGCCAAAGTATTATCACACCGAAGCAAGAATCTTCAAATAGTCCGAGCCATGTGGACATCTGGAAACACAAAGGTATATATTCTTTCAATGACTGTAATGTTTTCATTATTTAGTTTGGTTTTGTTTTAGATAAGAAATGATTTACATGTATTTTCAGATGTGTTTTTTATGCCCCCAGATCGAAAGATCCCGGGGGTATATTGTTTTTGTCCTGTCTGTCTGTTTGTCTGTTTATCTGTTTGTCTGTTTGTCCGTTTGTCTGTTTGTCCGTTTGTCTGTTTGTCTGTCTGTCTGTTGTCAACTTTAACCTTGCCCATAACTTTTGATTGGTTGGAGCTATGACTTTCATATTTCACATGTGTATGCCTTGTGACAAGACCTTTCTTTGGGTACCATCATATTTGACCTTTTGACCTTGACCTTGGAGTTTAACCCACTTTTGCAAAATTTTATGAGACTTTAACCTTGGCCATAACTTCTGAACAGTTGGTGCTTGGGGTTTCAAACTTCACATGTGTATTCTTTGTGACAAGGCCTTCCTTTGAATACCAACAACTTTGACCTTTTGACCTTGACCTTGGACTTTGACCTACTTTTGAAAAACTTTAACCTTGGCCATAACTTTTGAACAGTTGGTGCTTAGGGTTTCAACTTCACATGTGTATTCCTTGTGACAAGGCCTTCCTCTGGATATCAACCACTTTGACCCTTTGACCTTGACCTAGGAGTTTGACCTACTTTTGAAAAACTTTAACCTTGGCCATAACTTTCGAATGGTTGGAGCTAGGGCTTTCATACTTCACATATGTAATCCTTGTGACAAGACCTTCCTTTGAATACCAACCACTTTGACCTTTTGACCTTGAACTAGGAGTTTGACCTACTTTTGAAAAACTTTAACCTTGGCCATAACTTTTGAATGGTTGATGCTAGGGCTTTCATACTTCACATATGTAATCCTTGTGACAAGACCTTCCTTTGGATACCAACCACTTTGACCCTTTGACCTTGACCTAGGAGTTTGACCTACTTTTGAAAAACTTTAACCTTGGCCATAACTTTTGAATGGTTGGTGCTAGGGCTTTCATACTTCACATATGTAATCCTTGTGACAAAATCTTCCTTTGGATACCAACCACTTTGACCTTGACCTTGACATTTGACTTTTATTAAAAAAAAACTTTAACCTTCACCATAACTTTTGAACAGTTGTATCAAGGTCTTTCAAATTTCACAGGTGTGTTCCTCGAGACAAGATCTTTCTTGGGTATCAACTTTTTTTATCTTTTGGCCTGGATTTTGACTTGCATTTGAGAAACTTTAACCTTCGTCATAAGCTGCCATATGGGGGGCATCAGTGTTTCACAAACACATCTTGTTTTTAAATCTATAAAGACACATGCCCAAACATTTAATTTTCAGGCTGCAGTTGATTCAGCTATAAGTATGAAAGATCCTTCTGTGATAGTCGATCTGCTCAATGTATTAAACTTAAAATCGTAAGTACTGACAAATAAATCTGTAAGATTTTTATTCTGGGTGTATGTAAAGTAAAATGGTTGTTTACTAATGATAAATTCCCATAAATATTTTTTTTTATTATAAAAAATTTCATAATGATTAATTATGTCATAGAGACATGGTTATACATGTATTTTTATTTGATTTTGGCTCAGTATAAAATAGGTTGCATTGATTTATTGTGGTTTTATGTTGTAATGTGAAATTTTAATTTTGGTATATCAATTCATAGAGGGTTATGGAGTTTAGATCTGTGTTCCTGTTTGCTGCCACAAGTACAAGATTTGATGGACAGCAAATATGACAGGTAAAATACTCTTAAGTTCTTGCATCAGTATGTGCAAGTGCCCTCCAATAATCACAGTATCAGTGTCTATTCTTCTGACTATAGAGCCATTTTAATGTAATAACTAAGACAATTTTAAGTTTTTTTAACCTCCAAAATCATATTTACTGTTTTTTTTTTTAAAGCTCACCAAATATTCAAGTCATTGGAGTCCTTGGTTAAAAAGGATGAGTGCACTTAAGCTATGAGAGCTGGGTCCCGGTGTTTTGCGCAAAATAAAATTCCAAAGTTCATAAACTTTATGTTTTATAGGTATTAAACAATGTCTTAAGAGCAGGTTTTGGTATATTATACTACATGAAAGTATTAAATAATGCCGAGCGACACTAGCTTTTGAGACGGGGGTCTAACAGTTTTGTCACATTTCTATTGTTATTCATATGCATACCAGTTTTCAACGACATTGTTTACATGGAGCTGCAACTTGTCCATTGGTCTCATTTGCACAGAATGTGTATTTTGATTTAAACTTCAACATATCCAAAGGACAATGTTGGACAAATTGCGGCTCATATCTAATTTTTTGAAAAAGTCTCCAAACTACGGTCGAATTAGCCACTAAATTAACAGTTCACCGAGTGTCAACGATTGATATTATAATCACTTTACTCATGTGACATTCCACTGTTCGATACGCTAAGGCTTTCATTGAGCATTTCATTGTGTTTGTTATTGAAAGTTTCTATTGTGACAGTATCTATCGTACTTTCAACTTTAAACTATGGACGATTTTTGTGCAAATTTTAATAGGGTTTGAAGATTATATGTCTCTTATTTTACTTTGTATTTTTCATTAGGGGTGTTTTGAAAGAATTCTGGTATTGACAGTGTGATTAGTAAGTACATGTACAGGCTCATGTCGCCTCTGTATAATGGTCTGCAGGGCGAGACATCTTCCCCATCCCTAAACACTAGAATCATTTATTATTTGTGCACCATAAAACTACACAATCTCTCTCTTCTCCATTTAAATTCGCAGTGCGAAAAAAAATCATATATGTGCTAATGTTTACATTCCACATCCATGCGATTTAAATGACTCCGCCTATTTGCGGATACCCTAAATTCGTAAATGGTCCCGTTCAAATTTCCGGAATTTAAGGTTTGTATATGTTCTTTTCAATGACATTGTCTGTAATTATAGAAATATGTATGACAAAAAATTCAAGGAATAAATATCAAAAGAATATACTTGCACAATAATCATAGATTAATTAAGCGATATATTGTAATGTAAAGCTTAAAATGGGTAGCCAAAAAGGTTCCAAATGACGTACTAAAGTGCACTCATTCTTTGTATGAATATTGTGATGCAGTAATTTGAACATTTTGTAATGTACAGTCCCAATATTTAATACTCTTGTAGAAGTAAGGAATGGATAGTTGAAGACACCCATTGATTTATTAATGTTCTTTGAACAGATATAAAGGCCAAAGGATCAATGCTATTTATATGGCTACATGTATTACATATTTACAGGTGTTAACTTGAATACATTTTCTCAATAACATTACAGTTAGAGGTAGACAGCTACATATTTTAAGGTCTGACAGTCAAAAATCAAATATTGTTTATTTTCCAGCTGTATATACAATGTACTACAACTCAAAGAATTGAATATCTTTAATAAGTAAACCTCATCTAAGTGAAACCTGTCTAAGTCAAAAGATTTAAGGTCAGTTGCTTAAGAGTCAAGATAAAAAAATCAAGAATATTGATCTAAGAACACTGCCTTAGAGTTATACTCCCCACTTGAAAAGCGAGGGTATAAAGTGATGGGGTTGACTGTCCTTCCATACATCTATAACACTTGGGGGTACCCACTTCTTATCCGCAACTCCTCCTATACCACTGAATAAGATTTAATGAGACTTTCACAGAATCTTTATTACATGGTGCCATTATGCACCTCCTATTTTATGTTCTGATCAGACAGATATTTGGGGTTTCCCATAGCAAAAAATAGACTTTGCCATTACAGTCAAATGGGAGTGGGGGTATCATTTTGTGAGCTCAGTGCTCACAATGCTCTTAGTTTTAACTAACTTACCACGGTACTTCAAAAACTTGAGAGATAAGAACAGTTACAGATAGGTTTTATATACATGTATCTGAGAAAATACTTGCATAGAAGAAAACTGTACTCCTCTATGGAGAGAAACAAACTAAGTTAATAATTTAAGCACAATTCAGGCTGCAGGTAGTATTCATTTTTAAAGAAAATTGAAACGATAATTATGTGTCAGAATATAGTTGCATAAAAAGGACAGAGTCACTCATGTGACCTATTGCTCTGTGTTCTCAAACTTAAAGCTAAAATTTACTTAACTTATTTCAACCGATATGAGTATGAAGATTCTATGAGTGAAGGGGAACATAACATCTCAGATAACTTTGTCTTTTCAGTTATGTGACAGCGGCCTGTGAAGCCCTGAAGATTATGTTGAAGAACTTTGGACCAGTGATAAAGTCCAATCTGACCGCTCCACCAAGTCAAGGGGTGGATATATCCAGAGAAGAAAGGTACTCTCAAGCATTATAGAAGTAAAAATTTATTTTATATAACGGTATTAAATATTTCCCTCTAGTTTTTTTTATATCACATAAAGTGCCTTAAAAAATGGATTTTGCATTCTGCAGGAAGACTTTAACACATGTTAACTCTATCTCCACTTAATTTATGTCATATTATTTTTGTAGGTATCGAAAATGCAGACAGTGCTACGAAAATCTTTCCATGATCCGAACAACAATATCAAAGAGAATGGGAGCACCAGGGAAAATTGGACAACTGCTTCGTGAAATTCAAATTTTAATGGCAAGCATGGACTGAGAAACAAAACAATGACTCAAAATGTGTGTGGCTGCTTTTTACCAACTCTGAAGAATCTTTCCTATGCTTCCTTGGGATTTGAGGGGTGACCTTTGGCCTTTGAAAGATTCTACAATATTGTCAAAGGTGAACCGAAGACAGTCTGTGATTATGATGTGATAATGACAAAAATTGTGCTGTTCACACAAAGTTATTTCCTAATGTTCAGATTCTGAACAAGTCCTTTACATCAATCTGTGAAAAGTACAAAGATATTGTGAGCTTGTACATTCTCAAACACGTCTCTTTTTTTTTTTTTTTTTTTTTTCAAAAGTTCACCATTTGTATGTGATTTTTTTCTTCAAATTTTGAAATGTAAGAGAAATGGTAGCATTTTTAATAATTTTATGTTTAATATTTATATCAAATATATATTTTTTGTGAAAATGAAAGTGCTAGAATTGTAAGTTTCATAAATGATGCTCTTAGCAGTTTACACTCCATGATTGATGACAAACTGTTAGTATTTTACTGAAGCATATATATGGTTGTTAACATTCCCAGGTGATGCATATCAATGCAATAGTTGCACAATCTTTCTTTTTTGTTTTATTGAAGATCCCACATGTCGTTTGAAATGAAGTCTGAAGAGATACATGTACCAAGTTTTGTATGTATATGTGTTTGCAATAATGAATTACTGATCTACCTGTAAGAAATTTAATTGACTCCATGATTCCTGTGTTATATTGTACAGGTATCAGCAGTATGTTTACAGTAAAGTATTACTAAGATAACACTACTTTATATATTTCGTGAATCAGGGGTGCTTTTTTTTTTATTCAGTAGCAGCAAAATGGTTGTTCATTATGAAGTACTTGTTATTGAAAACTAGTTGGTTTTTTTTTATATTAAACACTACATACTAAAAAATTTTTAAAAAATTAAGACAAAATACAATAAAACTTAGAGTAAATGAAAAAGTATATGAATCTGAGCGAGTATCTGCTAAGCAGGTACTAGTATGAAAGTAAACTAATATTACATATCATGATTCGTTTTCTTCCGGGTGTAAAAGCTTCGTTTGAGCAATAGTGTGAAAATTGTAGGCTCTATCTAAGAAAATTAATCTTATTTTTAATTATGTTTCATGTTTGTTATTTAATATTGCATTGACATCCAGATATACATGGTTAAGTACATGTGTACTGCTAAGTCTTAAACATTGTAAGTTTGCACTCTCATTTACACATATAAGTTATTGAGCTCCCCACACAAATATAAAGGCATTACAGTTTCTATCTCTGCCTATGCATTCTGCTTTATTTTTTTCGCAGTGCTTGATTTTCATTGATGAAATGTTGAAATTGAAAAATGTAAATAAAAGAAAATTTTAAAACATGCATTTTGGTTCTTTTTATTTCATAAACTGAGAAAATATTCATTAATATTAGGCTAGCATGGAATGTTTTGATCTCTGCCTCTTTATTAATCATTAAAATCAATGTTGCACATGTATAAAAATAATGTTATAAATGGTGGGGGAAAATTGCGCTGAAAAAGAATGTGACTATGACTCATTCTATGAATTATCAAAGCGTTTCGATTTGACCCAGTATGAGAGATTATGAACCATTATTATCTAGAACATGCATGGTCAGATTTTGTTATTATGAATTATGTGAATATATCCATATTGTACTGTTACAGTTTGATAAGGAAGGTTTTAAGTCTTCATAAACTAACCCAGAAAGGGACCAATCGCCATTTGTACAGAAAGAATTATAAAAGTTGGAACAAGATCCGTTTTCAACATAGTGTTCACGGCAATAATAGAGTTATGAAGATTTTACTGCTTGCGTCCGTTTTTGCAGTAGGTTATTGTCATATATGCCTCCTTAGCCCGCCCCAGAGAGGAAACATGACGGGCATCAATACCCCTGGGGCAAATGACTGCTTTTTGACCACCGCCCCGTGTGGAGGTCGCCAGCCTGCACGTGACGCCACTTTCTACGGCCGCGGGGAGAACATCACTGTCACATTCATGAAGAACTTGGACCATTACAACAAAACCAACCCCGGGAAATTCGTTATTTCTTTGAGTGAGAGACAGACTGTTGCACCAAAGGTTTTGGCCACCGTTCCCGACGGTGGCGAACCTTCCCTCCATATCTACACAGTGAAAGTTCGCGCCCCTATGGAACCACCCAACACTATGCACTTTTTGCAAGTGACATACGAACCAAACAATAATCAGGCACCGAAAGCGTTTTATCAATGCGCGGACGTGGGGTTTGAACCAAGACATTAAATCAATTGTGACTATTTTTTTTTTAAAATTTGTTGGCTGTGACACATAATGCACATGTTGTTTGGCGAATGGATTATAAATCGAAGTGTACAGAAGTATGCACGGAACCATAATCATGCTAGTATTGTTATTACATTTATTTTGTAATCAATTGATACTACAACAGTAAATGAATATGTAGAATCATTATGGTTTGTTAAGCATCGGGAAAGGGCAATTGTAACTCTATCTGTAAAACATGTTATAGAAAGAAGTAAATGAAAATCCATTTCAAAGGGAGTGGGTTGACAGTGACACGGAATACGACCCTTTGACCTGCCTGTTAAAGATAGTAACGTGACCAGTCATAAACCTGTATGTTCTTATCCAGATCATTACATCTCGAATCTTTTTTAAAGAAGAGACACTTAATTGAATTTAGATGAGTTAAATTTTTGGTTTAGAACAGCTTCAGAACGATTTGAATGGAGAAAGGATGTTAACACAATTAATGGTTAACCATACGATCACGTGCAAGGTTGAGGCAAGTAAAAGGCGCACTTGCAAGATTTACGTGTGTATGTTGCTTTGATGTGCTGCTTTGAAAATTGATTACAAAACGATTATACAAAGATTTATTCAATCGCTTTCGATATAAAACATTAAATATTGTCTTTAAACTGCATGTATAGGGCTATGTTGTAGCACGTTCCCTGTAGTTAATTAACCATGTCGATGTTAAGTGTATAAAGTGATTTTAATGGATATTCTTAAAATTATTCACGTATTTTTGTTAACATTAAACAGCTACAACCGTCAAAAGTAAATTATATTGCTAATCTTGCCCAGATAAGGACTGACTATTTTATAAGTGTCGTTTTGAATCATTTTGCTGTTTCAAAATCTTAATGAAGATCATAAAGTTGAGTTCCTGCTGTTGAACTTCTTCACAAAGAACTACGTCGTTCAAGAGGTATTTTGTGTTGAGACACGAGTCATCTAGTACCCTAATTCCAGTACACGCACTTGCTTGTATACATCAGTCCACTGGTGAATTGTTTTTGTCGAGTTTTTATATGACGAAACATTGCAACTCACCACGGAAACAAATTTGCACACCATGAATGTTTTTATGCGCACATGTTCTTTGATCCTGCTATTGTTTCAATCTTTCACTGCAAGCATTAATTGCCGTTTCTTGTCATGCTAAAAGAAATTGTGAGCGACTTTAGTACAGTAACGATAGAATTAGACATAAAACCGAAGGGTTGTTTTCTAGCTTTAATGGCGTTTATCGTTATTTCACAATTAACCTGCTAGTCAGGCTTTCAAAAACCCATTTCTCTTGTTAAATAAAAACGATAGAAAGAATTATACCAAATAACTTTCCTTAACTCTTTTATTTCCAAAAATAAATAAATAAATAAACATTGCTAATCTATAAAAGCGTTCATATTAATGGAGACTACAGCTGCTGTAAGTTTTCTAAATTTGATTGATTACTGGATTTCAATGAATTGTAATGAGATCCCCTAGATTCCACACATAGTGTGAAACACGAAATGGGAAGCACCTTGACATCTAGATAGTCTTTCACATATACATGTTCATGCTTACAAATCAATGAATGAACAAAAACTTTTTTATATCATTTCTTTTTTCCATGTAGCACAAGAAATATTCTACTTTTAGTACACTATTCAGCCATCCATACTCCACAAGTTACACCTTTCTCAACTCCTACGACATGCGACACGTCCATTCGTGGCATTCAGCAGATATGACTGAATTCATCCAAAGCTATAAACTCTTTCAAACAAGTTGGAAGGATAAGCTTCCTGATATTTTCCAATATGGAGGTATCTCCCGAACCTTTGTTGAGCGATTGACGAATACTGAATCGGCAAATATCTGAAAGTGAGATTGGGTTATGGGATCGTTCTCTAAGCCACGCCATCATCTGGACTCCATTTGTTGAAGTATCAATCCCTGAGAAAGCTAAACGTCTGAAAGATCTTGAAAATGTCGGAATACGTCTATTGCACTGCTCCACTTCGTCAATGGTCAACTGGTAGCCACACAAGACCATCAGTTTCAGAACAGTCGGGTCACATCTTGTAAAAGCGTCTACAAGTGGACTTCGTCCATACTGATCTAGCGTGGGAATTTGGCACCCGTGGTATAACAGTAGTCCAGCAATATAACTGTTTCCCAGAGAAATGGAGGACATAAGAGGTGACCATTGTCCATCACACTGGCTTAAACGACTTCCATTGTCAACCAACATTTTAGCAAAGGAGTCCAGACAGTTATATGCATGTCTCTGAGAGATACGATAGTAGAAAATCGCAGTAGAAAACGGCGTTGCTTTATACTGAGTGACAGCGTTGACGTCTGCTCCATCTTTAATCAATCGGCGCACTATATTCTCATTTCCAACCCGTATTCCTTCATGAAGAGCTGTCCAGTTATTTTTGGTTTTGGCATTTATGTCAGCCCCTCGTTCACATATAAGATACACGACATCTTCAAGGTTTGTGTGAATGGCCCTTTGCAGGGGACTATTTCCAGCATTGTCCAAAATATTGACGTCACATCCACATGTGATCAGGTATGATGCAATGTCACTACCATAGTGGTTACACGCTATATGTAACGGGGTCTGCGATTTGTTGTCTGTGGCGTTGTAGTCCCATTTATTTTCCACCAGTGAATACACAATGTTCACGTAGCCGTACTCGGCCGCCCAGTGGAGGGCAGTGCGTCCGAACCCGTCCACGTAATCTACATACTTAAAATTCCCATTGGATAAGATGGACCGAACCTGTTTTTCTTTGCCAGATTTAACAGACTCCAACAGGAAATAGTCTTCGTCCACGAGGATCTTGTTGGGCATTGTATGCATATAAAATTATCTTGAACTTTCATTGACGACTGTTAAAACTTCTGTATCGATTCGTAATCGGTTCTCAGAAAAAGGTTCCCAAGATATTAGTGGTTATTTGTTTGCATTATCGGTATGTGGTCCTTCAAACCCTGAAACAAAACAATTTTTTTAATTTTATTTAAGATATAACAAAAGATTGCTGGTTTACGTATATGTTTTACGTATGTTTTATGCACTATCAACTTACAGGTATCCCTTCCATTACCAGGACGATTCCAGTACAATGTAAACCTAACTTACCCTTTCTCTTCTTTGTTTTCCTCAGGACCTCAAACGCAAAAACCAAACAAAACCCAAAACGCTCATGCGCATGTAAAAGTTTGTTGTGAGGAAATCATATTATGAGTTTGATTGCCAGAAAAACATAAGTAGTTAAGGAGTCTATTTATCTGATGCCATCTCCCTCCATTCACGTTCTGATCTTGCTCCTGAGAGCAGACGTTCGGATGCGTGCCAAACATAAACACGTACAGTATCTAGAGGGATGCTTCCTATGTTTTACACTGAATTGCATGTGTATCGGTAGCGATTGCTGATAAGATTTTATACTATATCAATAATATTGAAGGTCAAATGGTCAAAATTGTATCTGGCAAATGTTTTCAGTAATTTGGAGGAAATCTTTATTGAGTCTTCTTTGTGGATGTTTGCAAAAATGGAGATAATGTGTACAAGACGTGGACGTTTCTCTCTCGGATAATTAACTTGTATATATATTTATATATATATACATGAATTAATAGGTTATTCTGAATGATCAAGATACCGTTTCTTGTAGAATAAGTTGTTTTTTTCTTTAAAAATTCGCTGTTCGGAATTAAATGCGAAATGAAGTCGTTCTTTTGTTCTGCAACGTTATTGTAAAGGGACACATCTTGAAAGCGTAAGGAATCATGTAATTTTCGACATTTGGACAGGAAACCCCTGCACATATTGTGTGTAAATGACTAGAACTCGAAAACAAATTGTGTCCGACGCAGAGTGCTAATTGTTTTTGTCATCTGTAATAAGTACAAATGCATGTAAAGTGATGTAAGCAGGTAACAGCCTGACACCGGGAGCACTGGCTTATTTATTCTGAACATCATTTTTGTGGGCGGATCCAAGTTTAAATAGATTTGAATTTTCTGTCTTTATAATCTCTGTTATTTAAAACAAAAATTAAACCAGTTTAAATAGTGTAAAACAAGGACAAAACACAAATTTCTTACTGTTTAGATGAAAATTTATACCGTGTTGTATATCAAATTATTGTCCTTAATTAAAATTCCCAGGCATTGTCGATAGTTATATATGACATTAAAACACAGTGAGTATACATGTATATTACTCTTACGTACCAAGATTTGAAGAAAAAATGTAATATTGGTGTTGATAATGCCGTATATATAAGTGTATTTCTATATCTTCTTTACAAAAGACAACCAATTGTGCAACTCAATTGTAAACTCAAGTGTCACAACAGTGTTTTTTATACCAGATGCGCCACTTTCAATACATCGTGTTAGATTAACGTTTTACATTGCGCTCTCAGTACAACAAAGAAAACAGGAGACACATATAAGGATGTAAAAAAACTACAACAAATGCACAATAACCAACGTATTAAGTAAAATGAAAAATCTTATTAAAAGATAAAAAAGGAACTTTGATCAATACTTTTGAAAAATAAGAGGGGAAAATCTTACCTCTGTTTAAAAAAAAAATCCTCTTGGACTAATCTTGATCCGTCATCGATGACAACTTTTAAAGGACAGACTCATCTTTTCTGTGAGCTGCGGAAACCGACACTAAGTGACGAGGCCCATGAGGGGTAATTTTTATAAGGAATCACACGTGTGAGTGATTTCCCCGTGATGCAGTCCGATGGGTCATTTTTACACGGAGTCCGGATGTTGTGGTCATTCCTGAGTTCATTGTACCAAGGTGTTACGTAATAAGACTGGTGTCCGGGGTTAACGCCATTTCAGTATGATCTGTAATTAAAGTTAAATACAACTTAGTATTGTGATATAATATTCAAGTTTCATAATTTCACTTGAGATATATATCCAAATTAAAATGTGAACATCCAAACTAGAAACATGTACAAGTATCATGTACAAAGTGTCATTGCCTACGAATCTCAGTTAATTTTCCTCCCCGTCATATTAAAATTTACATGCACTTTTCCGGGAATTGTTCTAGTATATATAGGTAAAAGATATCAGTTACTGTTTACCCACACGACATTTACTAGGAATATTTTGAACCTGAGCATGGAAATCTAACGCACGCCTATTACTATAGCACGTGTTTCTGGGAGCATTTAGAGTTTAAAAGAAAGGATTTTGTGCTGTCCTGTAATACTTTTCTATAAGAATCAATACATTTAGGTAGTGTGTAATTAAATTAAACCTGTACGTTAAGTTACTTATATTTCAGGTAAATGGTTGTGGTCAATATTCTTATTATGTTTAAAGGAAAACGATAGTATTCTATCAATGTCATTGATTATGGTAAAATTATACTTTTTTATGTCTAGATGCAATAATTAATACAAAAGTCACTCTGACATAATTCCAACCGAGTCAGTCGCATTGAAATCTAGCCTGTATATACGATTAAAGTTCCAATAGTGGATTTTATGTGAATTTTATACTTTCCAATCAAATTTACCAGAAAAGCGCCGTTGGATATACTGATTTAATAATAAGATGTAAAGTGAAACAATTAAAACTCCGGTTTAAATGACCTCGCTTTAATCAGGTTGAAACGTTTGTGGCGACGGACAAATTATAGGTAACACCAAGGGGTACATCTTTAAATTCTGGGGGTGGTCGTTACGCGAATTTAATTTTAGCCCATTAGAGTTTGTTTATATGGTTTGATAATCTTGGGGGTCACGTGTGTCTTATTGGTAAATAACGAGAGCAAATAAATAAGTACTATTATGTTAATTTGTTGTCATTACAAATAGTTATCCTTGCACTTAACTTGTGACGCCTTCACGACCCATACATGTTTAATCTTCTTTTTGTTGTTAAAGAGAGAGAGAGAGAGAGAGACAGAGATTCTGAAACCTTAAAATAGGCTATTTCCTGTATGTTCGTGTAGATAATGCTAAGAAATTTTATGAACTACATATTTTATTCTTATGGGAAATCATAAATAACACATCATCACTTATTTCCGAGTATAAAAAAAATCTTCAAAAAATTTCTACGTTATTGAATTTAATTTATCTATGAACATAACATTAAATCACAGATGTGACTATTAGCGTAGTGAAACAGGTCATAAAATTCGCTACATAAATGGTAAATATTCATTTTTTACACTGCAAATATACATCATTGGGAATTAAAATCTACATCTCATTAACTTTATTTCATTAATATTGAAATTATATCAGATATGAAAATTAATTTAAAACCAATCTTATTTTATTTCTTTAATTCCAGCTATGGCTTTTAATGCGATATCAAAGGCAAAAATTCTAATCTTCACCAGTGGTATATGCAAACTAACGATATGTATCCTTTATATGTTTTATAGTTATGGCACACCGTTCATCATTGAATAAATATTATAACACTTTTAAAATTTGTTAGAAATGATAACATTTTTGACCCCCTCTATAGTTGCATTTAAAGTTTTAGTATGAAAGTTCTTTTCTGGACAGTTTTTCTTGTCCTGTCGTATTCCAGTTTAAATGCTTCACTGGACTACTATATACAACATCATTTTTTTCAGCATTCTGGCAGAGGTAATTGATTGTTCTTATACTAAAAATGTGTATAGAAAATAATTTAGCAGTATATATTTCTATGTTGTGAGTTAATTTATTCTGCACACACTGTTGGACACGTCTAATTCATTTTTTTTTTGGTGATATTACATGTAGGGAGTTTTTAGAACTTGTGCCCAATCCCATTGTATATATTTATTGCAATAAAATATGTTCAATTCAAACCAATTTTTTTACTGCTCAGCAAAACATTGGAAATTTAGACTTTTTGGGTATAGATTTATATACGAAACAATTTTAAGGGTATAACAAAATACAAGTAAGACTTTCTAAGTGTTAACTATTAAATAGTATTGGGCAGATAATAAAATTAAAATGGACCTATAGGCAAAACCAACATCAAACCATATGCAGGTCCGTATAGGAAGCAATTTCAGTTTGGGGGGGGGGGGGGGGGCACAACCCATCATTTCAGTTTGGGTGGGGTGGGGGTGTGGGGAAGGGGCACTACCAAGCAAAAATTTCTTGTTAAGCCAAAAAAGTTATCAGACGTTATTCTAAGGTTTCACACCCATAAAATAGCTTCTATCTATGGTATACTATATAACGGCAAAACTATAGCCCCCCCCCCCCCCCCGTTCCTATGGCCATGATATTAACAACTCAAAAAGTCGGTAATTGTTTTACAAAAAAGTTCTGAAAAAAAAATGATATTTAGGGCTGCATATCAACATTTTCATCAACAAACGTTTGTTGTAAGTATTAGTTCGAAACATTCTTGCTTTATAGAAAATACATGTAAATTGCCCTAACAAAAATGCTATAGATAACTATGGTTTACTATTGTGAACTTTAGTTTATTAAGTATCAAAGCTTTTACTATATACATCAAAGTTTTTACTATATTTAATCTAAGTATTTTCCACTATGAATTTCAAATTGATATACATGTATTCTATGTTCTTCAATTCATACATGTAATTATTTTACATAAAGAGGAAATATTAAATGTGTATTCACACTATTTCCAAAAATTATGTCATTGGTATTGAAATTAGAAATATCAAGCTTCAAAATCGCAACCCAAAAAAAAAAAGAAAAACAAGAGTTAGGTTTCATATTAAATCAGCGTATAAAAATATTCACTTTAGGTAATTATTAAGTTACTGTAGTAAATTTTTGTTAGGTAAATGGTTGTGTTTTTGTAATTTTATGACATAATAGTAACCTCTTTTGTTTTTTGTTTTATTTTTTCCTAGAGGAATTTTCTTAGGAGTACATGTATGTACTGTTTTTTGTTTTTGTTTTTTTCAAATTGCGATCTTCTTTCAGATCTTAGGTCATGTGCACTTATCCGGAATCTACAGAGTTTTTTTTTTTCATTCAAGAAAATAAACAGATGGTTTTCATTAGTAAAATTTTCTTTATTTTTTTTAAAGTTGGTAATTCCAACTTTAAAGTTGGCTTTTCCAACTTCAAAGTTAGTAATTCCAACTTAAAAGTTGGTAATTCCAACTTTAATCTTGCCTTTTCCAACTTTTTCGCGCTTCATGCGTTTTATTCATATACTTTGTTGTTAATTGGGCTTGTTTTGCTGTTTTATAATTGTAATGGAAATAAACAATTTCTTTATATAATTATGATGAAAGAAGGATTGATTTTCATGGCGTTTTCAGATACAGAATTGATAAATTTTGTTCAGTTGTCTTTGTATCATGAAAAATAGTGTTGATTCATTCCATAAATCAAATACCTAATATGGTCTCATTTGTTTAAACTCATTCTCAACAAATTTATATACTTAGTATGTCTTTTATTCCAACTTTGATCTTGGCTTTTTCAACTTTATGCATTATATTCAGATACTTTGTATTCAGATTCTTTTGGTAAACGCTATACAAACACAATTCATACCAAACTAAGACACAACTGTTTACTTAATTATGATCTTTATAAACGAAATATTATCGATAATCCTTTTTGTTCATGTGGTACGTAAATACGAAGATGTTTATCATTTCTTTTTTGCATGTAGAAATTATCCAAATGCTAGAAATAAGCTTTTTAACCGCCTGTTTTTGCTTGACGAGTTGGTCAATATTAACACACATTTGTTACTTTGGGGTGACACAGACTTGCCTCTGCAAACTAATCACACAATATTTGCTGCTGTCCATAAATTTATTGATGAAACCTGTAGATTTTAAATTACTATTTTATTGAACAAAACTTTTAATCATGTTACTTGTTACATTAATATTTCTCTGCATTTTTTTTCTTCTTTGCATGACAAATGTTATATTTAAGGAGAGGAACCAGTAAGTTGTAAGAACTTTTTTTCTGATGCATTTGCTTATGTCAATATAAAATATGTTCAAAACAAGATACTTTGTAGTTTGACTCATGTTGCCGTTATTTAAGGAATGTTTTTAAGTTTTGTGTGAGTTATTTGTGTGTAGATCACACAGACTTGTCATGTAGGCATATTTCATGAAGCGCGCTAGCGATTCATGAAAAATATGTCTACGTGCAAGTCTGTGTGATTTACACGCCAATAATTCACTCTAAACTTAAAAACATTCCTTATATTTACATTATACACGTTTAAAAGCACCAGTAATATATACTCAATATTTGAATTTCTTGCTGCCCTATATGTTACATTTTTATTAACGTCTCTGTAGCATCATTGTGACGTCACTTTAGCGCGAGTTTCACCGTGTATATTTCTACGCGTGAGTATACACAAAAATGACTTTTAAATCAATTTCACAGTTGGCTTAGTAGAAAAACACAACAAATGTAAATATATACATGTAATTACAATGGAAAGAAACGATTTAATTATGAAATTATGATGAACGAAGGAATTATTTCATCGTGTTTTCATATACAGAATGATACATTTTAGTTCAGTTCTATTTGTAGCATGTAATATAGTGTTAATTCATCCTATATATCAAACACCTAATAATGGTCTCATTTGTTTAAGCTTATTCTCTCATACAAAACAAAATATCTGATCTCTTAAATACGTTTGGTTGAAATCCTGTCATGTATGAAGTTCTATAAAAGTTATACTATAGTATGTAATGTCATAGGGAGGTAAAGGTAAAAAATAATTTACACAGATTAACTGCTCACCAATTTGCTTCAGGGTATAAAGTATGCATTAATAAAGTTGGTAATAATTTAAAATAAAGGGGAAAAAAGCTAAGGAAAAGGGTCAGAAAAGCTCAAATTAAAGTTGGTAAAGCCAAGGTTAAAGTTTGGAATTACAAACTTGAACATGGAGGGAAAAAAACTTTAAAGTTGGAAAAACCAACTTTTCATTAGTAAAAATGAAATCTGGAAAAAAAAAATAGATGAGCAAGATAAAAAGGTAAATGGCCCAAAATCCTAATTCGTGGGGATAGGGGTGGAGTGTAGCTTCCAGCTTTTTTCTCCATCATATTTTACGAATATATTCCAATATCATGATTTAACTATACCGCAACCAAAAAGGGGGATACCAGCCTTTCAATGAACATTTCTACAGTTAAAATATTCTCTTTAGAGAAGTGGACAGGCTTTCGCCTACATCCATGTAGGCGAAAGCCTGTCCACTTCTCTAAAGAGAATACAGTTAAAAAAGTTATGTTTTAAAAAGTTGGCGGCCAGACCCCCTTGCTCCCCCCCCCCCCCCATCCCGAAACTATATGTACGTGCCTACCCAATATATGTTAACAAATCTTTGAAAATCTCATACTTGTAAATCTCTTCCTTATATTTTTGTATTTTTGAACATAGATGAATACATGCAGTAGACTATACATATATATAATACTAGATGAAATCCCGCGCAAGCGCGGGGAATTGAATTTATACCACTACCGACAGAAAATATATTGTAGTTCTCTACTGACAGCCTACAGGCTTATAGCAGGAACAAATACTTTGTTCAAATTCCCAATGAAGTAGATTTACCTATCCAATCCACCCATCCCCCCAAACCTCCCGTTTTTTTGTGTTTGTTTTATTTGTTTTATTTTTTTTTTAAAAATAGCAATTTCATTAATTGACGTTTATTGTGAGACCTGTTATACTATGTTATGGATATTGTGCTTCAGATGCTCTTATTTCATTTCCGTCTAGGATAAAAGCGACGAATATGCACATTTTACTGATAAATTGATTGGGGGTGGGTGGGGGGGAGGGGGGAATTCACAGGTACTTGGGTCTTGGTTTATAAATATGTTTGTACCTTATTGATATGTAAAAATGTACTTTACTTTTTTACCTTTTTTACCTATCAATAAGGTACATACATATCTATAAACCAAGAACCAAGTACCTGTGTAAAAATTAGCTTTTAACGCCCTATGAATAGGCTCAGTATTTGATACAAAAGACTAAGCTGCAACAATGTAGCCCTCTCCTATTTTTTTTTTGTTTTTTGGATCTGATATTTTCTGGCCTCTCTGTCTGCCCCCCTCCCCCCCCCCCCCTCAAAAAAGGAGAGGGCTACATTATTGCAGCTATAAAAGATTGTATTCAGAAATTAATTGTGCATTGATTAAAGCGCAAATTTTTACATCTTTAATTGTATTGAACAATACCTTATTCATTAATTTTCTCTTTTCATATAAGCAAGTTTATTACGAAGTACAAATTGTACTTCGGGTTCGTTGCCACGATGCTCTCAGTAAGGAATATATACAAATTTTACCGATAAATTTATTAGGAAAACCTACTATATACATGTATATGTAATAGTCTTTCGATATAATTATATTCACAACTTATAGTGTTATCAGTGATTTACCATTATTTCAATTATGACCATTTACACAAAAGCTTTTTTTTATGGTCATGTAGCTATCATCGCCTCGTTTTTTTTTTTCTTAACATCGGGCTCGATGCTATATGATGTTCTAGAAGCTTCCGTCAATATAAAGATCGGCGAATGACGAAAATATTTTGCACATTTCCCTTTTTTAATCGGTTATCACAACTTATATCTTTTATATCATTTAAATCGAGTTTTGATTGAATAATTCAGTGATGACGTTTCATGTAATAAATAAACGATTGCTTGTTGTCAGTTTCATTAATAATTGCCAGTAACTTAGATCCGCCAACCGGAAACGCCACCGTACTCACGTTTTAGCTATTTCATGGCTGTTTATAGAAAATGAAAGTGGACTTTTAATTTAATGTACGATACTTACTATGCGAGTGAAATCTAAATATAGTTTACGGACATCAGCTTGTATCTAGTGTATTGTTAGAGAAGTAAGTAAGAACTCTGGTGCACCCGTTTCGGAGTTTATTTGCAAAATTTATTAATTTATAAGTATAGATGTAAAGTCACTATTCCATTTTGCATTACATGTACTTGCAACGAAGATGTATTAAATCAAACCCAGGGGTTAAAAAAGGAGAATAAAGATAAAATATTATTGTCTTTTATGTTGCAGGAGAAAAAAAAACTTACTTGAATGTAGGCTACTCGGTCATAAGAGAAATTAAATCCCCGATGTCTTCTGCTCGTATCTCACATACATGACAGAAACGTCTTTACAGAGTCAGCTAAGTACTAGGCCCCTATAAGCTTTATTACCAAGGGCTATGTATTAGACTTATTATGTCATAATTTTATTACTCTGTCGGGTGGAGAGTTTCTTTTGTTCTTACATGTGATGATCTATAAATAGTATCCAATGTAAACAAAACAGTAGATTTTAGCCAATGAATAAAAAGAAGCATCTTACTGCTGTAGAACAACGTCACTTCCGGTTTGGATTGCTCATTAGTTCCTGACCAAAATTGAAAAATATATTTTGAAATAAACATTATAACACAGAGTGCAGTTTTAAAGTAACATCGATCAACATGGATGGTAAGGCTCTTAGACATATCTTTAAAATATTCAACATTTTAAATAAAATGGATTAACCTAATATTCCATACTTGTGAGGTATACAATCTCGTTCCTAAATAAAATTGACATATCCCGAATTATCTCTATGACATAAACAAAGAGAATGTTAAATGTTTGTGTGCGAAAAGTGTTATAGTTAAATAAAAAAGTATCTAAGCCATAAATGATTAGCTGATTAGGCCTTTATTCGTTCGTTGAAAAGTCATGCTAACAGAGAGAGAGAGAGAGAGATAATGAATGTACTATGCAGTTTTCTTGAATAAATCCTCATTTCACGAGGTGATTTAATGTGATTTATTTATTTTTTCAGATACTCTTTTCCAGTTAAGAGTGAGTAGACATTCTTGTCATAAAAAAGATCTTATATTTATATCTGTATCAGGGACCTATATACTATATTGTATATAGGTCCCTGCCTGTATATATCATATTTATTAGATTTATAAGTACATATTATAATAGTTATATATTAACATTCAGTATAATTTTCTATACAAAAATAATTTGAAAGCTAATGGGTGGTATTCAATTTGTCAGCACAGCCATGTGCTGTTACACAACCAAAATATGAATTCAGTGCTGAAGTGTATTCACCTATTTAATTGTAGACGTATATATATATATATATCAGATATACATTGTATTATGTATGTGATATACGCAGCACAGTTAAGGCTACAATAAGGAGGCGGGGTCTAATTTATATGGGAAATGCTTACTTTGACATCACACAAAAATATAAGTTCTTCAAATTACCACAAAATGAAATGATTTCATATTTTAAACTGTTGGATAGCTTTATTTAAACTACATCAGTTCTTACTATTGCATGCATTTTTTTTTTTGTTGATTAAAATCCACACATCAATATATAAACAATTCACTGATCGCAATGCACTTGTCAATGTGACGTCATATCGTAAAATTTGACACAGTTTGTATGCAGTGAGAGGCGGATCAAGTTATATTTTATACAATGAAAAATGTATTTTTTAACTAAATAAAACATTAAATATATAAGAGGCCATTAACTTGGATTAGATGTCTTTTTAGCTCACTTCAGCGAAGTTGGGGGAGCTTATGTAATGCCCTCGGCGTCGGTGTTGGCGTCAGCGTCCCAGGTTAAGTTTAAGGTTTTTGGAGCAGTTTTCTTTTAAAGTACTTCTATGGCCTACATTAGTCAGAGATGCATGGAGGATGCTTCTAGTGTGTTTTATTGTACCAGTCAAGGTTTCAGATGCTGCAATTTCAGCTAAAGAATGACCAGGTTAATGTTTTTGGAGCAGGTTAAGGTTTTTGGAGTAGATCTCATTTCCAAGTAACTATAAGCTCTATATTGACCAAACTTGCATGGATGATACATCTAAGGATGCACACTACTGGACTTGCTTCGGATGCTGGATCTGACCTATATTTCATGGATGAATGACCAGGTTAAAGTTTTTGGAGCAGATGTCATTTCCAAGTAACTATAAACCCTATATTGACCAAACTTGCATGGATGATGCATCAAGGGACGAACAATCTCAAAACTTGCTTCGGATGCTGGATTTGACTTACATTTTCTGGATGAGTGACTAGTTTTAAGTTTTCAGATAAGTCTATTCCCAAGTAATTGCAAGCCCTATCAGTCCAAAATTGCATAAATGTTGCATCTAGGGATGCACACTCCTAGATTATAAGTTTAGTGTGGGACTTTGCCTTACTTAAGGATGGATTCTTGTCAGCATTTTACGTCGTCAATGGGTCTCCATAAATTATGCAAGTCGTAAAATGCAAAAATCATATTTAATTATACTGAAGGAAAAACTGTAAGTTAATTTGTCAGTTTAAGTAATGTTGAGTCTATTTCTTTTGAAATAAATAAATTTTTCGTAATATTTTCTTTGATTTGCGACAATCCCCATAATATTCGCAGTTCAGTAGCGAATGTCAACATGTCCAGATCATTTCTCGTAGAAAATCCTGAGAGGGTCGTTTTGTAAAATTTACAAACTGTGAACATTATCGAAGCATTGCAGAAGCCCAGGGACAGTTATGACAAATTAAGTCATAGTTATTTATGCCCGGGGCATTCCGATCAGCCAAAAGGGAAGCTTGAACTTGAAGGTCACAAACACGTGCAAGATTGCAGATCCACGTTGCCTCGTCGTGTGCAGTGAGCATGTAAGTTAGATATAAATTTCTGAAGATTTTTATAATTTTGAAATTGAATTCCATGCTGGTTTGTATTGATTTATGGGAATTCGCACAGAAATTATAGATCTGTTATCAATATTTCGTCTGCTTATTCCCGCGACTTGTCAACATTTGAAGAGGATATATTTCGTGTGTTTGTCAGGTTTATGAAAAATAATTCACAAAAATAGCATTTTTTGTATATGATTACAACAAATTTTATATTTTTAACTAGCCCACTTTGTTTAAGACACAACAATCATCAAGTTATTAGAAAAGTAAGGTGTTCCGCTTGGGTACAAATCAAGCGGAAAAATAACTTGATATTGTATGTGGAAATCACATCACTAATATTGAAACACACAGTTGTCTAATAAATAGAGCGAAATGAAACATTATTGTTCAAAAACTATTTACGTTATTGGTTTTTTTTTTTTTTTTTACTTTTCTATACTTTCAGGATAAAAAATGTTTATTTAGGCGTAATAAAAAAAATATGTTTGTTTACGGTTACCCAACCGACCCTATATTTTATCGCCGACCCAATTTTTTTTTTTTTTTTTTTTTTTTTTTTTTGTGAGAAAAATCTGGAAGTCACTTGCCGGTCACTCTAACTTTTACATGCATCTTAATAGGTCAAGCATTTGAAATCATGCATCTTAATAGGTCAAGCGTTTGAAAATGAAATCAAAAGTACTAGAATCAAAATGGCATGTTTAATATACGTCAACGTGTCTGTGTCTATCGCCCTTATGATTAGCCCAAAAACAAAAGTAAAGCACCACACAATGGTAAATTTTTTTGTATTTCAACCAATGCATGTGAATTTGTGAATAAAAAAATTCAATAAAATAAAAAAAAAATCCTACCTACCGACCCTCTTTTATTTCAGCATGTAACCGTAAACAAACATATCTTTTTATTACGCCTTATTTATATCTAATACACTATAATATAAGACATTATACATGTGGTAGAATCTATTAAAATATCTTCATTCATTTAAATTAATAAATGAAGTACAGATGAGATAAGTTGTTTATTCTTATAATCAATTTCCATTAATTTAAAAAAAAGTCTAAGGGATGTTCATGTTTAATTCTTAGGAGAAAAACAACCCTACTTTACCCTAATCTAGAAAAAAGACTGGAGGTCAGAATGCAGGATGATTGAGCAAGGGGTGCTGGCAGATGGACTATTGAGGTAGATGTATAAGAAATATGGACACAACTTTATCTAACTATCATGTAATGCAGCATCTGTGCTGCTATGTAAAATATAATACTTTTTTTTTAAATTATAGGTCAACAAAATATTTGGACTTTCACCAGGTGGACACATGTTCAGCAAGAAATTCTCACATCAAATGAATGATGGCTGTCTGTGGAAAAGAGATTTTCTCAGAATATATCATGTCAGAAGCAGGAATTACATATTTATCTGATCCAAGAAATGTTTTTGTGTGTAGAAATGTGGAAGTCAATGCATGTTATCAAACTCACTGCTGCTTGTTGCATGATTCCATTCTTGATTGTTTTCAGAAACTTTCAGTCAAAAGTAGTTTTGTTTATAATCATATAATGTTTAATTATTTGATTCCCAAGTACCCGATACAGTGCACGCTTTGTAGAATGTGATTACTTTACAAAATCTTTAATTCAAATTTGAAATGTTACTCCCAGAGTGAATTTTTCAAGCATTATCTTTCATTAGATTACAATGTGAAGATTTACATGTACTGGCATTACAACAACTTGTAAATGATATATACCTAGCTCTATGTATTCAGTTGCTTTACATTTTCAAATACAGTGCTGGTAGTGGCCGGGTTAAAATTTAGATTTTTACAAATGAACTATATATACATGTACTTGCAGTAGAAACCCTCAAGAGGTAATTTTTAATTCAATTTCAATACAAGTTATTGACACTGATAAATAAATGTTTGTGTTACAAATTCTCAAAAAGAAATTTCATCCTTGAATAAGTATTTTGCATCTAAATGTGAAATTAAGTTTGATAGCTGCATGCATATTATTGTTACAAAGTTCAAGGATGTCGTTTTCAGGCAAAGATGTCAAAGGGCATTTGATTGTCATAGATGGTTTTTTTGTTATCTTAAAACTCCAGCAAATTTTATGCAATATATGATCACATTGAGGAGTTATATTTATTGGTGCTGAACAAACTATATACTTATATATGTGTATAGGTATTTATTGTCCCTTGCTTTCGCGAAAGTGAGGGGACATTAAATCTCATTTGTCTGTTAGTCTGTCTGTCACATAAACTTTAACCTTGGCCATAATAACTTTTGAGTGAGAAGAGATTGGGCTTTTGTTTTTCACATGTACATTACCTGTAACAAGACCTTTCCAAATATACTGTGAATTTTGACCCCGTGACCTTGGCCTTGAAGTTTGACCTACTTTTCAAAAAAATTAATATTACCTTAAATTGGTCATAACTTTTGAATGAGAAAAGATTGGACTTTCATATTATGCCTGTTCATTACCTGTGACAAGACCTTTCGAAAATATACTATGACTTTTGACCCTGTGACCTTGACCTTGAAGTTTGACCTACTTTTCAAAAAATTAACATTTCTTTAAGTTGGTCATTAAATTTAAATGAGAAAAGATAGAGCTTTCATATTAAATATGAAGATTACTTGTAAGAATACCTTTCCAAATGAACTATGCTTTTTGACCCCATGACCATGACCTTGAAGTTTGAGCTACTTTTCAAAATTTTTATCTTTGCTTATAACTTTTGATTGAGAATAGTTAGGGCTTTCATATTTGACGTGCATTAGTAGTGACCAGGTGTTTCCGAGCATGCTATAATTTTTTACCCCTTTACCTTGACCTTCATGTTTGACCTAAATTTCAAAAATTTTAACTTTGGTGATTACTTTTGAATGACATATGATAGGGTGTTCATATTTGACAAGTGCATTACCTGTGTCAAAATGTTTCTGAATACTGTAGATTCCTAAATATACGCGAGGAATAGATTATCGCATAATTTCGCGAGAAGCACCACTCGCGAAATAAAATTACTCGCTTTTATTTTTATGGTGCTTTAATATATGTTAAATCTCTAGATAAATCACCCATTCGCAAATTATTGTTCTCGCGATTTGACGCGTTTGGACCATTTCGCGATATTAAGTACTCGCGTAAAATAAGGAATCTACAGTATGCTATGATATTTGACCCCGTGACCTTGACCTTCCAGTTTGACCTAATTTTCAAACATTTCATCAGTTTGCTAACTTTTGAAGGAGCAAAGATAGGGCATTCATATTTGACAAGTGCATTACCTGTGACAAGCATTTCCAAATGTACTATGATTTTTAATCCCATGACCTTGAAGTTTGACCTAATTTTTAAAAAGTTTAGCATTGCTAATAACGTTTGATTGAGAGAAGATATAGTATTTACATTTGACATGTGCATTACCTGTTTCAAGACCTTTCTGATTGTATACTCTGGTTTCTGATTTTTTTTTTTTTTACATGTGCATCACTTGTGAGAAGATCTTTTCGATTTTATTATGATATTTGATCTCATGACCTTGATCTTGAAGTTTGATGTAGTTTTGAGAAGCTATAGTCTTTGCCATAACTGTTATTAATTCAATAATTTATGTCTTTTTTGTATGATGCACAGACAAGACAGGACAAACAAACAAGACAATTACAATATTCCATAAATAATGGCATCCCATCCACTAAGATCGAAAGCGGGGGACCACAATTCTTTGAATTTGCTTGTTGTTTTCAAAACTCAGTTGAAAAATGTAAAATATCCAGTAATAACATAATACCAGGGACCTATATGTATATAATTACATATACATGAATAGGCATGTATATTAGTCCCTCTGATATTCATATGTTAAGCATTGAATGTCTAGATTCATATGGCATGTTCACTATACATGTATATTGATTTCATGTTTATATCATAAATAATGTATTGAAATCTTCTAGTCTATAAAAATTTTATGTGTGATTTTTCTAATAATTTTTTGGAAGGTCTATTATTTATTCCTGGTTATATTGAAGGTTAAGTTGTTTTGAATTAGTCCTGTGCATGTGAAGAATGTATGTGATAATTTTTCTGTTATTTCCACTAGAAAATTGATGTATTTTATAAAATTGTCAAACATAACTTATTCATAAGAATAAAATAACAGAGGAAATTCGAAATGAATATTTTGAATATCATTAGTGTAAAATACCGTAAAAATAGAATGTGTGACTGGTAGAAATGAAAGTATTTATGTCACAATTACACCAAATTGATATATTTTTGGCGACTAAAAATCTTTCTTAATGACATTAAAAACACTCTGTAAATTGAAGATTTCAGAAAGTATAGAGTAAATTCGGGCTAATTTTTTTTCGACAATTTGCCTGATTACTATATCTTTTTTACCTTGTAAATTAATCTTGAACCTTTGATTATTCATCAGACAAAAATCTAAATATTTGACATTATATGGTCAATTGTAAAAATTGAGATGAAATTTCATGTGAATTCATGAAAACTGAGAATTTTGAAAAAATATCGAGGAAATTCGGATTAAATGTATTTACTGAATATAAAGGACTTCATGTTATCTTTTCACCAGCTCATTCCATATGAATTAGTCATCAAAAATAAGTAACAACTTTAATTTTATGGTGAAAGATATTTTTTCAATCAGCAAAATTTATTCATATGCATAAATTTCCAAACTTCTCTGTGTAAAAGTACTATTTTTAGGACTGACTTTCAAATGACCTTGACTAAAAATCAAGGCCGATGACACCAAAGTTTTTGGATGTTAAAATAGTGTAAACAGTCTGAATATTAAGTATTCAGAAAATCAAGATTCTGCCATTATAAGAAATATGAGAAGAATCCATCCTTAAAGACAACATTCGTTGAGGTGAGCTCTGTAATCTCTGATTACCTATGTTTTATGATTTTATTCGACATATACTTCCCATACATTGAATGTACCAGTCTTGTACATTCCCTAGACAAGTGATACTGCCGTATATTTGTATGCAGATTCATTGAAGGGTAATAGTAAGGGTCGTAATAAATCGATATATTGCAAGAACATACCCTCAATGAATTATGACAACCTTTTACACATAAACTATAGAAGTATGAAGATATTTGAAAATTGCTGCGAACCTGATGAAATCTTGCAAATGAATTAATTATATCTATATTTAATGTATTTAACCAGCAAAATATTCAACATACGGTCTAACAAATGTAATTTTGGCAATTGGATAGTAGAATCTATTTAGGTTTGCAGCACTTTTCACAAACAACAAAGAGTGTTGAAAATAATTATAAATTAAACTTAGATTTTTAACTTGGTTATGCCCTTGCAATATTGGAATTTATAGATGACTTCAATACTGCAGGTATATTTGCTAAAATCATGTGACTGCCACATCACATGACAAGTTTAAATAAGAAATCTAATCATCCTCAACATGTAGTTTTCAACCACATTACATTTGACCGATAATAGTAAAGTCCTAAAAAGAATCGGCCATCCTTGTATAGAATGCATTTCCTATATAAAAAATTCACTGATATTTCCATTTAGCACCTTAACAGTACTGCTTATTACCACAGACATTTAATGGCATGTATCTCTGAATTTAAATAGTGAAACATACATGTATATGCATAAGTGTAAGTTAGAAAATACGTGTACATAGATGCTGTAGATCTGCTTTGTTAGTTTTGATATCATGAATATTGTATAGTTCTACTGAAATTCAATTTTTCTTTTAGTTTACAAAAAAGCAGCTTGAGAGGTTAGCTGCCAAATCTGAGAAAGAACAAAGAAAAGAAGAAGCAAAAATTAAGAAGGTATGTAACTGGTTAAAATTTTTAAATGCTTCCAGTATAATTTTGCAAGAAGTACTCTAAACATATGTAACTTTGTGCACTCAAAATTTAAAGGAATCGTCCTTTTCAACTGTTTAGTTCAATCATAAATAAGTGTAGTAGAGTTTTTTTTTTTTATCATTTACTTGCAAGTACATAAATTAAAGGACAAGAAGCATTGCGAAAGGCGCTAAAATATGATTATCTCTAAAATAAGTACAGGTATGTTTACAGTAACCAAACACAGGGGAATAAAAAAAGAACATGTACATGTAATCAAATAGTTTTAGCCAAAGGCTCAAGTGAGCTTTTCTGATCAAAGAGTATCTGGCATCCATTTGTCAATAACTACAGAACCAGAAAAGATGAAACTCAGGGTTAGAAACTCCCTAAAATTACAACTTGCAAATAATTGCGAGTTCCAAGAAAGTGAACTAGCAATTTTATAAAACTACTCGCAATTTTTAATATAAAGTTAAATTTATATAAATTAGATACATGTAACTTAAGGAAAAAGTAACTACTGTACAATACACAAAATACAACTACAGTGTGCCTTTTTTTAAATTACTGATTTAAATCAAAAGCGTTGTGTTCTGTCATATTATATAATTTTGCTACAGTTTCAATGCAAAAAAATCAACTCGCAAGTTTTTGCGAGTTACCTAATTTTTAACTCGCAATTTGGGAATTCTAACTCGCGTTTTGCGAGTTGCATATAGTGAATTTCGAACCCTGAAACTTATGTGAAAGCTTCATTACATAGTGTAGACTCAAATCATGACCCCTTGGGTAGGGTGAGACCACAATGGGCCATCAAAGATTTACATAGGAATATATAGGAAGAATCTTTAAAAATCTCTTCTGCTCAAGAACAGCAAAGCTTTGATTAGTCATATTTATATGGAAGCATCCTCAGGTAGTGTAGATTCAAGTTTGTTCAAATCATGACCCAAGGGGAAGGGTGGGGCCACAAGGGGGATCAAAGTTTATAGGAAAAATCTTTAAAACTATCTCCTTAAGAAAAGCAAAGCTATAATAAATACAGTGTCATACACAGTTTGTATTCAAGTACATTGTATTCATAACATTATACTAGTCAGAGTAGATCAAAACAGAGGAATTGAAAACCTTTTTTAATGTGTTTTTCCCAAATTTAGTGAACAAAAATGATTTCTGTTCATCATTACTTTGTTGCCTATGAATATTTCCTTTGGGAGAATGACAGGTAACTTATGTTTAAAATAAAACAGAACAATTCAGTATTTTCACCTTTATATGATATGATTTATGTCCTAATTACATCTTTTGTTACCAGAGTTCCTTCAAGTTTATTTGAAGCTCTGCAGCAAAGTTGTCTGTTCATCTGTCTGTTTATAGATGCATTTTAACAGCTTTTCTTTTTAGGATATATTGCAACAGAAAGTGGGGGAGGAGGGGAGGACTTGCCTTTTGTTTGAAATTTTCATACTAAAATTAATAGTAAAACATGTTTGGAAAAGGGGGGGGGTGCAGATTTGACAACAGTAATTTATAACTAGATGTGCATATTCAGTTAATTTATTTTTTGTTTCTTTAGGCTATATCCCAGAAAAACATCGAGGGAGCAAGAATCTATGCAGAAAATGCCATTAGGAAGAAGAATGAAGGTCTGAATTATCTACGATTTGCAGCTCGTGTTGATGGAGTAGCAGCCAGAGTCCAGACTGCTGTAGCAATGAAAGGAGTAGGTTTTAATAATGAATGTCAGTACATTAAGTAAATTAAGATATCAAAGGATAACCAATAACAAAAGATTGACACAAAGGTGAGTGATATAAAAAAACTGCTTTGGCTGCTTAATTAATTTACCATAAATAGTAAAAAGTAGCAGTTTTTGTTGAAAAAAAAGTAACTAAAACAATTTTAGATCCTTGGTCCACAACTTGAGAACTAAAGTCAAAACTACATAGAATTAATGATCTTGTCTGATAAATAATCACATAATTATGATATCATGAAAGGGATGGAAGACAACACAAGAGAATTCACATCTTTTAAAATTGAAGAGAATGTCAAACGAGCCTGGTTTCAAATACTTTGTACTTTATTATGCGATATCCTGGTATTTGTGTACCTTGTCATGATGAGTTTGATAGAGTGGTTATAGCTTAACACTGAGTTGGTAGTATTGCAGTGGTGTCATGATGAGGCATTATTATATATTTCATTTAATTATAAATTAGTGGTATTCATTAGTGTTCTTGTTATATTTTCAGATCACAAAACAAATGGAAGGAGTAACAAAGGCTTTAGACAAAGCTATGTCAGCAATGGATTTGGAAAAGGTTAGAAAAGCAGCACAAGTTATTGGAAATATGAAAGAATTCTCTGTTTCAAGGTGGCCTTGCAGTTTCATTTATTTCATCTCAATGTATTAATTTTTGATTGAAAGTAGATACATTTTCTACACATAGGTTGAACAAGTCATGCAGAAATTTGAGAAGCAGTTTGAAGACATTGATGTTAGGACTTCTGTAAGTCTCATCACAAATTTTATGAATTCACTTACCATATTTGAATCAAAAGGACTTTAAAAATATTGCGTCTCATCGCAAATTTTATGAATTCACTTACCATATTCGAATTCAAAGGACTTTAAAAATATTGCAGTATATACTTTGGCTTTACTGGCTTTCAAAGCTCTATTGTATATTGTAATTTTGCAAGCACATGTGAAATTTAACTTTTTTACCTCTAGACATTAGAGAATTCCATGAGTGCTGCCACCACACTATCCACTCCTCAGGATCAGGTGGAGAGTCTAATGCAACAGATCGCTGCAGAGAATGACCTAGATATCACAGACCAGCTCAAGGAACTCCACCCCACAACAGCCTCCATACGAGAGGAGGGGGAGAGAAAAAAGGAGGATGATCTATCAAGAAGGTGTGTTTGTCAATTAATATTTAGTTCTAAGAATGGAATTCTTTTGATGTAATCTTTTCAAGTGAAAAAAAAAGTTTTTACTTATGTTCAATACAGATTCTTGAAATGAGGAATGTACTGCATGTAGTATTAAAAATTATGTTAATCTATCATAAAACAGTACATGTACTTCTTTTTTATTGCAGGTTACAAGCTCTTCGGAATTGATCTTCCCACACTTTCTGCTATTTCATAACTATCACAGTATACTAAAGACTTAATGGTAAAGAAAAGAACTGTTAATTGTGAAAGACAGTGCTAATTAACAGTCAGGAGTGCTGAAATTTAACAAGGAACTCAACTTTGAGGATAAATGAATAAGTAGACTGGTAGCTACATTTTTTTTACCCTCTCCAGTGTTCCTTTCTATGTAAATCTTTTGTACTCTACTGGAAGTGAAAGTCTCTCAAATTTAAAGTTTTTCTACAATTAATTTACATCATGGGTGATAGAAAGATCTACATGAAATAATTTTTTTAGATTAGTTGAAAATTAAGATTTTTTGAGAGGGAGAAACAATATATTTTTAATACATGTACATGTATATAATATGACCTTTTTGTGTAGATTTTTAAGGTATGTATAACAGATACACTTTACATGTGAGAACAAACCAATGTTGAAAGAAAATTAGTTTTAAATTGAACAACCCATATCTATAATATCTAATTATTCCTTGATGAAAAATCCCTTTCTGTTTCCCAGTACATGTACTACTTCATATAGTTCATGTACTGGGAATCATATAGTCTATATGATACACAGAATTTTTATGAACTGTTTAAGTTAGAGACTACTGCAATTAAATCTTGAGGGAATGCTGATTCAATATCAACCATCTGCTCATATTTCTCAACACATTGTTAACATTAACGAAATGTCAAGGCATGGAATTTAATTTGACATGCCAAAGCCTGAAAACAATTGTTCATGATTTTTAGCTCTACTGGTCAGAGACCAGAAGAGCTTATGCGATAGTAAGGTGTCCGTCGTCCGTCCGTCTGTCTGTCTGTCTGTCTGTCCGTCTGTCTGTAAACAATTTTTCAAAACGCTACTCCTCCTACAGTTTTGGTCCGATTTCAATATAACTTGGCACACAAGTAGACTACACTAAGATACATAATTTAGTGCATCGGTTTTTGATTTCGATGGACGGTGTTTCCATGGTTACTAAAAATAGAAATTTCTGTGAAATTCCTTTAAAACGCTACTCCTCCTACAGTTTTGGTCCAATTTCAATATAACTTGGCACACAAGTAGGTTACACTAAGATACATAATTTAGTGCATCGGTTTTTGATTTCGATGGACGGTGTTGCCATGGTTACTAAAAATAGAAATTTCTGTGAAATTTCTTTAAAACGCTACTCCTCCTACAGTTTTGGTCCGATTTCAATATAACTTGGCACACAAGTAGACTACACTAAGATACATAATTAAGTGCATCGGTTTTTGATTTCGATGGATGGTGTTTCCATGGTTACTAAAAATAGAAATTTCTGTGAAATTTCTTTAAAACGCTACTCCTGCTACAGTTTTGGTCCGATTTCAATATAACTTGGCACACAAGTAGACTACACTAAGATACATAATTTAGTGCATCGGTTTTTTGATTTCGATGGACGGTGTTGCCATGGTTACTAAAAATAGAAATTTCTGTGAAATTCCTTTAAAACGCTACTCCTGCTACAGTTTTGGTCCGATTTCAATATAACTTGGCACACAAGTAGACTACACTAAGATACATAATTTAGTGCATCGGTTTTTGATTTCGATGGACGGTGTTTCCATGGTTACTAAAAATAGAAATTTCTGTGAAATTCCTTTAAAACGCTACTCCTCCTACAGTTTTGGTCCGATTTCAATATAACTTGGCACACAAGTAGACTACACTAAGATACATAATTTAGTGCATTGGTTTTTGATTTCGATGGACAGTGTTTCCATGGTTACTAAAAATAGAAATTTCTGTGAAATTCCTTTAAAACGCTACTCCTGCTACAGTTTTAGTCTGCTTCTAATATAATTAGGCATACAAGAAGACTATACTAAGATACATAATTTATTGCATTGGTTTTTGAATTCGATGAACAGTGTTGCCATGGTTACTTAACATAGAAATTTCTGTGAAATTCCTTTAAAATGTTACTCCTCCTACAATTTTGGTCTGATTTCAATCTAATTTGGCACACAGTTAGAATACACTACGATACATAATATGTATTTCTGTTTTTTTTTATTTGGGTGAATGGTGTTGTCATGGTTACTAGAAATAGAAATTTCCATGAAATACTTTCAAAACGCTACTACTCCTAGTTTTCATTTGATTTCAATATAACTTGTCACAAAAGTAGACTACATTAAGATACATAATTCTATTTATTGTTGCATGTTGCAATGTTTCAAATCCAAGTGCTACTTTTCTTTTGTTATACAAACAGACCAGTAGAGCTACAGTCTCATCAGAGACTTCTGGTTTTTTTTTGTTGAAATATGTAATGTGATTGTTTTATAATTTATATTAAATAAAAGCATTATTACCGAAATTTGTTTACATCTTGTTTATGTTAATTAAATGAAACAATAGAGTGGCAATTTTAGTACCTTCTGGTCCTGGTGCAAAATCATGAAACAGACTTAGGCTCAAGTCAAAACTTCAATCATCCTTAAGATGTTTATTTATGAATTGAAACTAAGATAGGAGATAACAGTAGTTTGGTGATGCAATTTTGAATAACATTTTCATTTTGTACTACATTGTATTTGACCTTTCAATCATTTCATCCCAATATAAATTTTGATTTTCAGGTAGGCTTCTTAAAATCAATATCATTTAAATGAAAATTCTAGAATCGGTTAAACAACAGAATTTGTTTAAAAAAAACCTAGAGATATCTTAATCAAAACGAGCAGGAAATGCGGCTAGGATAAGGTAGTGTACTCGCAGTAGTAACTTCTCTGAACTACCTAGATATGACATCATGATGATGTCAAGTCACTGCAAACATGACTGGGAAAGTGTCATAACTTTTATATTCCTTTCACATGACATGTAAAAAATTTTTATGTTGATGTTTAATTCATGTGTCTGGATTGTTGTTTTAAGCTTCAGTATGTTGTTATGATGGTGAATACATGTATTTACAATATAATATCATTATTCCTTTTTCTTGTCTAACATGTAGGTATTCAAACAATTACAAATGCTCCCCCTTATAGGTCCATAGACAGTCAGAATTTATAAATCGTGTATAAATTAGACTGGCACAAATGAATAATAAGGATAATTTGCAGATATTCTGTGTGAATCTACTAGAGAAATATGTCCTCTAATTGAATTTTGCTGGGGCATTGTTTGTAATTCATCCCATGTTGCATAAATTGCAATGAAGAGTGGAAAATGCCCCCTTGTATGTGGGTAAGTTTAATTTCTCGTGAAATATTTTCTTAAGAAATAAAATTCAGACTTGCCCCCAGCACTTTATATATACACAAGGATAAGTTTATTTGATTCATGTAACAAGCCGTTCACCATAATTTGGTTTTTTCACTTGTGCCGATGCAATTTTGTGCAACATTTAAGAAAATTTATAAGTGTCCGTCACGTGATCAACACAGTCATGTGACATCACAAAAATGCTTTTTTATAATACTTTATTCATCTCTCTTTACAACTTAACTGTGCATGTATACATAGATTACAAATTGAAATCAAAACATAGCTTAAAATTAAATAGTATGTTTCTTATGCATATTAATTAAGCATTCGGACAGCCTTAACATAACTGCGAAATATTTTTCATGAAATTTGCCTTGCCACATTATCAGGCTTTATAGAACACCATGCATGTGTAATTGGTTGAAGGATTTGACACTTCATCTGATTATAAAGTAAAAACTTTCTCGATTTCAAACACGAATTTCTACAATATTTACAACATATACATGATTTTTCAATTTGTGCTTTTCAAAATGGTCAAGTCATCAGTCATAAGCAACCTGATTTTAAAAAAATTTGGCACAGACAATAATTTTACACATGAGATTCTTGTGAATCTTTTCTCAACAGCTGGACACACTAATCACGTGTACTTGAGGACAGGACCCTTCTCCCCAGGGGTCTATGTGGGGGTTGGGTGGGTTCTGTCCTCGAGTACCTGTGACACTGTTAGGTCAGAAGAAACCTTCATGTCAAGTATGAGCATATACAATCTACATTACAGATTTGTGGCTTAAAAAGAATTTCACACTTGTCCAAATGTCCTCGAGTCGGGGTTGATTAGAAAGAGGCTTTCTGTCAAGTATAAGCTTCTAATGTCTCTCCTTTAAAAAGTTATAGACTTGAAACAAAGTGGGATGCACAGATATGGAGATTTCTCATATCTTATACACATTTGTAGGGGTATAACAATTCTTACAATCAAAGTTAACGTCAGAAATAATTGAAGTGCATAATCAAAAGGTTGTACTAGTCCACTTTTTATGTAACAAATGGTAAAAAAATAAAAATGGAAGCATTTATAATGTAAATATATGGATCATTACATAACAGGCTACCATATAGCATGTTTCTTATAAAATAAATGGTAAATTTTAGCATCTGCTTGCTCAAAGCCAATAATTTTGGTGAACTTAGGTAAATCAAATTCTATGTACTGTTTCAATTTTTAGTAAATGATAAACACACAGCATGTTTTTTGTTTTTTTTTTAATTATTATTTTTTTATTTACAAGGCAGTAGGTACTATAATTCTGTTTCTCCATCAAAATTGTCACCCTCTTCAAAAGTCCTTTCCTGACTTTTCTTATCTTCTAACTCTCGCCCAAGCTCCAACAACCGCATCTGTTGAATCATTGTATTGTGCATTACATTGTCTTGCCACTTTTCTGGAAAATTTCCAATGTGGTCAGTTCGTGTTGGGTCAACATACTCTAATCCTCTAACTCCACGTCCAGTTACAGGGCAGATCATTTCACCAAGCTGGTGCAAGTACTTGTAAATTTCAAACTTCACACGTGGTGTATATGGTTCATTCATTAGACGAATGAGAACAAGATCTCCTATTTTGGCCTTTAAATCCTTTTCAAGCACCCAATAATCATATCTAGTGTAATAATACTGAAAGAAAGAGGAATTGACAGAAAAATTAATAAATTGTTCTAGTGTTCAATATTGAATGTAAATGAATGTTTAGCAGTAACCAAAAAGATATTTTGGGAAAAAAGCATTTTGTTTTTTCTATATTTCAATGAATAATTAGCCGATTAGATTCAAATTCCCTACATCAGAGAAAATTCGGTCTAAGTAGCATGGTTCTTGTGATTCCTTTAAGCTATTCATGATTCTTAATCTACTCTATTTCAGATATTTTACGCAAAATACAAGGTATATATATTTACTTTTGTTATGTAATTATCGAGCCTCATCCTTAAAACCCGCACTTTCAAAGTTTCGGGAGCCCCTACACTTCTTTTCATGACTGTTCCCGCATAAATCGGCTTTGTTGGCCTCTCTGGTACTCTAATTTCAGCACCCTGTTGTTTCAATATACTCTTAGGCAGTTTTTTGTAACATCTTAGTTTTTCTTTGGCAAAATTTACCCTCAAAGGCATTTTCACACGATAATTTTTTTTCTAATGCAACATCGGAAGATTAAATATAACAATAAAATACAAAATGTGTCGGCTCAAACACTAATGTTTCCGTAACGTGATTGTATAGAGAATGGAGAATGTCAAAAAAAAAAATTAAATTTAAAGCAAACAACCAAACAAATAAAAAGCAAAAGAAACAGATAATAAAAAATTATTATTACTTGATTATTTGCAACAAAATAAATTATTTTTGAAAAGCTAAACAGAAAATTCATGGGTTTGCAAAATAAAATTTGAATCAAAGGAAATGAGCAAATATAAAGAAAAATATGCATGTTTTGACAAATAAAACAATTCATCTGTTACATTTTTTTTTTTTGCAGTGAAAATCGATTTTTATTTACTGACTGTAAACAGTGGTATGATAAAAGATAGGATACAATCCACAAGTTACAAGTTTATAGCTCAATGTAGGCAAAATTGACCATTTGCATGCACTGTTCTTTTTACCTGGCTGAAATTATGTTTGTACCAGCCAAAATATTTAATTGAGAAAAATTCAATGACATTTTTGATTAAAATCACTTCCACAAGGTATCTTCTATTTTACCAGAAGTACAGTGTACCTGTTTTTAATCTTTTGAAATTAAGCCCTGCTTCTGAATAATGAATTTAAATGAGAATTTATATTTTTCTAAAGACAAAGCTAAAGGTATTTCCTGTGCCATGCATTGTATGTACATCACAGAAAACCCTGCTTCTAAATAATGAATTTAAATGTGAATTTATATTTTTCTATAGACAAAGCTAAAGGTATTTCCTGTATCATACATTGTATGTACATCACAGACATATTCTCTATCCAGAGTTGTTGTTTCTGCTACACTCCCCCTCCAGAGTTGTTGTTCCTGCTACGCTCCCACATACACATTCTCTATCCAGAGTTGTTGTTCCTGTTATGCACATGTAAAATATTGACAGCCCTATCTCTTCAGGTACAAAAGCTATGAACAAAGTTAAAATTTTTATAAAGAATATCAAAGTTAAAGGTCAAGGTCAGGTCATGAGGACAAAAATGCTTTGTTACAGGTTATGCACCAGTAAAGTATGAAAGCCCCGTTTCTTAAGATGTTAAAGCTGTTATGACCAAGGTTCAAGTTTCTGTGACATGAACAAGTTTTAATATCCCCGCACTTTTGTGAAAGCAGGAGACAAACATAGGTAATCAGAGATTACAGATCTCACTTCAACTAATGTTGTCTTTAAGTAAGGCAAAATCCAACACTTAACTAATAATCTAGTAATGTGCATTCCTAGATGCAACATTTGTGCAATTTTGGTCTGATAGGGCACGCAGTTACTTGGGAATGGACTTATCTAAAAACTTTTAATTAGTAACTCATCCAGAAAATGTAGGTCAAATCCAGCATCCGAAGCAAATTTGAAAGTGCTCGTCCCTTGATGCATCATCCATGCAAAGGATGACTGCACTTAACGCCTGTTTTTGGGTCCTTTTCGGTTGCTTCTGTTGCTTTTATATCTAAACCTTATCTCACTTTTGTATGTTTATGAAAGAATACTGTCAATTTGGAACCACATTTAAATCTTAAAATGATTTTAGACTGTGATACAATAAAATGATTCAATGTTCTTTGTCCTTACTGCTTTCCAAATATAGTGAATTTACACTTACCTGCCCTTGATTGAACATTAGATATGCATGAGAGGTGGAGCTAATATTGTAAGAATGGCTCTAAAATTAGACTACATAAATAACAATGACATGTTTTGAAAAGCGAACGTGATCACTCTTTCCAATCTCCCTCTCCATTCTGTATAGCACAAATACACTTCTGACAAAGGTTTCAAAACGAAATTAACAATATGAGCACATCAATGTAATTAAAGCAAATTTATATCAATGCCAGATGACTTAACGTGTTCGAACACAATGTCCTAGTTAGCACATCACATGCTTCCTTACAAGTCACGTGACGGAATTTAGTATTCACAAAGTTACCTGAGGTAAGAAATCACGTGGTGAATTATAATATTCAACATGTCACAATCCTTGGTTACAACACAGAGAGCGAATGTAAGAAGAAGCAGTTTTTTCTCTTTTTAACCATGAGCGCATGTTTGTCTATTAATCTCCTTTTGACACATTATTATTTATGCAAATATACAACTACTGTTAAACGTAGAAAAATAGACAAACATGCGCTGACTATGTATAAAGTCAGTAAATAAGTGGGCGTCCTCATTATCGAACGGAGATTCAAGAAATTGTGATGACCCCTGCCTTTGAAAACAGCTTCGAACTTCGTAAATACACACTTTTATTAAACGTAATTACATAAAGTTGTAGATTGGATGTTGACCATTCTTGCAAGGAAAAGAAAAATGCTTGTTTTGAAAGTTTATTTTGTCGCAAATTCCGCATTTCCTTAAGTGCAGTCATCCTTTAGGACATAGAGTTACTTGGAAATGAAATCTGCTCCAAAAACTTTAACCTGGTCACTCATTTGGAAAATGTAGGTCAGATCCAGCATCTGAAGCAAATCCAGTAGTGTGCATCCTTAGATGTATAATCCTTGCAAGTTTGGTCAACATAGGACTTATAGTTACTTGGAAATGAGATCTGCTCTAAAAACTTTAACCTGGTCACTCATCCAGAAAAGGTAGGTCAGATCCAGCATCCGAAGCAAGTCCAGTAGTGTGCATCCTTAGATGTATCATCCATGCAAGTTTGGTCAACATAGGACTTATAATTACTTGGAAATGAGATCTGCTCAAAAAACTTTAACCTGCTCCAAAAACTCTAACCTGGTCATTCTTGAGCTGAAAATGCAGCATCTGAAACCTTGACTGGTACAATGAAACACACTAGAGGCATCCTCCATGCACCTCTGATTGATAATTAAAGGGCACAGAAGTACTTGAAGAAAAATCTGCTCCAAAAACTTTAATCTGGGATGCCGACACCAACGCCAAGGGTATATATAAGCTCCCCCAAACTCCCTCTTTAACTTAAAGATGAAGAAATCCATAGTTACTTAATAAATTTTTAATCAATGTACACCTGTATTGCAGAAATAGATGTAGTATTCAAATAATACATCTCCAATTTCATGTACCATCTTCTAGTGAGTAGTGACACATCAAAACAAATGATTTTATAACAAAAGAAGGACAAATATTTACATAAATAAAAAACAACAACAAAGAACAAACATTTTAGATTTATTTTTAGTAATGAAAAAATAATTTAGTCAGTGGATAAGTATTACAGTGAAAAATGATTTGAATATCACCAACATACTGAGCATCACACATGATGAAACAGTTGGACTGTTATTGATATACTGTATAAGGGGAAATTTTTGCGTCCGTTTTATTCTTGCCCTTTCGCCCTACACAAATGGGCGAATTTAAGATGGAGTGAATTCAAAGAAAACAGTATAATTTCTTAAACAGAACCATGACTTTGAAATGGAGCAAAATTGTTTGAAGGGCAAAAATAACCCTGTATACAGTAAGCTGAACCACCAAGTGGCAAATTCTATTTGTTCAAAGTCTATTTAGATGCTGTAACATTTAATCTAGTTTTTTGACATCTTGTCCCCATGGTGTATACTTATAACTGTCAATTATGGCTGCTATCACTAATATGTTTATGAGAAAGAACAAGATACCCGCAAACCAAACAAAAAGAAATGTGTTCATTCCCTCAAACTCCAATAAGTAGGCTGGCAACAACCACATGCCCTGAAAAATCAAATAACACATTAACATACATAGTATTCATCTTACAAAGAACAAGTCTCAATAAGGCTTATCTGTGGTCCCCGGTTACTCGTCAAATTTCGAACATTTATTAAAAGATTTAAAAATTAAATTTTATTATTCACTAATATCTTTATTATTTGAATCATCATCCAAAAATGTCAAACAATAGATATAGGCAGCATACGAAGTTGTGTGTTGAAGATAGGGTCCTTTGATTTTCATGAATATCAAAAGAAATCAGTCACACGTACACACTTCAAAGCTTTCGTAAACACCAAGCACAGGTTTGTTCAGAATCGAGTTTGAAATATAATGTGTATATTATATGTGTAAATGTTGAGTTAAAATATCTTTGTTAAACAAGCTTGTGCTCTATGTTTTCGAATTAAAAGTATTGTGATTTTGAATCTCTTTGCTGACTTCATTTACATGCGATTTAAAACCTCTTTATGACCTGTTAGAATCATAACAAGCCACGTGGATTTGTATCGTTATGGGTAATTGTCCCCAGTAAACGTGCTAGCTCTCAGTTGAAACGTACTCAGTTTTATATCTGTCAGCATGAACTTGTTTGGTTCATCTTGTTATAGCTTTTATTGTCAAAGATTTGTAAATAGAGAATTGTATTTGAATTTGATTGTGAATCTTGAACATATAATTCGTCTTTGAAAGAACAATATCATATCAAGATATTCTTTTTATAGAATCTAATCTAAATGTCTCCGCCCATTTCCATGTAATAGAGAAACCGTAGTCTGATCGAGGGGAAATGTTCCGGCATTTTTTAGTGCGATTGGTTTAAAAAATTGGCTTGTATTTTTTGTTACGTTTAATTTTTCATCATAAATACACAATGCTTTAATTAGAAATACTTCGTTATACACAATGAAAACAAATAATATACTGTATGCTTACAATTAACCGGTAAACCAAGGGTGTAAAAAGGGACCACACTACTATGTAGAATACTCCTTTAAAACATTTTATGAAACAAGACTCTTGACAGTCAACCCAGTATCATGAACATTTTAACTTATTAAGAGTTGAACCATCTGTTTATCATAGGCAAGTTAAATATGTATGATCTTCTACTACATGTAATTACACTGTATATGTCCATGCACTAATTCCTGTATATATATATATACCCAAGTCTTTATTTGTAAGTGGTGTAACAATTAATGATTTAACGGTTTAAAGTGGACATGATAGCTTACCTGTCCGAGAAGCCAGAGTACAATCAGTGAAATTCCTTTCCTTATGGACATGGTCAAACTGGGCAAAACCAGGGGCAGCAGACATAGGTACCATAAAAAGTACTGCAATACAAGATCAGATTCTTATTCAGGAGGAATGTAATTCTATAAATTTATTGACTGGGTTCGAGGGTGACATACATTTTGTTGGACCAAAGAATCAAACTGTTTGCCTGAGGCCATTGGTTCGAGGGGTCGACAATATGCATTTTCCCCAAGAACACAGTCAATAAATGGTTTGTTATACCTTTTGTTGACATAAAAGTATTTTGTGCTGGATTCTATGATGTAAATTTCCTTTACCTGCACTGCAGTAAAATTCGGCCAATTCTGTCACCAATGAATGCAAATAAGTTTTAGCTGATCCCACCCACAGTGTGGCATAAGTGGTCCAATATCTCATTGATAGGTCCAATATCTCACTTGGCAGTCAAACATAGATTTTTTTATGACCGCTCAGTAAAACATTGGAAATGTTAGACTATTTTTAGCATAGATTCTTATAGGAACCAAGTTTTATAGGTATAACAATATGTATTTTGGACAAATGCAATGCTGTTCCATAGAAGGGACAGATAAGCTGAAGAATTTTCAATGTGTGTGTGCTAATTCTCCACATGAAATTAAATTTCAACTTAGTACATTGAAATGGTGAACATTTCAGAGAGCCTTGATTTTGATGAACTTTAAGAACAAGGGTAAAAGGGACTTACAAAGGAATGTAATGGGAGAGAACTTTTTATACTCAGAAAAGATTTCATCTCAGTAGTGTAAGAAGAACTTGCTACTACATGTAATAAGAATACAAGAGGCCCATGGGCCGCAATGCTCACTTGAGTCACTAATGGCCTTGCTGTACTTCATCAGCAGATATCCCCCCATATATTCCTATGTAAAACTTTGATTACATATTGTGACCCAACCATATCCCTGAAGTCATGATTTAAATAAACTTAAATCTATACTACCTGAGGATGTTTCCATATAAATATGACTAACCATGGCTTTGCTGTTCTTGGGAAGAAGAAAATATTTTGGCTGGTACAAACATAATTTCTTGGGAAGAAGACTTTTCAAGGTTTATATATTCCTATGTTAAACAATGACTGCCCATTGTGGCCCCATCCTACCCCTGGAGTTGTGATTTAAACAAACTTGAATCTATACTACCTGAGGATGCTTCCATATAAATATGACTAACCATGGCTTTGCTGACCTTGGAAATATTTTTAAAGGTTTTTTTTTTCATATGTATTCCTATGTAAAACTATGACAGCCCATTGTGGTACCCTCTGTTTTGAAATCTGGAACTCTCCACATCAAGCTACTGAAAACAATGTGGAAGGAAGATTTTAAATAACTTTAATATGTTAATATATTAAAACCAAAGGACCTCAGCCCCTTCACATCCTTGGCTCCATTTAATACTTTTAAGGAATGGAGAGGTACTCGGACATAAACTTAATCACATAGGATAGACAGATGGACAGAGTGAGACTAATCCCTATATGAGCCATCCACAATGCAAGGTCCTAGGAATAATAGTTACAGTGAAATTGCTCTAAAATATGAAAAACTCACCTGAGAGGTACAAACTTTGTTGAATGTCACAAAAATGAATGTATTTAGAAAGAAACTCATAGGTGGATCCCTGTAAAATTTGAATGAGCACAAAGCAAACAGAATAAGCTGAGGAAGGAATGCTGCCAGTCCTACGGCTCTGGAGTACGGGGAATCGGATGTCAGGTAAAGCATGTAGAAATACACAGAAAAATTGTGTCGGAGGTCTCGACGTGTGATGTGGTAGAGATATGTTTCATGAAGAAAATCCCAGCCATATCTAGTGACAGTAAAAACTTGTGTACATATCATACAGAATTAAGTCACAGTATTTTTTTTTCTTTTTCCAACAACATGCATTGTACTTAAGGTTTTCTATTCTAAATTATAATTCAATTCATTCATTTGGTTCAACAATTATTTCAAATATAAGAATTACAAGGATTAATATGTGAAATTTGAATTGGAAGTATGTACATACTTTTGATAGCACAGTCCTGTCAACAGAAGAAAGGTAACTGTGGATATCAAAACTAAGACAATGTTCTCCTTTGTAGGCCACAACATCTTCTGTAACCTGAACATTACTGAACTCTGTTGAGAATCCTGGCTCTCTCTGCTGTAGTATAAATACAATGCTAAACAGTAAGTCAGTGGATATATTTTAACATGGACGGAGAGTGCATAACTGGCAGCCCCTAGAACTATTTCATTTTGCTGGAATAGTTTTAATGTTAACAACACAATAAATGACATAATGGATTCTGCATTTCCTCTGCTGGACACAGCGATAGATATTGGATTGAAGAGCCAGATGGAAGCACAGAAAAGGGAGCGACTGTGACCTGTGTTTTCTGACATCAACAGGGCATAGATTAAATAGCCACACAGGACATCAAACATTACAAACAACAGCTTTCCAAATAATGGTGAGATAGTTATGTTGGGCTGAAGCATCCATGCCAAGATGGGAGTGTAGCGATATGTAGACCTGTTGTATGGTGAAGAACCCTGAAAAATGTAGAATTAATATTTCAACAAAAATTGCAGAAAATATTAAGGTCAAGATCTAGTAATGAAAGGTGCCTGCAGATTTCTCAAATTTGAGAAACAAATTCCTTTAATGATGCTTTGTAAGTATAGCTTGGTAAAATCAGGTGTATCAGGACATAATTTGTAAATTCAACAAAAAAAATATACATGTATTATAAAATGCCATTTTCAAGGTATAAGTATGGGAGTTTTTTTTATTTCTGACAAAGGAAATCTATCAATAATGCCTACAGTCTCTCAGAAGACAGTTTTTCATATCCTCTTCACTTCTTTAAAATGTTATTAAATTGAATATTATCGGGGTTACATTTGACATGATTTCAAATTGAATTCTACGAAAATGCTTTATTTTCTACATAATTCTATTATTGCTGTAAGTACAGGAAAAAGTAAGTTTAAATCAATTATAACATCAGGATGGATCTAGCTCCAAAAAGACAGTTTAAATCTCATTTACTAGATCTTGACCTTAAACAGAAATTGAGCAGTTTGATGAATTGGTATCCATTTTTGGGTTCTGCATTTATAACTGTATAACTTAGTACTAGATTTTACTACTTTTAGACAGATGACATTATCCTACATTAGCATTGTTGATATATTTTGTATGCGGGAATTAACTTAATAAATATAGCAAATTTGCCAGAGAAGTTGGAAGCGAAAAAATCTTTTTGGTGATATGAAGAATATTAAAAATAAAATCGCAATTAAGTTGGAAATCAGCAGTTCTTAATTTAATTTAAGTAAAGTGTGAATTTGCTAGATTTCAGTAAAGCTTTTGACAAAGTCTTACACAACAAACTACTTTTCAAACTACATCAGTTTGGTGTTCAAGGCCAAGACCTAGCATGGATCAAGGGGTTCCTCAGTAACCATTCCCAGAGAGTAGTGGTAGACGGCGAGTTTTCTGCATCCATCCCCGTTACATCTGGGGTCCCTCAGGGCTCAGTCCTTGGTCCCATCCTTTTTCTCGCCTATATTAATGATTTGCCGGAGCATGTGAAGTCCCAGGTTAGACTCTTTGCAGATGACACTTCATCTATATCACTATGGACAGACAGGGTTGTCAGCCAATGCTCCAAGAGGACCTTAAGCAACTAGAGCACTGGGAGACCTTGTGGGATATGGAATTTAATCCAAGTAAGTGTCAGGTTATCCATGTAACGACATCCAGATACCCCATTCGTACCAACTACATACTTCATAGTCAGGCATTAGAGAGTACCTGATCAGCTCGGTATCTGGGTGTCGATATATCGGATGTCCTGAATTGGAGTAAGCACATCAGCCGGGTTACAAACAAAGCCAACAGCTCCCTTGGCTTTCTACATAGAAACATACCAACCAGGAACCAGCAGCTTCAGTCAGCAGCATACAAGGCCATGGTACATCCACAGCTTGAGTATGCTGCCAGCGTTTGGGATCCTTATTTGGTTACACATATTAACCAAATTGAGGCAGTACAGTGCAGAGCTGCAAGGTGGGTGATGTCAGATTATAGCAGGACATCAAGTGTCTCATATATGCTACACACCCTAGGTTGGCAAAGTTTACAACAAAGGAGGGCGAATGCAAGGCTTGTACTTATGTACAAGATCATACATGGTCTGGTAGCCATCCCCTCAGTTCAATTCGTTATCCCCAGTAGGACTACTCGTTCATCTCATCTCACTCCCTTACCTTTCGACAGATACAAACTACAAAAAATGTTTATAAATACTCTTTTTTCCCACTTACGATAGTCCAGTGGAACAGATTGCCGGGCAGTGTTGTCTCACTTCCAGATGTTGAACATTTCAAACTGGAGGTGGGCAAACTGAATCACCCCAGGCCTTAATTATACAAAAGTGCTTTTATTTCTTGTAATTGTGAATACTGTTTTTCTAAACTTTTATCTTCACTAATAACATAATACTATTTCCTTGAAATTTACTTTCCTCTACTTTTTTTTTTATCTTTTAACCAGCTGCGCACCCTACTCAGAATACTCAATATTTGAAGACGAGTAGTATCGAGAGATAGAAAGACTTAAATTGTGAATGTATTTCAATGTAGAAATTGTGCCTGGCAAGTATGAAGCGATCCTGTTCAACGGTATGAAGAATATCAATGAAAAGCCAAGAGAGTCTGGAGTAGTTAGAAACCCCCCTCCCCCCCCCCCCATGTTGTTGCCCATGCAATTTTGCTCCATTACCCGTACAGGAAAGAAAGCGAGGCAGTGAATTTAATTAACTGTACCATAGGCAGTGCCTATGAACTATAGGCCTACAAGTTGTTGTCTTTGAACACAGCTCAACATGCACTTAGTGTTACCCAGTGTTTTACCTGGGTCATGTATTCGGCGGCATCGGTAAATACAATATAATCCACGTCTGTATACTTCACAATTGAAGTCCTATCCTGCCATTCTCCATATAAAATCATTGTCAATCTTATGAAAAGCCCTAGACCTAGCGCTAGTCTTATATCCCATCTCGGAATCATGCTGATTGTAACGACAAATTGAAATTGAAAGTAGCATGGAGGAAGTTGTACTGTATTTTTATTTTTGTGAAATCTGACCGACCAATACGAAAAAATCCGGATTATATTATTGAATAACCTTTTTAGGCCATCTTTAAAAAAATGTTTATTTGCCCTCTCCTGACCGACTGCCTAAAAATGGTGCGACTCAAAACTTTTTTTAACCTCCAGGAAACGATAGTTTCTTTTTCTTTTTATTCCTGGATTTGGATAAATCCTGTCAATATGTATTTTGAAATTTGGTAGGAGAAAAATATTCCCCACCTTCGAGCCACGGTCCAGTGTCCGCATATAGCTATCTCCAGAATTGGAGAGGATCGGAAAATTTGGCCGTGGTTTTGCAACGATGCCTACCTAACGACCCAATATTTTTACTCTAAGTCGGGAGAGGGCAAACACACATTATTTTAAAGATGGCCTTATCCGTGTTTTTTTATGCCCCCGTAATCGAAGATTCGGGGGGTATATAGTTTTTGCCCTGTCCGTCCGTCTGTCTGTTTGTATGTTTGTCTGTTTATCTTTTTGTCCACAAAAACTTTAACATTGCCCATAAGATTTGATTGGTTGGAGGTATGGCTTTCATATTTCACATGTATATACCTTGTGACAAGACCTTTCTTTGGGTACCATCATATTTGACCTTTTGACCTTGACCTTGGAGTTTGACCCAGTTTTGCAAAACTTAAACCAACTTTTAACATTGGCCATAACTTTTGAACAATTGGTGCTGGGGCTTTCATACTTCACATGTGTAATCCTTGTGACAAGGCCTTTCTTTGGATACCAACAACTTTGACCTTGACCTTGGAGTTTGACCTACTTTTGGAAAACTTTAAGCTTGGCCATAACTTTTGAACGGTTGGAGCTAGGGCTTTCATACTTCACATGTGTAATTCTTGTGACAATACCTTTCTTTGAATACCAAGAACTTTGACCCTTTGACATTGGAGTTTGACCCACTTTTGGAAATACTTTAATCTTGGCCATAACTTTAGAACAGTTTTTGCCAGGGCTTTCATGCTTCACATGTGTATTTCTCGTGACAAGACCTTCCTTTGAATACCAACAATTATAGCCCATTGACCTTGACCTTGGAGTTTGACGTACTTTTGGAAATCTTTAACCTTGGCCATAACTTTTAAACAGTTGGTGCTAGGGCTTTCGTACTTCACACATGTAATCCTTGTGACAAGACCTTCCTTTAAATATCAGCAACTTTGACCCTTTGACCTTGGAGTTTGACCTACTTTTGAAAAACTTTAACCTTGAACATAACGTTTGAACAGTTGGTGCTTGGGCTTTCATACTTCACATGTGCAATCCTTGTGACAAGACCTTCCTTTGAATATCAACAACTTTGACCCTTGGGCCTTGGATTTTGACCTACTTTTGAAAAACTTTAACCTTGGACACAACTTTTGAACGATTGGTGCTAGGGCTTTCATACTTTACATGTGTAATCCTTGTGACAATTCTTTCTTTGGATACCAGTATCTTTGACCCTTTGACCTTGGAGTTTGACCTACTTTTGGAAAACTTTAACCTTGACCATAACTTTAGAACGATTGGTGCTAGGGCTTTCATACTTCACATATATACTTGTGACAAGACCTTCCTTTGGATACCAACAACAGACACTAATTCTTAATTATGAACTTGTTTACAAACTCCGGGAGATAAAAAAAGAAGAGCGTCTTCATTTGACGGAGAATTTGTTTTTACGATGTTGCGATGTGTTGTTCACGAACAATGTGAATAGCAGCAACCATCTAATTAACTGAACAATGTGTAAGATACACCATGCATGTCCGTGGCTTAGGACATTGCCGTATCCTATAAGGAGAAGAGAGACAGAGCTTCAGTAAGGGGCAGACTTTATCAATATTAGTGACTAATATCTATAAGTTTTACTAACTTACTGATTGTTATTACCAAATATGCAATCCCTATGATGCAGCTTCCCTTACAAAAGATGCGCGCACTGAGTATCAGTTTAGTTTTTACAATCCGAATAAACTTTTATCTAGTCTTTTTAATCAAACACACTGTTTTTATATTGAATTACGAACAGAACTGGTGATTATTTTTTAATTACCGTAATTCATTTACTTTCTTATTTTGAAGCATGGAGTCTATGTTGGGGATTAACCTCTCTAATAATAAGTAGCTTGGTTTTAAATATAACTTTTATAAAAAGTACATAAAACCCAAAAATAGCCAGTCCTTATCCTTCCGATATATTATTATACCGGTTCTGTAGTGTAGTGGTTATCACGTCTGCTTCACACGCAGAAGGTCGCGAGTTCGAGCCTCGCCAGAACCTTTGAACGTTTTTTTTTAAAGGTTAAGTCCCTCTTTTTTAAAATTATATATATTATTATTGATTACACGTGGTGCAATTGTGTGTGTGTTTTCTTTTTTAATTCTTCAATACTAGAATATACATGCAAACTTTAAATTTCTTATAGACCCTATGTCCTGAATAAAACAATGTTGATCAGAATTACTAATGAATTGTCAATTATAAAATTATTGCATGAATTATTCATTGGTGAGAATGGGGCCGTATATGAATGGCAGGAAGAAAGACTCAGACTGTCATTGCGATCATCGTAACAGTGAAGCTTATTACTTTTATACAAAACCATGCTACCCAAACTCAGGTATTAACTTAGAACATTACACAGGTGGCAGGTCAAAATTTAAAATAAATTATAGCAGTTTTATAGTCAGTAAAATTCAGAGACATTATTGCTAATTCCAGCATATGTTCAACTAAAATTATGGCTTCGAGAATAAGTTTGATAGTTTTATAGGTCTCAAAGGAACTCGATCCCAACCCTAAAATCAATAGGATCATCTGAACCAATTGTATGATGAAATTATGATATGTTGATTGTTCAAATACATGCTTCTTACATGATTATAACAGTAAAGGAGAGAGGAGGAGTTTGCAATTATTAAAAAGAAATTCAATTCATAATTAAACACAAATTCAGCGTACTTTGCAGGGCAAAATATGACAGAAATTGCCTTTTTAAGTGACATTTTTATAAAGGATCCCAGTGAGAGTTATCTTTCTTGTCAAATGGCCAAAGAACCTTAATTTACCCAAGAGGTCCATCGGTCACATCGCTCAAGACATTGATCCTCTGTTGTGGCCCCTCCCTACTCCTGGAGGGGGGGGGTCATGATTTGAAGAAACTTGAATCTACACTCTCTGAGGATGCTTCCATGTAAATATGACTAATCATGGCTTTGCTGTTTTTAAAGAGAAGATTTTATAAGATTTTTCTATATGTATTCCTATGTAATCATGGCTTTGCTATTCTTGGGAAGATTTTAAAAGATTTTTTTCCAGGGGGGGGGGGGGGGGTAATGATTTGAACAAACTTGAATCTACACTATACCAGAGGATGATTCAATATAAATATGACTAGTCATGGCTATACATTGTTCTTAAGACGAAGATTTTTAAAGATTTTTTCCTATGTAAAATTTTGACTGCCCATTGCATCCCCACCCTACCCCCGTGGGTCATGATTTGAAGAAACTTGAATCTGCATTACCTGAAGAAGCTTCCATATGTAAACATGTAAATATGACTAATCATGACTTTGCTGTTCTTGAGAAGATTTCCAAAAAAATTTTGTATTTTCTGGCCCAGTGGTTTTTAAGAATACTTTTAAAAGATGCCATTAATTTTTCATTAATTTATAATTACATGTATATCCCCTTGGAAGGAGGCGTGACCCTTCATTTGAACAAACTTGAATCCCCTTGACCAAAGGATACTTTGAGGCAATTTTGGTTGAAATTGGCCCAATGGTAAATTCTTGAGAAGAGGTCCAAAATGCGAAAAGTTTGCAGACCGAATTGTTGACTTTAAAGGAGGTTGTTGAATTCCATTTAACATCAACTTATCTGTCAGTAGCTTGCTTCAGTTTAAAAACTGATTGCACTCAAAGCATGCTCTTGAGTGTCGAGTAAGTCGGGAGACGTAAACACCATATACAGATGATAGCAGAATATTACTACACAAATAAGGAAAGTTGACGATGGAAAAGCTGGTTATCTCGTTTATCGACAATTTAGTTGTTAGTTGGCCCTTATTGTCTATAGTCAGTAAAACATCTAAAAATGAAACAGATATGTGGCAGACTCTCTTTGGTGTCTTATTTCAAGTTCCCTGATATATATAGAGTCGACATTTGAATGGAAGTAACTATATATTGTTAATTGATAACACGTCGTCTATATATCTGAATATTAAACTTTCAGGTAAAGTTGAATCTGATTCGTCGAGAAACATTTGTTAAAAAACACTATTACCCGCTGAATAATGAAGCCACGCCCTCCAGCGTAGCAACAGTCAACATTGCTTGACGACGGGTGATATTCAAAAGAAAAAATAAATAAATAAATAAAAAATTATTGACTGCGCAATATCTATGCGCGCAAGGTTCAATGTAATATGTATTTGTATAAAACATTCAATATAATATAATAAATATTGCATGTAGTTGAGTGTAACAATGAAATTTTTCAATGTTACACTCAACTACATGCAATATTTACATAATGTCGAGCTGACAAGTGCTTTCTTCTTCTCGTGAAGAAGTTTTTGAATGAATTCTGCTTCATAGGAATATAAAGACAAGTCGGCTAATAAAGGAGCATTATTAGTGTCTGTCTGAATTTCAACATTTTGTTGGAAGACCTTGTCTCCAAACACTATATAAATTTGAAAGATAATTCTTGAAGATGTTAGACTAGGCCTAGTAGTTATTAAATTTTTGTGAAGGACTGAGGTAGCACACAAAACAAATGACACATTTTAATATTTATTTTCAAAGTTTTTACAGAAGCTTAAACACTAGATTTTACGTAAATGCTCCCAAAATTTACCTAATTTGAGATCAATAATATATCGCCTGTCAATCATTCAAAAACAATATATA